TCAACAGTTTTAGTTTCGCAAATACAAAAAGGTGTTATAAGCATACCACATGATTCAACTCATTTTAACTTAATTCAACTAATTTGTGTCGTTATTAAAATATTTCGCCCATGTCTTCGTCAGTCCCAGCATTAAGCATTAACTAATTGTGTACATAAATAGTAGATATTTGATTAGCATCCAATCTCCAGCGGGAGGTGCCTCATTAATATGCAGGATAACTCATTGATAGGGTAATGTATGCATGACGTCACAGATCAATTAGGTTGATTAAGGGTCAACCCACCGGATGCAATCATGCAATTAATTACTTGTCAAATGACCACTCGTTAAACGTAGAACAAGACGTGTCTAAAAGCAAGACGGCGGACGTTGCCACGAACGCTAACGAGCGCCACGTGACCTCGGTTTAATCTCCCATCTGACCTACGTACCGGATCAAGTCTTTTCAATAGGCAATTGTCAGACGGACAATAAGCCATGAGGCGCACCGAGTACATCTGACTTAGAAAAATCTGTATCATAACAATATTATTCAGCTCCAAAATATTAAAGGGTTGTATTATTTCACGTGAAAAACTCCTCGTTTAACCAATACCAAGAATAATGTTCAAGAGAAAAAATAGAGTGAAATAACGTAGTTTCAAGAAATTTAATACCAAATCATTTCACATGTAAACATTTTTACATGAACAAAATCACCACTCATGTTTATTTCATTGACAAAATACAGTCGTGTCTATATACATAAATATTTTTTTTGGGATAAAAATATCTTGTTCTACATCAATTTTCCTTCACAACTAAGCATGAAAAACATTTGAACCCTGTATATATAATGAATCATAATGAATTCTACCATGACATTGATGAATGCTTGATTCTGATTGGTTAAAAAGAGGTTTCCTTTTTGCTACAGAAACCCCTTTCAAATATATTAAGCCTTTTCACAAAAAAACGTGCGTATGAATACATAGATAGCCTACATATCGATTCACAGAAAATGGCTGCCGATCGATCACCCCCATATATGAACTGTAAAACATATCTATATTTCCTCTAATACACGCTGGGTCTCAAATACCAGACAGGTCTCTAATACACGCTGAGTCAAGGGCTCTCGCGAAATTAATAGACGGCGTATAGTGTCAAATAGGCCTAGAGGAAATACGGTAGTTTGATATCGGCTGTTTGGGGCGTTCTAGGCCGCAACCCTGACTGCTTCGATGATGACATTAAAAGATTTAACGAAGGCATATCTTTTGCTTACAAATGAAATGTTTATGAAACTGTTAGGGAAATGTTCTATGGTGACCAGAATCGGTACAATTTAAGCTATTTCCTCATTGAAACAACCGACAATGAAAGTAAAATATAACATTATAAAAATTGTTTGAAAAAACAACATCACATCAGCAGGGATAGTCAACGTGTTAATGTTGAACAGCATCACACTGTGCATCAATACTGGGTTGTCTTCTGGTTTCCTGCAATTCTTTAACAGCACTGTTACTGTTAACAATTTCTTTGGCAGCCATAACTGAGAGTGCAGTGCAGATACAGTGACAACCGGGACACGTTAGGGCGGTTCTCATGTCAGGGTGGGGAGGTATAATTCGAAAGATTCACACATTCAAAATTAGTGAAAGAGTGATATCTAATAAATTTTGTTGAGAAAATAATAATTGTTCATTTTTTTGGTAACTTTTTCTGAAACCCACGAACAGTTAATTTCATTATTGAAACAACCGACAATGAAAGTGAAATATAACATAATAAAATGTGTTTGAAGACATTTTATTCATGACAACATGGTGTTTACAAACCTTTTTCTGATCGATATCCATTGCCATCTCCGTCAACCACCACCGTTAGAATTTGGCAGGTGGGAATTTGAAAGTCCATCAGAAAACACTCCCTTTCGAAAGTCCACGAAAACAATGTCCCAACTGAAGTGACAGCTTATCAAACTTGATGAAATTCATTTCAGAACACGCACAATTATGGAAATTATACACGACCTACTATTTCTGGACCAGAAATGTCTAAGTTCTGTCACTTTTTGGCGTTGGATCCGTGAAATCTTGAAATTGACAGGTCACACCATGCAGATTCCTCGTTTCAAAATATCCGTCTCGTCTGCAGCCTAAACAGCGGCTGTTCAGTCATACTCAGTTCCATTAGTAATCATATGGATGTACCAGCAGGCTCGATCAATCCCAGTAAATCTACAGGTAAATGTTGAACCACATCATAGATCGGGGTTGTCATCTTGCTTCTTTTTTACTAGATCAAGTTAATGTAAAGACATGATTGTCAGCCATTGACAGCTGTGAGGTGTGAGTAACCGTGATTTAGGTCAAGTTCTGCCACATCCAAGTTCGGGTAGAGAGGCATTTACTTTGATGTTATTATTGTCTACTGGGGGTAATTGCTATCTAACTAATAACTCTTAGACATATTGAGTGTATATTAGATTGTTAATTCATAAAGTTTGCTGTAGAAATATATTCGTTTTGCATTTTAAAACCTTTTTTCTATTACCCGTCACCCCTACAATAGAAATGATGGCATGTTCGATTTCCAAGAAATGACCTCTCGCACAAATTTCCGAGAAACGACAGCCAAGTCCACAGTGTTCAACAGTGTGCAACAGTTTGATAGAACTTAAAACATCTCTCTTTGGATTAAGTTAGGAGTGTTATTTGTCAACTTCGTTTGAAAAACTATGTGTTTTAAATACTTATTATGAACTACTCACGACTTTGGTGTTTTTTAATCTTAAACTTTAGTAATATTTGTTACATATATAACTACCTGTGACCACTTTTCGGAATGTTCTAAGATTGCGGACCTGTGCACCTGTGTTATTACGCGTTGCAAGAGAGCACCATGTTCAAAGCGTTGTTGCCGTCATGGTAGAATGGAGATAAACCTACTGTGTTTTGAAATTTGATGTAGTCCCACTGTAGAATAGAAACCTCTTTATTAAAATTTGGAACCTCGCGCTAAAGCGCTCGGTTCCAAATTATAATAAAGAGGTTTCTATTCTACAGTGGGACTACATCAAATTTCAAAACACAGTAGGTTTATCTCCTAAATGTTTGACCTGGATTTAGCTATAGCCGATTTGTCGCGTTACACCAAGCAGAACGATGGTATAAGTTATCTCCTCGTTTGTAGTAACATATCTTCAAGATATGTTTGGGTTGTTGTCCTTCACAACAAAAAGCTGGATACTATTTTGGAAGGTTTTAAAAACATTTTGGTGTTTGTTTGTAGTCTGTAGATCTCGTTGTCTCTCGCCAGGACGTGCCTCAGAGAAAGCCTGTCGACCCAATTGCGCTTGTCATAAGTCACGTATCAAGAGACATAAGCAGACAATGGAATCATGAATAATGTACAATAAAAGCTTTCATCCTATGGCATTATTTATGTTAGAACTAAGTCATATCATTAAACACATTTAATGTTTATTCATTTAAGATAATTGTATGAGTTTTTATATATAATACGATAAAATATATAAAATGTAGTTAAAAATACAATAATCAGTAAAGATTTTTAGACAACAAGTTGTATTATCCAATCAGTTCAAAAATGATTCTCAATTGAAACCTTTAATTATTGTTCTATTATATCTTATCATTCTTCAAGTGTTGTTACCCCCACAAAAAATATTCAAAAATGAATTTACAAATATTACTATGCAAATGATTGTTTAACATTTGAAGTCGCAATTATTTATTTGTTATACCTAATCTAATACTAAAATATTTGCTCTCTTAACATATAAGTGAGTGAGTTGGGTTTTACGTTGCTTTTAACAGTATTCCAGTTATATCACGGTGTTAACAACACATGAAATCTGTTGTATTTGTAGACTCACATACCCTTTTAAACTGTTAGTGAATCAATCATCGAGCCAGCTTCTCGAAACGTTCATCTCTCACTATATGTAACCTTTCATAAAGTAAAGTGATCAACAAAATGTTCTTCACAATTGGAAAAATTCTATCAGATAAAAGAAAAAATGGAAGTACTACCACTAGAACAGGTCAGTTGATTCACCCATCTCGGTGTTCTGTATTCTTAGTGAGTGTGTGTGTGTGTGTGTGTGTGTGTGTGTGTGTGTGTGTGTGTGTGTGTGTGTGTGTGTGGTGTGTGGGCGTGTGTGTATGTATCTGTGTGGTGTGTGTGTGGTGTATGTGTGTGTATGTCTGTGTGGTGTGTATGTGTGTGCCTGTGTGTATGTATCTGTGCGCGGGGGCGCGCGCGTGTGTGTGTAGGTGATGTGTCTTGTGTAAAAAGGTGCCCTTTTACAGTATGGCACGTACCAATCTTTGTTGTAAACGAAGCCTTTAGTGAAACCAAGAGCAACTTCATACCTTCCCTCTTGCCTCTGTTATCAACAGGATAAATAGAAGGGTTGCTTCTTGCAATTTTCATTGAAAATAGTTGGATTAAGTTAAAATGAGTTAGATTATATGTCATGAAACTTCTAAGAACACCTTTATGTACTTGCGAAACAAAACCACGAGTTTTGAGCAAAAGAAAATATTCTCGCCCATAGGCGAAATATTTCAATAGCGCTATAAAATAGTTGAATTAGGTTAAAATGAGTTAACTTATGTGACATGAAACTTCTAAGAACACTTTTATGTATTTGCGACACTAAAACACAGGTTTTGAGCAAAAGAAAATATTCTCGCCCATGGGCCTGCCAATTGGCCAAAACCTATTCTCGCCCATGGGCGAACTATTTCAATAACGATATAGAATAGTTGAATTAAGTTAAAATGAGTTATATTTTGTGTCATGATATTTGAAAGAAATACATTTTATGTAAAGGAACATATTCTCGCGTATAGTGTAAATATTGAGTTTTTGAACAATTTTTAAATTGTAAATACCTTTGACCGAGACTGGGCAAAGACTGTAGAGTTTCTGGACTATTGGGTTTCCAGAATTAAAACGGGACGTGTTATTTATAACCTATGCGATATGCGTGAACACTCCATTGTGGATGACGTATTCCGGTTTAACGGTTCGTGCTCAAAGCAAGTGCGCCCCAACGTTCATCGCCCACCGATCGCGGTATTCCAGGTCACATTACTATCGCTCTTCTCAGCATCTTAGATATGTACGTCTTTCAAAAGTTGTAGGTAAGTAGGTATTTATGTAACTGTAATATTGTTTTACGTGTCCGAATTATATATGCATGTGTATTAGTTTTATTAAGCACGTTTTTTTTCACAAGCGGGAATACAAACAAAGCCAGATAGGAATTAATAATTAATAAACTAACTAAACGTAGTGATTAACCCCCACCAAATTCACTTGACAAATATTCACTCAGATTAATTAACTTCCCTTCAATCTACTCTCAGCCTACCCCCTATCATACACAATTGTTTCACCGGTTACTTCACTCCTACCCACCTCTCTACCTACCTTTATGTACCAATACTAGTACATTATATCATCCCACTAACACGTCAACGGCAATGCATAAAATATCCTGAATCATATACATTATACAATACACAATACACGGGAATAGTATAGAATGTCACCGTCGTATGTGCTGTCACAGCCACCCTCGAGGTGAACAATGTTACCACAGACATGATGTTACATAGACGTATAATCAGACAAGTCCCACATCTGCTCTCTCTATCTTCCCTAAATTGGTTACGGTACTCGGACGTCGTCACATCCATGGCCAGAATTTAGATGCTGAAAATAGCCAATATCCAATACGTTTACAACTTCAAACTTGCATTAGTTACAATATCATGCACAGAAGTTAGAAGTTCATGCACAAAGATTATTACTAGACATTTCATTATACAATGTTGGTGAGGATTTTACAAACGTATTTACAAACGCCAGGACACGGCCACAGAAATCAATAACGCCTCTAACTGCAAGCGCTTTACTTATTATTGTAATATTCAAACATTATAGCTTACTCTCCAACCTCACTCTAATGTCGACAGTCAGATTAAATTGAGAGATTATGTGATGTGATATAAAGGACATATATAAGTCAGTCTCGGTCACGAACCCTGTCTGATAGTGTGTTCTCAAGCGTTTTGTGAAACGGAACACCTCAAAACGGAGGGCTCATAACTATGTAAACACACTTACGTGAGATTCTGATATGACCTGCGTATAAAGGACGACGCAGGCTAAGCGAGAAAGTCGTCCCATCATGTATCCCTAGGACGGGAACAGGGTGCTATTCTATGCCCTTCTTTTTTCCAAACAAATGTTTCAGTAATGCATGTGGTAAGTTTTCATTGTCTTGGAAGTGACAGATTTCTGATGAGATTCCCGCTTGCATTTGTACTGTGAAAGGGCGTATGGACGCGTAGATAAGGAGAGGTCGACTACGGTACATAAGAATAGATATTTACAAAGCTGATACCAAGTAGGGTGGGCATATTTGACCCTGACCTCGCGGGCCTGTATATGTTTAGTGGGTTGATTGAGCTTTGACATACCAGGCACAGCTGAAGGAAATACCGGTCCCATTTGTCGGAGCCATAAGCGGACATAGTCTAACATTTCGTCTAACCACATGGTAATTACTAGCAGATATTGTCCACCCTCCGTCATCCTTCCATCACCAGAGAAGTATCTTTCATTTCCCTCTGAATCCAGATCGAATGATCTTCGTCCAGCTATCATTCTCTTTCGTCATATTGGTGTAAGATGGAAAATATACCTGAATCTCGTCACCCTAAAAGATATGGTGTATCTTGAATCTGCCAGGGGCAAATGCTGTGGGACATCTAAAATTAAGCAGCGGTTGTATAAGTTTGGTTTTGATCGAGTATATTTGAGTCTGAATGTCTGCATTTGTAACACGTTTGTCATGATTTGTTAAAAGTCAAGATTTCGGGCACTGAAACTCCTTTGCATTTGTTTCGGCCACATCCAACACTGTACACACTGAACATGACTTGCATCGTAATTATTGTCATTAGAACATGTGTTTCGCATACAGTGTGTATGTGATTTGAATACAGAAGTTGGTCATTTCATGAGTCACAGTTACAATTATAGATGTATTAGAAAACAGGCTCAAAATATGTTTTACTGAATTAAGCCAAAGGAGTGGCATTTCGCCGTTTGTCCATCTGCACTTATATGTTTTTTATCCCAAAACAGGAACCGGTGTCACCAGACGGGGAATGACTCTCCTGTGTAATAGACATCACGATTAAGCCCGTTTTATGCTTTCCAGTGATGAAGTCACGAGCGAACATCGATGGAGGCTGGGCGTTGGTGGTCCTGGGGGCGGTGGTCTTCAACCTGACCGTAGTTGGGACAGTCACCGTCTGTCTGGGTACCTTATTATTACGTTCAAAATAGTACTAGTTTCAAAGGGGGCGTGGGTGGCCAAGTCGTGTTAGTTGGCTTATTTCGCTTTGCTGCATTGCGTCCATTTGGCGCGCCAGAAGCCAATGAGTGGTCGAAATCCCTCTTTGTTCTGATACTGACTCAATGTATGTTGGCACCATAACGGTGTGCTCATGGGCTTGACGAAAGTGGTAGAGACCAGAATCACTTCTGGCTTTGCTTCCACGCTGTGATATATCTGAAAAGATGTTCTAAGCAGCGTAAAGCACAACTCACTTACTTCTATAACCTAGGCCCATTTGCACAAAACGATCTTAGCGCTAAGGCTATCGTAAGCCTATGTTAAAGTACGGGAGTTAAGATCATCTTAGCCCTAAGATTGCTTTGTTCAAGTGGGCCCTGGTCTCCACGTTTGTAGAGGCGTCCTAAAAAACTTTTGGATGGCTTATTAGCAGCTTTTGTTGGTGAAATGCATATTTATATCTAATCAATGTATTTCGTTTGATAACTATTTCTCTTGACATGATATTTATACCAGTGTTAACAAATACACTATAGTATGCAGGTTAATACATAACCTCTTGGAGATGGTTATGTGCAATGAACATTTCTTTTACTAGGGATGTTCCAGGACCAATTTCTTCAGCATTACGATGGCAGCACGGCTTTTATTAGCTTGGTGTGCTCCCTCTTCATCAGCCTACAGTCAATATTAGGTAACGGTAATCACGGTAACTACGGTAACTGGGTTATCCAAAGTCACACGGATCAGCATTGTGCCCATGATACGTCAATGTATGTTCTTCACGTTCTCGTTAATCTGTGATGCTCTTTATCCTAATCACGTATGACACACCCTGTTCTCTCCTAGAATACGAAAATCCCGATTTTGATGAGTAGTAAAATATATTGTATGACTGTTGTACATAGGATGTATATGTTGTCTTTCGCTTTTGTGCTGGGCTTTGTAAATGTACAATCTCATTAAAATCAGATCTAAGTTCTCGATTCCGCAAAACAAAGATCTGAGGACATCCCATTACGGGTCACGTCAGAACGACCTTTCGCGAACTTTGACCAACCACTGAAACGAATAACCAGAAGTAGATATCAGCCAAAAAGATAACAGCTTTCTCGAGCTTTACGGCACTCGTTTCAACCTGGCGACTTCCATTTCAGACTACGCTTGAAAAATATGTTGACACAGTTTTCGATTAATATTTTCAAAACTGAACAAACGAACATTCCGGAATGTCTAATATATTGTTGCGATTGTATTGCAGAACCTCTAACGTACTTTGCAACGCCTCCTCCGTTCAAATGTTTATCCCGCGGAAGCGAGAGATAGACGATATTTTTGACGGAATCATTCGGTAACTGTTTTCGAGGTTGCATGATTAGAATTCACATTCCGACTGTCACTTTCAAGATCTGGTAGGCGACGCTTTGATTGGTCGGATGAAAGGTCGTTCTGACGTGACCCACAATGGGATGTCCTCAGATCTTTGCTTAGCGATAGCGAGAACTAAGATCTGATTTTAATGGATTGTGTAAATGTACATACAACTATAGCATCAATGTGGTGAAGCCGCAGGAAGAGTGGTTCAATAAATGTTAGACCCTTAACTTTAACAGAAGAGATGCAAGTGGACCTCCTTGTACTAATATAAAAAGCAAGTCTGTAAATAATATCGAAAACATAACTTACCCTCAAAAAGCTTTATCAAAATAATTCAGACTGTTGAAAAAGAAAGAAATTGTCTGAAACAAAACTTCTATTGTTACAAGATGATATTTCTAAAAATATATGTAGGCTTTTAATGTTGATAAAAAAAATATATCTGTTTTGGCATCTGTGGCTGAAACAATATGGTCGGTCCCATATAACATATCCTTTTTGGTAAACCTGACATTACCAAGCGTCCTTCCATACTGATGTACATGTAAGGTTTTTGTATATTTATGGCATCGCTTCTGAAGTCACAAGGGCTCTGAAGCTCACATGCAATATGTCAGATGCTATTTCAAAAATATTCCCTAACAAACACACAGCCATTCATATATTTATACATTAATGTTGTGTGTCGTAGTTAAGGGCGATGTAGGGTTTTGGTATTTTGTTATGGTTGACCCTATTACCCTTAATCTAAAGTTTCCCTCTTAATCTAGTGACATACCATGTATTTAAAATGTACCCGGAACAACTTGGTTAATGAAGCTGAATTTTAGAAGTATTTGCTCAAACCAAATCTCACTACTGACATTCCTTTATACAATCGTGTGAGCATACAGTATGTACCAAACAGGATAACAACAAGTTCCAACTTTCAACGTATGTTGGTATGACGCTGCCAGGGGACAGAACCCCCGATCTTCCTCTGCCGCCTCCCTGGAGCAGTGGATAGCACCATGGAGGTGGTGGTATTAATATGTATTACTTACATTTTACAGCACAAGTTTCCAATTAAAAGCGGTCAATACTCTGGATCTACTGCCAGTTTCCAATCAAGGCGTAGATTTTGCACTTAGTTCCCCATATGACCATGTTAGATGGTATGAAATACTCCAAGATTTGCTTCCCTTTGGTCTGCCAGGATCTTTTGATCGTGGGTTCGAACCCCACATTTGCCAGACTATGTTCCTTGATTTCTCACCACCAGTCTGATCTTGTGTGTTTGTTACAATGGTAACATCAATGACATTCATCACGTTGGGCTCTCCTCGACCAACTATATAACAACTAATCTTCTCAAGGGGTACTTGTGAACGGTTCAAAGGGAATACTACTAATCATGAAAGATGTCGGGCTAGTTGGTTACAACGTATTTTGTAGAAGATATTCGTTCATGTATTTAGAGAGACACAGAGCCTGTCCTACAATTTAGGGTAACTGCATGTATAATTATTATAATGTTTTGTTTGTTTTTCAGGTCCCGTAGCGAGTGTCATCTGCAACACCTTCAGCATACGTACATCTGTAATGGTTGGAGGAAGTATACTGTCTGTAGGACTTGTGGCATCCAGCATTACCGACACCCTACCGCAACTGCTTGCTTGTTTCGGAATACTCTCAGGTGAGATGTCAACGTGCCCGTTCAAATTCATTTAGAGATGCATGTCCTATCTCCTTTTGTGTCTGTCCGTCCTTTCGGGGGGTTGGTTGGTCGTTTAACGCCGCACTCAGCAATGTCCTTTCGAGCCTCTGTCCATCCACCCATCGTTAAGTCAAATTTTTATGTCCTCTGAAACAGAAAATCTAACAAAGAGAGAAATATTCATGGACCATCCCAGTAACTGTGTCTGTCAAAGGCCTTCTAGAAATCGTATCTGATTTGAACCATGGCGGTCATTTTAAAAATATCCATTTTTCCTGTGCATTTCTTGAATGTCATGTAATGCGAAACCTCGTGTAAGTTTCTCTGTTAATCAGTGTTTTCATGTTTACTTTTGTATAAATTCTAATTGTCAAATTCTGAAACTTTTTCCAGGAATATGAAGATGAGTTTTTCTATAATTGTGTTTTGTTCTGTGATGCGTAAAGAATAACATTGTTAAATCAATAAGTTAGCAGTTGGAATAAAAAAGTACTTTTATGTATTTTGTATTTTGAAATGATTGATGCTAACTTGACTTGCAGGAACTGGATTTGGTATTGTCTACACCCCAACTGCCGTAGCTGTTGGCCATTACTTCAAGGAGAAGAGAGTATTTGCCAATGGAATCGCTTTAGCTTCAGCGGGTATCGGTATTCTGTCAGGCCCACATTTGATTGGCTGGCTGATTGATCAGTTTGGTTGGCGGATTGCGATGTCCACACTTGGATGCATCACAGCTCAGATGGTGGTGATGGGATCTCTGATATTTCCCCTTGAAACGACGTCACGCACCAACGAAAATAGAATGTTCTGTTGCCTTAGGAAGAAATACAGTACCGCACAAGCGGCGGAAGCAGAGGATCTGTATTTCGAACCTGCAGAGTCATCTGAAAGGTCTTCCTGTCAATGTTGCAGAAAACGTTGTGACGAAAGTGTCTTTGGTGACAATAGCAAACAAGACAGCGCATGTTCGGTTCTGAAGAATAAACTCCTCTGGGTCTTCAGTCTCAACTATTTCATGGAAATGATGGGCTATTCTATTCAGATTGTCCATCTGCCATCCTATGCACGTTCGGTTGGAGTACCACAGACCAAAGTCCCGTCACTGTTCACAGCCTACGGCCTCACTCTCACTGTTGCTCGGTTTCTAGGCGGTGCTGCCTGTAATGACAAAAGTATTGACCTCCTAATGGTATACCTATCGTGCCAAGGCCTTAAAGCTATAACTGTGATATTAATGCCTCTGTTTGCACATGGATTTGCTGAACTTCTCCTATACCAAGTCTTATATGGTATCTTCTTCGGATTTAGTTACATTTTATTGACGCCTATAATTGTGGAGTTGTTCGGAGTAGCGAAATTGGCAACAGTGTTTGGACTTACCTTGTGTGTTGGTGGTATGAGTTACCTGATTGGCCCAACCGTTGCTGGTATGTTGTTTCATTAGCTATTTTCCTGAATGTATATTCAGAAGAGACGCCATTTGCATTATGTACACATTCAATTCTCGCAATTATTATTTCAACACAGGATAGACAGCTCTGACCACTACGGTTTGCACAGAAACAACGACTACTGACAGTAGTTGTCGGGCTTTGTAACATGGCTGATTGGGTGTCATCACAGCTTGGGATTTTGTTTATGCTATCAGTTAGCGGTGTGTCTGGCCAATGCAAGACTCGATGACACTCTGATATAACTGAAATATTGCCGAACCCAAAGTAAAACTTAAAATATAATCGCTGACATCGCTAAAATTATCAATACTAGTGATATGACCCTTAGGTTAGGGTTAGGGTTAGGGTTAGGGTTAGGGTTAGGGTTAGGGTTAGAGTTGAGTCTTGCTGTGGCTACTGCCCTCTAAAGTATTACCTACTAACCATTGCTGCTGCACATATAAACATGTCCTCGTTGGTTTTAGGAGCACTGTTCGACATGACATCATCCTATTCTGCGGGATTCCACATTGGAGGTAAGAATGCGATTTTCATTTAAGACAGGATATGTTTCGGTCACATTTCAATCACATGTTTTTCTCTCTGAGTGAGTGAGCGAGTGAGTTGAGTTTAACGCCGCTTTTATATCACGGCGTGTCAGATTAATGTGGGAGGAAAGCCCGAAGTGATGCAGGTCTCAGACGTTTACCACTTCGGTGAAACCCACGAGCAGGGGTATGGTGCTGACAAACCTAGAAACATAATCGGGGCGAACCGGGATTCGAACCCACAATCATAGGTTTCTGGCGTGTCCAAGGGACGCAACTGTACACAGCGAATCGCGGCGCCTTAGAGGACTGGGCCACCCGTGCCCCTTTTCCCTCTGAAATAAGAAGACCAACCATTTCTTTGGATAACCTTTTTCATAACGTACTACAGGTCCACTGACGAAATATTTGTTGTAAAACTAGTTGACAAATTATTTTGTTGCAGAATTTCCGGAAGCTGTAAATGGTTGGCCCCAAACATATATAACAGCTTGTCACAAAATGTTAAGCACTTTGCATTGCATAATTTACCTATTATTATCGCGTTACGCCAGCAACGTATATGTTTCATGGATCAAACAAATCATATATAATGTTATGGATTAATGATCAGTTTGAATATATATGAGCTTCATTTTGCAATGTTGGAGGATCTCCATTTCTTTATGCAATTGCTAGGATAGGTGGCAATAATGCTTTCCTTATTTTCGGAGGTGTATTGTTTTATGTGAGCTTTGCTACGAGTTTTGCATTTAATAGTTCAGATTCAGGATATTGGCATCCTTAAATGTGATGTACATGTTCATATGCTTCCAGGCTCAGTGTCTTTTCTTGGCTCCATGCTCTTGTTCCTTATTCCCATCTTGAGGAGAAACGCCAAAGTTCATGGACAGTCAGAGAACAAGGAACATTTGGTTGTTACGGAGAACAAGGCACCGCTACTTGTTTCCGAGAACAAGGACCAGCTGCTACTTCACGAGAACAAGAAACCACTAGAGAAGAAAGAAATAGAGAGTCCATGCTAAAAGTTTCTCCCATGAGTCTTCAAGGATCAAATAGATGGACGTCGAAATTTCATCTCGCCGATAGTCTCAAACGATACCCTTTTGATGCCAATTTGGTGGATTTGCCAAACTTTCAGGACAGATCTATTACGCATATTTTTTTATTTCATTGTTGATAATGGAAACACAAAGAATCACATACACAAAGAAGGATTCAATAATCACTGTACAAAACGAATCATATGTACCCTTATTGTATGGGCGACCAAATTAGGACAATCACTTTTGAAACGCCGTCCATCCATGGTCAGTACCTAGCTCGGCCGGGACATGTTTACCATTTTCGCGAGCACATGGTGTCATCAGTGGTATTTCAGTGATCGATTCATATAACATTCATCTTTATTTTAAGCCCAGTGGAAACGTTGGCAGATAATAGAGACTGGTTGTTATCTAGCGTTGACAGTTTATATCTACTTGACTGGGATTCGAACACATGATCATCGGATGCAATTCTCAGAGAATACGGACCCCTCGGATCACTGTGCTATGCGAGCCCATATTAATTACCATGCTAGTTTTAAGCCATCGATGACATTGAATGGCGATATGTTTATCTCTTAGTTTCTATATTCATAGCCGACAATGTTTTTCATACTATTTATGCATATTGTAACTACAAATCAAAGAGGTGTTAAACAAAACTCACTAGTTTTGGATTAATCCTTTTAAGTCGTGTGTGCTCATTATTTAACGCTGCCCACAATACGGCTTGAAACATCTTTATTTATGTTCGTACCATCATGTTGGGGCACGGGTGGTCAAGTCGCTTAAGGCGCCGCGATTCGCTGTGTAGAGTTGCGTCCCTTGGGCACGCCAGAAACCTATGATTGTTGGTTCGTATCCCGGTTCGCTCCGATTACGTTTCTAGGTTTGTCAGCACCATACCCGTGCTCATGGGTTTCACCGATGTTTGAAACGTAAGACCTGCATCACTTCGGGCTTTCCGTCCACATTAAGCTGACACGCCGCGATATAACTGGAATATTGTTACTCACTCACTCACTCACTCACTCGTACCGTTATGAACCGTCATCAATGGTCGGGCAGCCTAGTAGTAAAGCTGTTCAGGTGTCACGCCGAATGCTCGGGTTCGAATCCCTTATGAATACAATGTAGAAAGCACATTTTTAGTGTCCCTCGCCAATATAGGGCAAGAAGAAACAGCGATATATAACCACACAATGACAAACTGTCCAGTCAGCATAATGTGTTCTTATTGATCTAGATCATTTTCAATTCATAAAAACAAAATTCGTTTTGGGCATTGGATATATTTGATGTTGCCTAATAATATGTCTTCTGTTTATGTTACTGATCATGTCTTGGATTACTGCGGGCACAGACAGCTTACTTCGAGCATACTCCAGCTTAACTTACCAACATCGGTCCCTTCTCATATTCCGGGACAGACTCCCGTCAAACGTCGGATCGGATGAATAACACAGTGTGTCCTGGATCACGTGTTTTTCCGTGTCCTACAGTCTGTTGTTTCTTTTGTTTGTTGTTTAACGCCGAACTTCAATATTCCAGCGATATGACGTCGGTCTGTAAATATTTGAGTTTGGACCAGACAATCCGGTGATAGACATCATGATCATCGATCTACGCAATTTGGATACGATGACATGCATCAACCAAGTCAGCGATCCTGACCACCCGATGTCGTTAGTCGCCTCTTTCGACTAGCATAGTCGCCTTTTCCGGCAAGCATAGGTTGCTGAAGACCTTTTCTACTCCGGATCTTCACGGGGAGTCCTACAGTGTGGCGGTTGTTATTATGGTAGTTTTTTTGTTTTTTTGTTTTTTTAGATAGAGCATCTGCCAAACGAGCGGAAGGTCGGTGGTCCGATCCCCGGCCGCATCATACCAAAGACGTTAAGCGATGGTACTAGTTACCCTGCTTGACATAATGGGGATAAAACAAGGACGTCAGTATCCTGTGTCTGAGTGGAGTATCCATTTTAAACTGCGGCATGGTATCTCAGTGGGCTGTCACCGACATTTGTCCGGTCCAGTACACACATACACCCACACGCACACAGACTCAAACACACACGGACTCAAACACGCACGCACGCACGCACGCACGCGCTTACTAGGGTGCAATTATCTTGACCACGACGTTGAACCACATCTCACCACACGCACGCACGCCCGCACGCACGCACGCACGCACGCGATTACTAGGATGCAATAATCTTGACCACGACGTCGAACCACATCTCAGCACACAATACCATATATTTCTCGGGGATAGCAAAGATATTTTAAAATAGAGTGGAGTGGAGTGAGTATGGTTTTACGCCGCTTTGAGCAATATTCCAGCAATATCACGGCGGGGGACACCAGAAATGGGCTTCACACATTGTACCCATGTCGGGAATCGAACCCGGGTCTTCGGCGTGACGAGTTAACGCTTTTAACCACTAGGCTACCCGACCGCCCCTTTTTAAAATAGAACAAAAGTGCATTTATTTGGGGTAGTATTCTGTGAGGTCATCCTTAATATTTAAATGTCTCAGATCACATCGAACGACATTCAGCAGGGAAATCAGTGTGCAAGAGGGAGTGACTCTGCCGACTGTCGCGCATCATATAACATATCCAGCGCAAGTGCTGTCCATTAGGAGCCAGCAAACCGATGCTGTAGTGGATTCAAAAGGAAATCATCATTCCATAAAATGATAAATGCAGTACATATATAATGAGCGCTGGGCGAGATGGCATCTGATACAATCTGCGAGTCTAGTCATTATTTCCTGTACACAACGTCAAGGACAAGCATATGTGCAGTTAGGTCATGTTTTATGCGTGCCAAAAAGCAAAATATAATTCACAGGGTAAAATACATCACTTTCCGAGCTTTGGGTGAATGAGTAAGTGAGTGAGTTGGGTTTAACGCCGCTTTTAAGAGTATTCCAGTTATATCACGGCATGTCAGCTTAATGTGGGAAGAAAGCCCGAAGTGATTCAGGTCTCAGACGTTTACTATTTCGGTGAAACCCACGAGCACGGGAACGGTGCTGACAAACCTAGAAACATAATCGGGGCGAACTGGGATTCAAAACCGCAATCATTGGTCTCTGGCGTGCCCCAAAGAACGCAACTCTACACACCGAATCGCGGTGCCTAAGACGACTTGGCCACCCGTGCCCCCTTCGAGCTTTGAGATATACAACTAAGGTCAAGTTCTCATCGAGGTACGATCCAACGACACTCACTTGGTCCGGCCCATGTGGGTTGTTTGTGTGGGACCGACATCATTGTTCCATCCTGCCCATGACGTCTTCATAGGGTTACGTTTAAGTGGGAAGTCGTTCCACGACAGTCTGGAGCACAGCGTGGTGTGTGTGTGGTTGGAAGCAGGAAAACAAGCAGACGGTTGTAGTATACAGGGCGTTGAATGTGTCCCAAAGCGCCATCTTTAGACTTTAGTGTCCGCTTGTTGTGGAATAAAAAGGGACAAAAACCTTTTCAATAACCGTAAGAAATCTCTACTAAAAGCTAAGTCCATTGTACAATTCCGACTACAGTTAACTACGTTTATAACGAACACGCTTATAACGAACTGACGGATATAACGAACTTACTTTTTTGTCCCGACTATCTGCTGTATTATGCTGTATATATGCTTATAACGAACTACGGTTATAACGAACTAAAGTAAGTGGTCCCTTTGAGTTCGTTATAACCGTAGGTTACTGTATATCCATAAAACTCTTTCCAAAGCCACAAGAAATCTCTGCTAAACGATTCCGACTGTATCATGAGCATGTGTTTAAGAATCACTATCAAATAGTGATGATACCAGGTGTTCAAGAAAAGATGGCGTATCCTGTCCCATCGGTTGCTCGCGTCACAAACACATGCAAAGGCAAGTCAAGTGTTCACCTGTGGTAACACGGAAACATATGTTTGAATAACAGATGGGGACTTCTGGAGACGTCTTGCCACTTCTCCGATGGATATTGCAGCCACCCTACCGCACGACCTCTGACTAACTGACTTTAATGACATGGTTTCCAAAACAGGCGGGGGAAGGACTCACCAGTTTCGACCTTTAAAGCAATGTGTGCATTTGATTCAAGCAAATCATGCTGAGCATTTCATTGTTGCATTGGGGTGAAAAATGATTGCATGTCTAAAACAACTGCGTTCGAAAATGACACATTCAAGTAGGTTTCAAGCCATTCAAACACAATTCACTTCATGTACCCATACCTTGAGTTTTCTATATTGAATTTGTCACATAGGGCACATTGCACATTTGTACTCACGTATTTTTTATCACTACATATATTTGATGTTTTTTTGGTTTTGGTTTGTTGTTTAACGCCGCACTCATAAATATTCCAGCTGTATGACGGCGGTCTGTAAATAATCGAGTCAATCAGACAATCCAGTGATTAATATCATGAGCATCGATCCACGCAATTGGGATCGATGACATGCCTCAACCAAGTCAGCGAGCCTGACCACCCAATCCCGTTTGTCGCCTTTTACGACAAGCATAGTCTCCTTTTATGGCAAGCATGGGTTGCTGAGGACCTATTCTACCCCGGATCTTCACGGGTCACATATATGAGCGTTATTTAAACGGTAAAGACAGACAATGGCATGAAACGTTAAATATCAGCTCGATATCTATGAAGTAGTATACAGACTTTAAAACAATTTTCTAAAAAGACGTACCAATGAAATAGGATTTGGAATGATACATCATCTCGGAGATTTGGGCTAAAGGGGGAAATATGAAATACATGTATGTTATTTTGCATTATAGACCGCCTCCGTGGTCTAGTGGATAGTGTCCGCCCGGAGAGCGGAAGGTCCGGGGTTCGATCCCCGGTCGCGTCATATTAAAAGACGTTAAAGGATGGTACTTGTTGTTACCCTGTCTAGCACTCGGCATTAAGGGGCTAAAACAAGGACTGGTCGGCTCGGAGTCCGGAGTCCGGACTAGAGCACACACACACACACACACACACACACACACACACACACACACACACACACACACACACACACACACACACACACACACACACACACACACACACACACACACACACACACACAATCGCAAAGAACAAAGAAGAATGAGACGTGGGCTATTTCACGATAAAACTTTGTTCTATAATGACGGCATTTGTGACATAAGGTCACACCTTGATGTCGTAAATTGGACGAAGCGGGTATTTAGCAAGGTCGACAGATCATACGACAGTCTTACCACGAGAGGTGATATGATGCATTAACCTAGACAAACAATATAGATAACCATCCCTCGTTGTATTTGCTTATGTACCACGACAACCTGGGTGATAAGTAACAAATGTGTTTCATATATGTAACCTGTAGTTGAAGCACAGTTTCTCAAATAATTTAAACATGTACCTGTCAATAAGCTCTGTCGAACATGGAATAATATACCCCAAAGTACATACACACACTGTGTGTATATATATATATTAGAGTATATATTTACCTAAAATATAGCTCAATCTTTTAAGAGTTTAGAACTATTCTGACACGATTTAGATGAGGTTAGGTGAAATGATGCTATTTGTCGCATTCAAGATCGTTTCACTCACCCACACCCCCACACCCCCACACCCCCACACCCTCATTTCACACCCCACATCCCAACCAAACATGATGAAAATGCAAGTATCAACATAAATAACATTAGAATATTTTAACCTATTGCTAGTTTTATTTATCCTAGGATCGGATACACTAGTGAATTCTTTACATTTGAACAATCAATTCAAAGAAACACAACATTTTTTAAATAATATTCATAAAGGGAGGGATGTCTGTTTTTCTTAGCATTTCCCCTTGGACGCTCAGGTTGATAGGTCTGATCCATCTGTTCCATCCATGGTTGATCAAATCAACTGACAATGTGTCAAACCTCAAAGTCATGAAGTCATGTGATCAGCTGATCACCGCTATATTTAAATATCTTTTGTTGTATTGTACTGAATGAATGAATGAATGAATGAATAAATGAATGAATGAATGAATGAATGAATGAATGAATGAATGTGATTTGGTCCGGTCCTGGTGATTTTCTCATTTTTAAGCTTTGTTTCAGTCGTTTTAGTTCGTGTATTTCTATGTCTGTCTTCAGTACAGGATCATCGTCCAGAAGTGGTATCTTTGAGATGTTGTTTATTCCAGAGTCCGTCTCAACGCGAAAGTCGCTGTCAAACTCCGGCCGATCAAGAGGTGATAAAAAATCTGCATAGTAGTCTGCCCACAAGTTGCACACCCCTGATGGTGTATTGCAACAGCGTTCTTTGTACCTGAGGTGTGTATTTACAGTCTTAGATTGTCTTTGTTTCTCTACAATCCTGTAGAATTCAGCAATATCTACTTCACATGATGATTTGTATTGTACTGTATGTAGTATGTAGCCCGCATATGAAATGAATACCCATCCTAACGTGTTGTACAAGACATAACTGCCAGCACCCACCCTATCCACACAACGTTCTTTGCGGGTACAGTTCAGAGTTAGAGATTATGAATTCGGTAAAGTAGGTGTATCTCCTCATTACTCACGACAACAACGTCCCCAATAAATTGTCTGGATTAACGAATCCACTGTGTATACAGGTAAGCAGAAGACATCATCTGGAAGGTGGGTTGTCCAGATTAACCGTATCCGGATTAGCGAGGTTTTATTGTACTAAAGGTATTCGAGATGGTATTTCCGCATACTCTACATGCAACTGATTAAACTAACATACAGTGAGGTGTAAAGTTGAGTAAAGAAAAGGGAACACTCTATATTTAGGAAACCCTCAAATCTCTGAGAATGGGATGAGTTTGGCTTCTGGAGCTGAGGAGGGAGTCGGGATAGAAGGGAGCGAGTTGCTTCAATAACTATTTGCTCTGAGATCTGTAAAAGGAAAGCTGATATTAACAGTCTGCCATTACATATATCTAGCTACATATAACTAGTCCGTGTATCTATCCTTTGTATGTAGTCCGTGTATCTATACTTTGTAGCTAGGCTGTGTATCTATTCTTTGTATCTAGTCCGTGTATCTATACTTTGTATCTAGCCTGTCTATATATCCTTTGTATCCAGTCTGTGTATCTATTCTTTGTATCTAGCCCGTGTATGTATCCTTTGTAGCTAGGCTGTGTATCTATCCTTGTATCTACTCCGTGTATCTATCCTTTATAGCTAGGTTGTGTATCTATATTGTGTATCTAGCCCGTGCATCTATCCTTTGTAGCTAGGCTGTCTATATGTCCTGTGTATCTAGTCCGTGTAACTATCCTTTGTATCTAGCCTGTCTATATATCCTTTGTATCTAGCCCGTGTATGTATCCTTTGTATCTATCCTGCGTACACAAGTCGCTCTCTTCATAACGCCCCATCACAAACTCTGATAACGAGAAGTCACTTAGTGTTCCAAGTGTTATCTTTAATATTGAACCTGGTGATATGATAACACCTGTTATCTCACCAACCAGTCACGTGGCCGGAGACAAAATGGTGGCGACGAACCTCATCCTTCTGACAACGGTCAGTTTAATGCTTGTCATAATGACAGGTAAGTAACATATTCATTGTTGAATCTTCAGTGTTGTGACGCTGTCATTATTGCTGGTCTGTCTAAAACGATGTCTCCCATCATGAAGTCGTACAGTGTTGAGATCACGTGACGATAGTGTCCTGTCCCATACGCTCTGTGAGTGGCGACGATCATTTTACAGCAATCCAGTAGTGGAAATATAATATTCTGCATGTACAGAATATCTCCCTTGTGTCTGTTGATATTAAATGTATTAACACGAGTCGATAAAAATTGAAACCTCCGAAGCTTGTCGATAAGCTTTAGTGAGTGAGTGTGGTTTTACGCCGCTTTTAGCAATATTCCAGCAATATCACGGCGGGAGACACCAGAAATGGGCTTCACACATTGTACCCATGTCGGGAAGCAAACCCGGGTCTTCGAGCGAACGTTTTAACCACAAGGCTACCCGACCGCCCCCCGATGAGGTTTAAACTTTTATCGGCTATTGTTGATATCAAAAGACACAAGGGTGAGATTTTATCATCCAAAATCGTTCTTCCTACTTCCTATCAAGAGTGTAATAAGAAGGTGAGGTGAGGTGAGGTGAAATTTGGTTTAACGTTGCGTCCAAGATTAAAGCACTTATATAGCGACGTGCATGCACGTGTGTGTGTGTGTGTGGCTGCTTGTACTAGACCGGTCGATGCCGATTGATAGTGCTAGCCCACTGAGATACCATGCCGCAGTTTAACATGAATACCCCGATCAGATACAAAATACTGACTCCGAGCTGACCAGTTCTTGCTTTAACCCCTTAATACAGGGTAACAACAGGGTAACAACAAGTATCATCTTTTAACGTCTTTCGGTATGACGCGGCCGTAATAAGAAGGCAGCTAACCAGCTTCAGTGACAGATAGATTAGATTGCGACTGATACTTAATGGTAATCATACTCTTATCTCTGTCCTTTTGACGTTGGTAACTCCATTACCGCCTTCAATTTCTATTTCCTTAAATATATTCATCTTGAATAGGAAATTCACATAAACGTTGATAAATCACCAGGCAGTCTATTGCTTGCTCTCTTCCGGATTATGGTCGTACGTGTAGTGTGTGCAGATGTAAACTATTACGAAAAGGCGCCAAGATTGGTTGGTTGGTTTGTTGTTAAACGCCGCAATCAGCAATATTCCAGCTATATGACGGCGGTCTGTAAATGATCGATTTTGGACCAGACAATTCAGTGATTGATATCATGAGTATCGATCCACGCAATTGGGATCGATGACATGTATCAACCAAGTCAGCGAGCCTGACCACCCGATTCCGTTAGTCGCCTCTTACGACAAGCATATTCACCCCTTACGACAAGCATAGTCGCCTCTTACGACAAGCATAGTCACCCCTTACGACAAGAATAGTCGCCTCTTGCGACAAGCATAGTCACCCCTCACGACAAGCATAGTCGCTCTTACGACAAGCATAGTCACCCCTTACGACAAGCATAGTCGCCCCTTACGACAAGCATAGTCACCCCTTACGACAAGCATAGTCGCTCTTACGACAAGCATAGTCACCCCTTACGACAAGCATAGTCACCCCTTACGACAAGCATAGTCACCCCTTACGACAAGCATAGTCGCTCTTACGACAAGCATAATCACCCCTTACGACAAGCATAGTCACCCCTTACGACAAGCATAGTCACCCCTTACGACAAGCATAGTGGCTCTTACGACAAGCATAGTCGCTCTTACGACAAGCATAGTGGCTCTTACGACAAGCATAGTCGCCTCTTACGACAAGCATAGTGGCTCTTACGACAAGCATAGTCGCCTTAAAACAAAGTACAGTGGGTCTGTAATCATATGTCTTCACCATAAAGAGGGTTTATGGAAGGCTATATTTTCGGTTATTGCGTCTGGTAAGTATGAAACATCATCGCCTAGACATAACGAGTGATGCAAATTATATCAAAGAATCGATGGAAATCAGTGATGACACCAGGTGTTCGCAAACGTGGAAGCATATCGGTAGCACCCGCCACTCACACAATTTGCTAAAAAGTGTGTTTTTGTTTGATGCCCAACATACATGCGTTTTCCCTGAAAGTAGAAACAAACAATCTTGAGGTTACTTCATAACATACTCTTGACATCCAGCGTGTTCAGTGGACAATTTCTTTGGTGAAATCTGGGCAATAGATAATTCTTTACCATATAAATAATGTTATCGATGTCACATACCAATCCGATAAACGTGATACCACCATCCTGAAAAAGTAGGTCACCTTGCAGGAACTACTTTTGTTACATCGATGTGACAACTACTTGCTACAAAGCTGTTGCATAAATTTCCCCAACACTTTTAGATGTGTGAGTACTCATGTCAACAAATGTCGGCACAATATCATGAACGAGACTGTCCACTCAAGCTTTGTATTCCTACGCGGTTTGTAAGTTACAGTAGTGAATAGCAATATGTCCTAAGTTTTGATTTAAAAAAAAAATGACATGATTTCGTTGACGTAGATCTCACAACGTCAAAACCTCGCATTATACAATTTGGATCTTTATATATGATACTTATGACACGTGAACACTCTCGGCTAATAATCTCTATTTCCCAAACCTCTATTTTCCAGAACAAGCACCTGCGGATCAAGCCCGTATTCCTGCCTTACAGGTGGTTGTCGCCAGTAACGGGACCTATCAACTGAAGGTCAAGGGTACGGTCTGGTTAAACAGTGCCCCAACGTTCTTCGTCCTGAACAACCAGAGGTATGGCATTGACGACGGAACTCTGGTGGTTGAGTCCGTCAAGAACATCAGCTTCCCAGGGGATCTTTTGGGACCCGGCGTAGAGACCCGAATCACCTTCAACGCCAACAACGTCACCATTGTCGCAAGTGTCCTCGCATACTCCTCGGACGAGCTGTTGACATTCAAAGTGGTAAGATCTAAGATAGTTGCTGAAGGAGGTAGTGGGTTGGTAGGATTTTACGTCGTCAAGGGCTCTCGTACATATATGTTGCCCAGAGCACCACGGATATGATTCTCTGCGAAATCGAACCCGGACCTTCGACGTTACGAGTTGACCCTTTAACCACTAGCCTACCCAAAATCCGATATCTCCTGACCGATAAGGGTATTATATATGGATTCAGATTATCTATACTCATGTGTTTATTTATAATGTGATTGTTGGAGGTGGTTGTCTCAAATAGTTACCACTGTCATGAAACCCACGAACGTGGGTATGTTGCTGATAATCCAGGGTTCGTAATCAGGGCGTGTTTGGGATTCGAATCCGAGATCATAGGATTTTGACACGTCTAAGGGATGCGTCTCTGCATAGCGATTGTGACGCCTCGCCCGATAGATGGTGACAGTTTTCTGAAATGGTTCCGCGTTTCACAAGCCTTGATGACGCGATGTTAAATTTAACTTTTTTTTCTTACACTTTCAGAACTTCCCCATGGGCGCTACAGACATTAACCACATCAACTACGACAGCGTCATCTGTGGCTTCCCGGGCTTCGTGATGGAGAACGACTTGTATCCCCTCGGCTTCATGTCTCTGGGTGGGGAGTTTGCCGGCTACACGGAGCAGATGGTGGGCAGGTGGGAGAAACAGTCAGCTTAGGGACCGACCATTGTCTCGCAAGCAATCGAGAAGAAATTACCCTTTCAACAGCTTGATTGTTTCCGGTATTTTCTGGAACAAATTATTTTTGTCAAGCAAATCGCACGCCCCAAAATAAAGAATGGTCGGTCCCTTGTAAACATCATGTTTTACTGTCGGCGGCATAACTCTACAACTGGTTTCACTTGTTTTCCAAATTGATAACCCAGTCAAGAAGTTGTTGAGGCCTTGCCTCGATTCGTTGGGTAAGCGTCAATGTAAGGCTTTATTTGTGAGGCATGCATGTCAGTGTAAAGCGTACTGTGCCGTATATGTCAATGTACAGCTTAGTGTGCCGTGCATGTCAATGTACAGCATAGTGTGTCGTGCATGTTAATGTAAAGCTTAGTGTGCCGTGCATGTCAGTGTACAGCTTAGTGTGCCGTGCATGTCAGTGTAAAGCTTAGTGTGCCGTGCATGTCAGTGTACAGCATAGTGTGCCGTCCATGTCAGTGTAAAGCTTAGTGTGCCGTGCATGTAAGTGTAAAGCTTAGTGTGCCGTCCATGTCAGTGTGAAGCTTAGTGTGCCGTGAATGTCAGTGTACAGCATAGTGTGTCATGCATGTCAGTGTAAAGCTTAGTGTGCCGTACATGTCAGTGTACAGCATAGTGTGTCATGCATGTCAGTGTAAAGTTTAGTGTGCCGTGCATGTCAGTGTACAGCATAGTGTGCCGTCCATGTCAGTGTAAAGCTTAGTGTGCCGTCCATGTCAGTGTAAAGCTTAGTGTGCCGTCCATGTCAGTGTAAAGCTTAGTGTGCCGTGAATGTCAGTGTACAGCTTAGTGTGCCGTGCATGTCAGTGTACAGCATAGTGTGCCGTGCATGTCAGTGTAAAGCTTAGTGTTCCGTGCATGTCAGTGTACAGCATAGTGTGCCGTGCATGTCAGTGTACAGCATAGTGTGCCGTGCATGTCAGTGTACAGCATAGTGTGCCGTGCATGTCAGTGTTCAGCTTAGTGTGCCGTGCATGTCAGTGTACAGCTTAGTGTGCCGTGCATGTCAATGTAAAGCTTAGTGTGCCGTGCATGTCAGTGTAAAGCTTAGTGTGCCGTGCATGTCAGTGTAAAGCTTAGTGTTCCGTGCATGTCAATGTAAAGCTTAGTGTGCCGTGCATGTCAGTGTAAAGCTTAGTGTTCCGTGCATGTCAGTGTACAGCATAGTGTGCCGTGCATGTCAGTGTAAAGCTTAGTGTGCCGTGCATGTCAGTGTACAGCATAGTGTGCCGTGCATGTCAGTGTACAGCATAGTGTGCCGTGCATGACAGTGTACAGCTTAGTGTGCCGTCCATGTCAATGTACAGCATAGTGTGCCGTGCATGTCAATGTACATTTTGGTGTGCCGTGCATGTCAATGTACAGTTTAGTGTGCCGTGCATGTCAATGTACAGCATAGTGTATATAATGCTATTATTAATATTTCGGACGGACGAAAGGCGTCAAACGATGGTACGTATTGTTACCCTACCTGTTCAGTAAGAAAGGGCTAAAACAAGGACTGGTCGGCTCAGAGTCAGTACAGTGTGTCGTCGCTGTGCGCGTGAGATATTCTTAACATAAACCCCATGTCACCACACCTCGTTAATATCTTGCTATTATTATTAACACAAAGCCTACATGTTTTCTACCCTTTAATCACTCACATTGTGACTCGGAAATGACCCGAGTGTGTTCCATCATGAAGATATAGGTACAGACATAACGCATATGTCTGAGTCAACGACAAATGAAATGGTTTGGTCAAGACATTATAACTGTCACTCGCTGTGTTGCAGAACAAATGTATTTCTTAAACGTTGCTCATTACCTATAAACAGCAGAGTCTCTGCACTTTACACGGAAGACGTGTCAGTAAGTACGCTAGCATATCACTGGATTGTCTGGTCCAATTGATTGTCTACAGGCCGCCGTATGACAAGAGTACTGTGCAGAGTCAGGCAACAACCACTTACATTTTAAGCGAGTGATTGATTATGGTTTTAAGCCGCTTTTAGCAATATTCCAGCAATATCACGGCGGGGGACACCAGAAATGGGCTCCACACATTGTACCCATGTCGGGAATCGAACCCGGGTCTTCGGCGTGACGAGCGAACGCTTTAACCACTAGGCTACCCGACCGCCCACAATTTAAGCGTCTAGTGTGAGTGGCGTGCTAGGACAGTGCATGCTTACCCTTTTTGCGAACACTTGGTGTCATCATTGTTCCGTTCATTAAGGTTTTATCGCTATTTTCTCTGTTACGCCCTGCGGAATCCGTTTCGGTGAATAAATGAGCCTGGCTGTTCTCTGTGGTTGACGTTTTATATTCTCACCAGGTGGAACAAGACGGCCAACATTCAGGACGGCCTGGAGGGGTCGGCTCCCCTAAACCTTTTCGACAAGAGCTTTAACGCCATCACCATAGGTCCACAGGATAACTTCATGTCCACGTCGTTGTGGCGGGACATCGACAACGACTACGTATACTGGGGAATCATGAGCGGTGTTACCCAAGTTCCAACTAATTTCACATACCAAGTTTTAACAGCCTATTCAGCTGACGTCACACAGGTATTATTACAGTGGTTACATGTCTTGATAAACGATATAGAGTTTTAGAACCATGACGATCCGGGTTAAAATAGATGTTCAGCAACCCATGCTTGTCGTAAGAAGCGATTAACGGGATCAGGTGGTCAGGCTCGCTGACTTTATTGATGAAGGTCATCGTGTCCCATTTGCGTTGATCGATGCTCATGATTTCAATCACTGTATTGTCTGTCCAGACTCGATTATTTACAGACCGCCCTCATATAGCTGGAATATTGCTGAGTGCGGCGTTAAACAACAAACCAACAAACAAAACATGCGTATTTTTATGAGGGAATCAGTTGCGTTTGACGCCGCTTTGATCAGTATTCCATTTATATCACAGCTTGTCAGCTTGATGTCGGGGAAAGTCCCGCAGTGCATATATTAGACGTTTATTACTTTTGTTGAAACGCACGAGCACGGATGTGAGGGTGACAAACCAAGATACATAATCGGGGCGAACCGGGATTCGAACCCACAATCGCAGGTTTCTTGCGTTCCCAGTGGACACAATTCTGCACAGAGAATTGCGGGCCTTGCACGACTGGGCCACCCGTGCCCAATATTGTTATGATGAACTTCGAGCTGCAAGCTCGTATGTTATCCGTAAAGATAATAGCGATGTTCACACCGAACGCTTTCCCTTTATCGCAATTCAGTATGCACAAGGCACCGCAATTCGCTGGTCAGAGTGGCGTCCCTTAGGCATGCCATCATCCTATGACATTCTTGACCAACTCGTGTTATTCCGGGACAAGCCGAAAAGCGACTCGTGCCTCCCTCGTGGCAATTTTTGCGACCGGGTTCCGTCTTGGCGCAAACGGGCATAGCTAAAACAATTGTCAACTCGTTGCGTAATGGTTCACATATATTTCCCCATATATTATATATATTTCAGATGCAAATTAAAGCACATCGGAACATGCCGAATTATACAGTATGATAGACCACATTTAACTGTGTCTTGGGTATATTTTTAGAAGCAAGACATATGTAAAATCAAACATTATTTCTGAGGGATTCTTTGACGAAGAACTTGAAATCATACGCGCATTTTGATTGGTTTGTCGTATTTTCGCACATAACAGTCATCGATAGGGGGGCGAGTTTTCTTGCAGGTCACGGAAAGAGGCGAGTGGTGACGAATGCATCCTATGATAGAGATTCTAATCTCAGATTCGCCCTTATTATCTTATCCATGCTCGTTGGTTTCACAAACCAGGTAAAGGACCTTCCCATAGTCCCTCCCACATTAAGCTGACGCTCATATCTTTGACTGAAAGATTCATAAAACCCACCTAACTCACTTATTTAATCCTATAACGACCAACAGGATGGTAATCTGGTTTGGTTTGATCTGTTTGTTTAGAGCATGTTCGTGTGGGGCAACTCAATCGCCAGCTTATACTACAGGCTGAGCCGCCCCTCCGACCCAGTTGTCAACAACATCGGCTACTGGACCGGAGAAGGTCAGTGACACTACACGAGACAATGTGAGATTGCGTGAGATTATAGATTGAAACTGATAGGTCAAACATGAATACCTCCTTATATCCTTCAATATATGGTGCTTATTATGATGGTATTGCCTTATAGATAAATTTCGGTTGGCCTTTGTTTAACCATTGTTGCATTGTGCGCGGATCCATTGTGAAAAAATGTTTTTAATAATAATTATTATTTATAGTTGTAGGTAGTCATCGACCATCTCTTTAAAAGCTGCAGCTTATTCCCATAGCGAGGCTTATATTACCGTAAATGTTTATATTAAAAAAGAAGAAGTTTTAAATCATGGTAATTATAACGCTAGCGTCAGGTACAAAAAGTGGAACTCAGTTTGGCGAATTTAGACCACACGTTACGTTAGTTCTTTCAGCTTTTGCGTATCGTTCGCTGGCTTTATTCGACGAGTCGTGTGTTGTCATCGTGAATCGAGTACTCTCTTTATCGTGAGCGACAATCACCAGTTACTGAAAAATCAGTGTTCGACTATACACAATCACGAACCGTATCGCTCGCAGCGTGGAGCCAAAAGCACGGGCATGAGCCCAACATTGTGAGAAGCCCCTTTCAGATGTCTAGCGCCGTGATGTAAATAGAGCACAATGTACTGTCAGTCAGTTGTATAGTTGATCACTCTCACAGGTACTGCTGTGGCAAGTTCAGCCGGTAATTTACAAGCCACCGTCACGTTACTCGAATATTTGTGATCGCAGCGAAGACAAACATCCACGCTTTCACTCACTGTGTCTATTTCTGTAGGGTCCTTCTACTACGAGGAAGGGAGTTTCGAGGGTAACTATGAAGACGCCATCACAGCTGTATTTGCAGCTGCAGCTAATAGATCACTGCCATACAGGTAATTCTCCCCGCCGTACAAGTAATTCACCCTGCCATACAGGTAGTTCTCCCCGCCGTACAGGTAATTCTCCCTGCCATACAGGTAGTTTTCGACGCCATACAGGTAATTCTCCCCGCCATATAGGTAATTCTCCCCGCCGTACAGGTAATTCTCCCCGCCATATAGGTAATAATCTCCGCCATACAGGTAATTCTCCCCGCCGTACAGGTAATTCACCCTGCCATACAGGTAGTTCTCCCCGCCGTACAGGTAATTCTCCCTGCCATACAGATAGCTCTCCCCGCCATACAGGTAGTTCTCCCCGCCGTACAGGTAGCTCTCCACGCCATATAGGTAATTCTCCCCGCCGTACAGGTAATTCTCCCTGCCATATAGGTAATAATCTCCGCCATACAGGTAATTCTCCCTGCGGGACAGGTAATTCTCCCCGCCATACAGGTAATTCTCCCCGCCATACAGGTAGTTCTCCCCGCCGTACAGGTAGCTCTCCACGCCATATAGGTAATTCTCCCCGCAATACAGGTAATTCTCCCTGCCGTACAGGTAGTTCTGCGCGCCATATAGCTAATTCTCCCTGCCGTACAGGTGGTTTTCCACGCCATACTGGTAGTTCTCCACGCCGTACAGGTAGTTCTCCCCGCCGTACAGGTAGTTCTCCCCGCCGTACAGGTAGTTCTCCCCGCCGCACAGGTAATTCTCCCCGCCGTACAGGTAGTTCTCCCCGCCATATAGGTAATTGTCCCTGCCGTACAGGTAGTTCTTCCCGCAATACAGGTAATTGTCCCTGCCGGACAGGTAGTTCTCCCCGCCATAAAGGTAATTCTCCCCGCAATACAGGTAATTCTCCCTTCAATACAGGTAATTCGCCTTACCATGCAGGTAACACTCCCCGCCATACAGGTAATCCTCCCTGTCGTAAGGGTAGCTCTCCTGCTGTACAGGTTATTCTCCCTTCAATACAGTTAACTCTGCTTACCATGCAGGTAATTCTCCCTGTCATACAGGTAATTTTCCATGCCATACATATAACTGTCCTTTTCATTCAGGTAGTTCTCCTTGCCATACAATTATTCTTCCTACCGTACAGGTAATTGTCCCTGCCATACAGGTAATTGTTCCTGCCATACAGGTAATTGTCCCTGCCATACAGGTAATTGTCCCTGCCATACAGGTAAGTGCCCCTGCCATACAGGTAAGTGTCCCTGCCATACAGGTAAGTGTCCCTGCCAAACAGGTAAGTGTTCCTGCCATACAGGTAATTGTCCCTGCCATACAGGTAATTGTTCCTGTCATACAGGTAATTGTCACTGCCAATATGATTGGATCTATGGAATCGTACCAGAAGAGCCTGGGCAGCATTGCGGATATGATGATCCCGGTGTTGGGTAGTTGAATGTATCCGAAGGATTGGGGCTTCCCTGAGTTTGCCCCCCTTGATTATGCACAGATCCTGGTGAATGATGAGGGCTCCGGGGCTACGCTGTGTCGCCTCGACCTGTGCATCTAATACAGTGTCAAGCATTCCGAATATTATACCGAGGTTGGTTGGTTGGTTGTTTAACGCCGCACTCAGCAATATTATACCGAGGGTAATGCAAGATTGGGTGGCGGGGTAGCCTCATCACTCTGAGGGCCTTGGTAGACCGTTTGTTGACTGGTAGACTGTTTGTTGCCTGTTGACTGGTAGACTGTTTGTTGACTGTTGACTGGTAGACTGTTTGTTGACTGTTGACTGGTAGACTGTTTGTTGACTGTTGACTGGTAGACTGTTTGTTGACTGGTAGACTGTCTGTTGACTGTTGACTGGTAGACTGTTTGTTGACTGTTGACTGGTAGACTGTTTGTTGACTGGTAGACTGTTTGTTGACTGTTGACTGGTAGACTGTTTGTTGACTGGTAGACTGTTTGTTGACTGTTGACTGATAGGCTGTTTGCGACCACAATATGAATTAGAAGATGACCCTTATGTTTGCTAGTTGCTTGTTTCAAAGCCTAAATGGTTTGGATACCCGCAATAAAGCCATTTTGTTGTTTGTACTAAATGCAAAATAATTAAATACAAACACATCGCTAATGTGAGCCGTCCTATATTTCAGTATTTAGGTATTTATTCTGTTTTATGCGACGATTGGATGGAGGTGATAATACCTTATCAAAGTGGGTGAGGAATGATACTCCAAAAGTCAACCCTGTGTTCAGGTATATCCCTTTGCCCATCTCGCTTCTTGTGCTGCAGCTATGTGGAACTGGACAACTGGTGGTTCACAAAAGGTCAAGGAGGAGGGGTCAAGAAGTGGACAGCACCCACGGACATCTTCCCCAATGGAATCGAGTACGTCTTGAGTGATGTAACATTCAGAATCGAACATGTAATGCACAATACTTGTCGTGACCCTTACAGTAATGTTTTAAAATGACAGACCGCCTTCTTGGCCCCGTTCCACAAAGCGATCTTAGCGCTAAGTCGATCGTAACTCCCATTCTTTAACACTGACTTACGACAATCGTAGCGCTAAGATCGCTTTGTGGAACGGGGCCCTGGTCTGTTGGATAGAGCGTCTGCCCGGGGAGCGAAGCTCGGTGGTTCGCGTCATACCATAAAGTTAAGAGATGGTACTTGTTGTTACCCTGTCCGGTGCTCGGCTTAAAGGGGTTAAAACAAGGGCTGGTCAGTATTATGTGTCTTATGAGGCATGGTATCTTAGTGGCCTTGCACTGTAAACTCGGGTAAGTTCGGGCCAGTACAAGCAGCCACAAAGACACACATATGAACGTCGCTGTATAAGTGCAATAACCTAGAACACGACAGTATACCCCAATTCACCTCAACTTTGTAATTTCAAGTCATCTTTAAAGGATACTATCCCAGTTATTCTCAGGTGTAAACCCTCCTTCAGCAATGTATGCACGATAGGGATATATTGTCATGTATTAAATTCACAAGTGTCATACAGTAGACTACGGTTAAAACGAACACGCTTATAACGAACAGACGGATATAATTAACTTAATTTTTTGTCCCAAATATTTGCTGCAGTTAAGCTGTATAAATGCTTATAACGAACTACGGTTATAACGAACTAAAATTAGTAGTCCCTTTGAGTTCGTTGTAACCGTAGTTTACTGTATTATAATTAACCAGTGTTCGACCGTGATCTTTGCTGCGGCCATGTTCAAGGAACTGTAGTGTTACATTTCACCAGTGGTCGATGAAAGTTGTGCTTTACACAAGGTATAGGAAAGTCCCTTTCGAATTCTCGATCAATCACTGGTATCGCATAGAAGATATACATGCATGGGCGCGGACTGTGCCGGTTCTTTTTTGGGGTGTGGGGTGTGTGGGTAGGGGGGGGGGGGGGGGGGGGTGGTTTGGGTAGGGGGTAGCTCAGGCTTAAAAAACATTGTGTGGGAGTTACCGAAGGTGCACATGGTCTGGATTATCTAGGCCTGTGTTAAGTGTTGCGGTTCTTTGCGTGTAACCTGACGTCATGGCCTCGTCTGTTGTAGGCAGCTGCACAACAAGATTAATAAGCCGATTGTTGCCAAAAATAACTTCTGGTAAGTAAATAGGAACAGTTGTCAGCGGCACTGACAGACACATCATCCCTTCACTATATTTCTTTAAAGTATAACACCATTTATCTCCAGTATGTAACACCATCGTATATCTATTGTATATAACACAACCACGTATCTATTGTATATAACACAACCGCGTATCTATTGCATATAACACAACCATGTATCTATTGTATATAACACAACCATGTATCTATTGTATATAACTTGCCACGTATCTATTGTGTATAACACAACCATGTATCTATTGTATATAACGCAACCGCGTATCTATTGTATATAACACAACCATGTATCTATTGTATATAACACAACCATGTATCTATTGTATATAACACAACCGCGTATCTATTGTATATAACACAACCATGTATCTATTGTATATAACACAACCATGTATCTATTGTATATAACACAACCGCGTATCTATTGTATATAACACAACCATGTATCTATTGTATATAACACAACCATGTATCTATTGTATATAACACAACCGCGTATCTATTGTATATAACACAACCATGTATCTATTGTATATAACTTGCCACGTATCTATTGTGTATAACACAACCATGTATCTATTGTATATAACGCAACCATGTATCTATTGTATATAACTTGCCACGTATCTCTTGTGTATAACACAACCATGTATCTATTGTATATAACGCAACCGCGTATCTATTGTATATAACACAACCATGTATCTATTGTATATAACACAACCATGTATCTATTGTATATAACACAACCGCGTATCTATTGTATATAACACAACCACGTATCTATTGTATATAACACAACCATGCATCTTATGTATCTTATGTATATAACACAACCACGTATCTATTGTATAGAACACAACCACGTATCTATAACGTTTATAACACCACCATCTGTATATAACACAACCACGTAACTATTGTATATAACAACACTACGTATCTATTGTATATAACACCAACACGTATCTATTGTATATAACACAACCACGTATCTATTGTGTATTACACAACCACGTATCTATTGTATATAACACAACCACGCATCTATTGTATATAACACAACCATGTACATTCAGTATATAACACCACCGTGTAACTAGTGTACATAACAGCACTATGTACATTCAGTATATAACACCACCATGTAACTATTGTATATAACACCAACATGTACATTCAGTATATAACACCACCATGTATCTATTGTATATAACACCACCATCTATATTCAGTATATAACATCACCATGTATCTATTGTATATAACGCCACCATGTATCTATTGTATATAACACCATCATGTACATTCAGTATATAACACCACCATGTATCTATTGTATAAAACACCACCATGTACATTCAGTATATAACACCACCATGTATCTATTGTATATAATACCACCATGTATCTATTGCATATAACACCACCATGTATCTATTGTATATAACACCACCATGTACATTCATTATATACACCACCGTGTATCTATTGTATATAACACCACCATGTATCTATTGCATATAACACAACCATGTATCTATTGTATATAACACCACCATGTACATTCAGTATATAACACCACCATGTATCTATTGTATAAAACACCACCATGTACATTCAGTATATAACACAACCATGTATCTATTGTATATAATACCACCATGTATCTATTGCATATAACACCACCATGTATCTATTGTATATAACACCACCATGTACATTCATTATATACACCATCGTGTATCTATTGTATATAACACCACCATGTATCTATTGCATATAACACAACCATGTATCTATTGCATATAACACCACCATGTATTTATTGTATATAACACCACCATGTACATTCAGTATATAACACGACCATATAACTATTGTATATAACACCACCATGTACATTCAGTACCTAACACCACCGTGTATCTACTGTAAATAACACCACCATGTACATTCAGTATATAACACCACCATGTAGCTATTGCATATAACACCACAATGTACATTCAGTGTATAACACAACCATGCATCTATTGTATATAGCACCACCATGTATCTATTGCATATAACACCACCATGTATCTATTGTATATAACGCAACCATGTATCTATTGTATATAACTTGCCACGTATCTCTTGTGTATAACACAACCATGTATCTATTGTATATAACGCAACCGCGTATCTATTGTATATAACACAACCATGTATCTATTGTATATAACACAACCATGTATCTATTGTATATAACACAACCGCGTATCTATTGTATATAACACAACCACGTATCTATTGTATATAACACAACCATGCATCTTATGTATCTTATGTATATAACACAACCACGTATCTATTGTATAGAACACAACCACGTATCTATAACGTTTATAACACCACCATCTGTATATAACACAACCACGTAACTATTGTATATAACAACACCACGTATCTATTTTTCTATAACACCAACACGTATCTATTGTATATAACACAACCACGTATCTATTGTGTATTACACAACCACGTATCTATTGTATATAACACAACCACGCATCTATTGTATATAACACAACCATGTACATTCAGTATATAACACCACCGTGTAACTAGTGTACATAACAGCACTATGTACATTCAGTATATAACACCACCATGTAACTATTGTATATAACACCAACATGTACATTCAGTATATAACACCACCATGTATCTATTGTATATAACACCACCATCTATATTCAGTATATAACATCACCATGTATCTATTGTATATAACGCCACCATGTATCTATTGTATATAACACCATCATGTACATTCAGTATATAACACCACCATGTATCTATTGTATAAAACACCACCATGTACATTCAGTATATAACACCACCATGTATCTATTGTATATAATACCACCATGTATCTATTGCATATAACACCACCATGTATCTATTGTATATAACACCACCATGTACATTCATTATATACACCACCGTGTATCTATTGTATATAACACCACCATGTATCTATTGCATATAACACAACCATGTATCTATTGTATATAACACCACCATGTACATTCAGTATATAACACCACCATGTATCTATTGTATAAAACACCACCATGTACATTCAGTATATAACACAACCATGTATCTATTGTATATAATACCACCATGTATCTATTGCATATAACACCACCATGTATCTATTGTATATAACACCACCATGTACATTCAGTATATACACCATCGTGTATCTATTGTATATAACACCACCATGTATCTATTGCATATAACACAACCATGTATCTATTGCATATAACACCACCATGTATTTATTGTATATAACACCACCATGTACATTCAGTATATAACACGACCATATAACTATTGTATATAACACCACCATGTACATTCAGTACCTAACACCACCGTGTATCTACTGTAAATAACACCACCATGTACATTCAGTATATAACACCACCATGTAGCTATTGCATATAACACCACAATGTACATTCAGTGTATAACACAACCATGCATCTATTGTATATAGCACCACCATGTATCTATTGCATATAACACCACCATGTATCTATTGTATATAACACCACGTATCTATTGTATATAACACCACCATGTATCTATTGTATATAACACCACCATGTACATTCAGTATATAACACCACCGTGTATCTATTGTATATAACACCACCGAGTATCTATTGTATATAACACCAACATGTACATTCAGTATACAACACCACCGTGTATCTATTGTATATAACACCACCATGTAACTATTGTATATAACACCACCATGTACATTCAGTATATAACACCACCGTGTATCTATTGTATATAACACCAAAATGTATCTATTGTATATAACACCACCATGTGTCTTTTGTATATAACACCACCATGTACATTCAGTATATAACACCACCATGTATCTATTGTATATAACACCACCATGTATCTATTGTATATAACACCACCATGTACATTCAGTATATAACACCACCATGCATCTATTGTATATAGCACCACCATGTATCTATTGCATATAACACCACCATGTATCTATTGTATATAACACCACGTATCTATTGTATATAACACCACCATGTATCTATTGTATGTAACACCACCATGTACATTCAGTATATAACACCACCGTGTATCTATTGTATATAACACCATCATGTACATTCAGTATATAACACCACCATGTATCTATTGTATATAACACCACCATGTACATTCAGTATATAACACCACCGTGTATCTATTGTATATAACACCACCATGTACATTCAGTATATAACACCACCGTGTATCTATTGTATATAACACCATCATGTACATTCAGTATATAACACCACCATGTAACTATTGTATATAACACCACCATGTACATTCAGTATATAACACCACCATGTATCTATTGTATATAACACCACCATGTACATTCAGTATATAACACCACCGTGTATCTATTGTATATAACACCACCATGTACATTCAGTATATAACACCACCGTGTATCTATTGTATATAACACCATCATGTACATTCAGTATATAACACCATCATGTAACTATTGTATATAACACCACCGTGTATCTTTTGTATATAACACCACCATGTACATTCATTATATACACCACCGTGTATCTATTGTATATAACACCACCATGTATCTATTGCATATAACACAACCATGTATCTATTGTATATAACACCACCATGTATATTCAGTATATAACACCACCATGTATCTATTGCATATAACACCATCATGTACATTCAGTATATAACACCACCATGTATCTATTGCATATAACACAACCATGTATCTATTGTATATAACACCACCATGTATATTCAGTATATAACACCACCATGTATTTATTGTATATAACACCATCATGTACATTCAGTATATAACACCACCGTGTAACTATTGTATATAACAACACCATGTACATTCAGTATATAACACCACCGTGTATCTATTGTATATAACACCACCATGTACATTCAGTATATAACACCACCATGTAACTATTGTATATACCACCACCATGTACATTCAGTATATAACACCACCATGTATCTATTGTATATAACACCACCATGTAGATTCAGTATATAACACCACCATGTATCTATTGTATATAACACCACCATGTATCTATTGCATATAACACCACCATGTAACTATTGTATATAACACCGCCGTGTATCTATTGTATATAACACCACCATGTATCTGTTGTATATAACACCACCATGTACATTCAGTATATAACACCACCGTGTATCTATTGTATATAACACCACCATGTAACTATTGTATATAACACCACCATGTAACTATTGTATATAACACCACCATGTAACTATTGTATATAACACCACCATGTACATTCAGTATATAACACCACCGTGTATAAGACCATGTCGCAGAATATCTTTAGCACTTTATTTTTCAATATAATCTCCATTCACCTCAACACACTTATTCCATTTGTCCTTCAAGCTTTTAACACCACTTTAATGGAAATCCGCAGATTGACCCCCTAACCACGCCTCTGTGGCAGCCTTTATGTCCTCCTCATTCTGGAAGCGTCGCCAGATTTCATTTGCCGGAACAGGAAATAGTCACTGGGGGCAAAGGACAAATGGAATTATGATCGCATTACAATTTACTTCGCTGTGAGCGATATGTTATTCGACTTCGTAATACACAGAGTTGGTTATATATTTCCGTTGTGAAGGTCAAGTGATACAATCTACGCAACACAAAATCAGGGGCAGTACAACTTCGACATATCCGGTGACATGGCTCTACCCAAAGATGAGGTACAGTACAACACAAGTTTTGTACATACTTTCAGAGAATAACTTACAAGGAAATACGGATAAACTTCCAAGTGAAGTCATCTTCCCAAGGCAAGACTGTCAACTAGCCTTTTTTATCAAAGTCTTGTTTCCACCCTTGCCGCATCAAGCCCACTTTCCTGTGCTTAATATGATTGGACTCTCGCACATATCGATAGTCCAATCAGAGAGCCTTCCACAAAATCAACATATACGACTGGTACACCTTCGCATGAAAGTGATTTACCGGTGGAATATGTCATTTTCATCCTTTAAGGAATGTGGCCTTGTTGTGACAAGGGTAGAAACTAAGCTTTGATGTAGGCTAGTGGACACGCTTGCCTCGGGAAGATGGAGTGAAGTAGGTCCTGATCCTTTCTGAAGAACACAAACTTCGTGCATCTTACTCGCGAGGAGGTTATTCTGTACAACTATTTCTATATAATTATGTTTGTTTCACCGCGAAAACTTCAGCTGAGTCAAGCAAATGTTGAATTGACGTTATAAATTCAGCAATGACGAATCGAACAATATACAATAGCTACGCGATAAATCACAAAGAACAATAAAGAACGAGGCGTGGTTTATTTCACGATAAAACTTTATACCACCATGACGTCATTTCATGAGTTTCGACCAGACGCTCGCAACTGGATGACATCGTAAATTTGTCGACGTTATTGTTTAGAGGGGAGTGAGTTGTTTCCCTTAGATGTAGCTGTGCAAAGCGGATAGATGCAATGGCCGAACGATCGCATCCATGTCATAACGCTGTGAGAATTGTTAGAATATTTAGAAAATACCAAACGTAATACCCTGTTTATAAAATGGACTTGTCAGACATTGCCGAGATCGGATTATAATCAGGTAGTAATCTTTATTTACATACGGGCAAATATTTATAGAGCTTGTAAATTGTATTAACATCCTTAAGAATCCTGTACATAATGCTGATATCTAATATGATAAATAACATGTTTTATTGTGCGATAAACAACGACCACGAGTCGTATATTTTTTATATCTATGACGTCATCTTTAATTACTAATGCCTTGGCATGACGTCACGTTGCTAAGGGCAGCTTCGCAAACAATACTAATTGACCTTCACTTTGTGTGAGTTCATTGGAATATGAACCTTCATAGAGTGAGGGCCAAACTGTATGAACGTCGGAGCTTGGTTCATAATGAACTCACACAACGTGAAAGTCAATTCTTATAAAAAGAAATTATCACAATTTCTTACCTCAAAGGATGTAGGCCAAGATCTAAACACAATTTCATTTAGTACGTGTGACTTCATGTTTACATTGACAGTCATACAACAACCAGCTATATCGCGGAGTAAAATAGTTCCTCAAAAAGAGAGGTGACATGAGCGTATGGATGCACAACCTGCTCTTCAGAAACATCTTACGCAGCACATGTGTTCAAATCATATCCTCATCAGATGAGAAATGTCTGTAAAGAACTACCCCAGTTAGTCAGTCACAATGACGGCGCGTCGTAATACATTTACATCAAGTACAAGACGTCAAAATGGCTGACACGATAAACGTGACGGGAGAGATTTCCAAAGTCGTTAATGAACCTGTAGCGGTTAGATGTGTTAGTCAGCATTGATCAACTGACCGATTATTGAAAGGTGATTAAAGATGCGTCAAACCAAACACTAAGGTAAATTCGTAGATTGCTGGAGATGGTTACTGTCAGCCAAGACACGGATCGAGTCGATACTGACGATAGTTTGGATGTGCATTTCTTCGTTTGCTCATTAGGATGGGCCGTAGCGAGGATATTCGTCAACAATCATGCAGTCAAGCTCTCTGACGTTTTTCAATGTATACTGGAACGCTGAGACCAAAATTAAAGGTTCTAAATGATCAGAAAGAACGCTTTTGTATGTTTTCGTGCTAGGGAATTCCCAGGGGGTTCATCAGGAATGTTGTCAGTCAGCGTTTACGTCATTTCAAGAACACTATCTCGTGAAAAACGTATGAACGTAAAGTTGTGTCGTCCATACACTTATGAACGTCAATTTCGCGGTCATGCGACCGTCCTCTCGTCCAATGGAAAACGTCAAATTAATTTTTGTTATAAAAAATAAGCAACTGGCGTGAGCTATCCAATTGGCATAAAGCGTAAGATTATTCTGATAATGCCCGTGCCCCTATGTGTAAGATATAGGATATAACATACCCATCCACATGGGTTTCACCAAGGTGTTTAAACGTCTGAGACCTGCATTCGGACTTTCCTTTCACATTAAGCCGACACGCCGTGAATTGACTAGAATACTGTTAAAGGCGGCGTTAGGCCCAACTCACTCTTTGTTCACTATATGTGTATTATTCCATGTGCAGGCATTTTGGGACTTCCTGTTCGGGGAAGCAAAGCAATGGGGCATGACTACCTACATTCAGGTAAGTTTTTCATGCAGTGTTGTTGTTGTTTAACGCCGAATCAGCAATATTCCAGCTATATGATGGCGGTCTGTAAGTAAGAGAGTTTGGACAAGACAATCCAGTGATTGTCACCATGCGCATCGATCCACGTAACTGGGATACGATGACATGCATCAAGCAACTCAGCGACAAGCATAGTCGCCATTTACGGCAAGTATGGGTTGCCGAAGACCTATTGTACCCCGGATCGTCACTGGTCTTTTTATGCAGTGAACATTATTAGGTCATTAAAAACATTTTATTTCAGTTTATGGAAACATAAACGCCGCAAAAATAATTGCTTGGTTAGCCCATCAACATGGCAGCTAATTCTGAGAATGTTAATGTTTATGGTTCATGAAGTTAGGTGTACAATGTCAAATGGAGCAACATTGAAAACTGGTTTTCGACTTCCGCCAGTTTGTGTAACATGACGGACACGTCAAATCCATTTCCAATGCTCCCAACGCTGGGCGAAATGAGGTGAGCCGAGTGAAAAAATATGAACAAAACATGATTATTCGCTCAGCTTTCATTTACTGGTGTGCCCGTTTCACACTCGATTATGTGCAGAATGCCTTAATGTGGCTTGCTTAATGCTGACTGCCGCGTTACAATCTAACATTCACTCACTCAATCAGTAAATTACTTTGCAGACATCTGCATATCTGATTATTTCGATAAAAGCACTTAACGATTCCGACTGCATGTACGAATCACTGCAAAAAGTGATGATACCAGGTGCCAGCGAAAATATGCCCCACCCGTTACAAACACATGCAAAGGGAAGTCAACTGTTCAACTGAAAAACCAAGGGGACATATGGTCAAAATAGGGAATTGCATCGTACATCATTTTTGTCACTGATGCGTCACATTTGGAAATCCTTCCAAAATGTCTGCCGTAGACCGTTTTGAAAGCTTTCCTGAGATCTTGAACTTTTGGAGAAGGAATGGTGTGGCAGTCTTTAAAATCTTCGTAGGAAGAGCATGCGCAAAATCCTTTTCTTGGAAATTGGTCAGTATTGATTTATGATGTTTTGAAGTATGTCTACTAATACAAACAAATTAATTAATTGGATCCAATCTTATTTGTTTTCAGGACAACATGACAGAAATATTCCGTCAGTTTGATTACCTGAAGATGGATCTGGACTACGGCAGGGACTGGTTGATGAACATGGGCACCGCTGCCACGAAACACAACATCACCATCCAGTACAGTGGCGCCCTCCCGCGGATGGTCATGCAATCTCTGGAGATACCCGCCGTCACACAGGTAAGTAATAAATACTGTTATGGGGCGGGTCACACAGGTAAGTAATAAATACTGTTATGTAATCAGTTACTGTGTTTGTTTGTTGTCTCACGCCGCACTTATAGGTATATATAATCTCTTTGACGGCGACCTGAAAATAAGTTTTGTTTATTTGTTGTTTAACGCCGCACTTAGCAATATTCCAGCTATATGACGGCGGTCTGTAAATAATCGAGTCCGGACCAGACAATCCAGTGATTGACATCATGAGCATCGATCCACGCAGTTGGGATCGATGACTGCATCAACCAAGTCAGCGAGCCTGGTCAGTCGCCTTTTACGACAAGCATAGTCGCATTTTACGGCAAGTATGGGTTGCTGAAGACCTATTCTTCCCCGGATCTTCACGGGTCCTGAAAATAAGTCTGAACAAGACAATCCAGTGATCAATTTTGTGAATTATATGGAAATTATATGGAGAAGGAACGTTCTTTCTTTGTTTCATTGTTGTTTAACGCTGCACTCAGCAGTATTCCAGTTATATGACGGCGGAGTCTAGAGTCTAGACCAGACAATGAAATTATTGACATCATGAGCATCGATCTACGCAATTGGGTTACGATGACACGCAATAAACCAAGACTGACAACCGATCCCTTTGGCAGCCTCTTACGCCAAGTTACTTGCCACAGAGTTGGTTGGAAGCAATCGTGTCAGAAGCACGCATACAATCGTATGAAATAACGAGACTGACTTTTCGAAAGCTGGTTGGCATCCCGAGCCATGTTTAATTGCGGGCACCACGTACGCGCGTCAAACGTGTGTGAAGTCAAGGTTATAATTAGTTCCTGGTCAATACTGAAGGAAACGCCTTAAATGGCGGTGGTCAGGCTCGGTACATGGTTGGTCCTGCATTACCGTACCCCGACGGCGTGGACAATCACACAATATCAATCACTGGATTGCCTGGCCCTGATTCAATCATATACAAGCCGCCGTATAACTGGAATATTACCGAGTGTGGCGTTCAACAAGAAACAAATTGAATCATAATATTCCTGTATATCCCAATATATTTATTGCGCCGTTGTAATCAGTCGTTATTGTGAACTTTCTCCACGTTGCAAGATTCGAGTGAGCCCCAACTACGGCGCGTCCGAGGACCAGTGGAAGATCGGTCTGACGTCTATATTTGCCAGTGGTCTACAAGTCGCCATATCTAAGGACGGGTTCCTGTCACAACAGCACGAAGGGGGTACTAACTATTAATACTATAATAAATGATAACCTGAATTTACATGTTTTTGATCATTTCTAACTATTGAACGTTTGAGACCCCGTACATTTTCGCCAATTGTCACAGTCTGGCACTGATCATGCATTTTCTCACTACCATACCCCTTGCAATGAAACTAAAATCACCTAGGACCTGTATCACACGGGCTTCCCTCTTCACTAAGCTGATATACCGTGTTATGAACGAAATACGTTAAACGCGGTATTATACCTTATCTATTCTGGCCGATGAAGTGTTATAATGCCCCGATTCTGGAAACTGATGCTCATGGTATCAACCTCTGGTTTCGTTTTTTATTTGCTGATGGACCCTGATAGTCAGGGATGTGGAATAAAAAAATCCCGTTTAAAGTGTATTTTTTTATTTATGCCGAGCCTGATCATCTCGCTTGTGAATACATGCGTGAAGTCCAAGTATTGATGACTGTTGGCTGTTCTGTTTGTAAGTTCCCAGGGAATAAATGTGGGATTCCATGTATTGAGGACAGTCAGCTGTTCTGTGTGTACGTTCTGGGGGAATACATGCGTGATCATGAAGTACGCATATTGATGACAGCTGTTTTTTAGTCATTTCGTTGGGCCTTAGTGCGGGAGCACAATTTATTGATGATTGTTTGTTGTTCTGTTCATAAGCACTGGGGGATCCCAACTCAGAGCGGCAGGGTCTGATATCGTCCCTCAGTAAGGGGATGTTTGAAACTGGCGACGAGGCGTGGAAGTCCAACACCACCCTCATCATGAAGTGAGTACAGCTGAACGAGGGACACGTGTTGACATATACACAAAGAAAAAAGTTAAGCATACCCTAATATATTTCATTATTGTTTGGTCCCGATATTGGTAACAGTCATGAAAGATATAATTACGGGAAGAATTATATTTCTCGAGATGATGTACTCAGTCATGCGTCACGAAAGCTCGGTTTTAAACAGTTATTCGATGACATTGTGTGACCATGGCATAAGGGCAATGATCAGACGCCACACGATGGCAAATAATCGGTATGCATAACGCAGAAATGTCTTGTAATTCCATTGGTCGGGATTTGGGGTATCATCACACTGTCGTTAGCCGTTTAGTCGAGAAATGGGTAATGTACAGGACCGTTCCAGATCCGGAAGACCTCCTGTGACGACACGTCGCGAAGACAGGGACCTTCTTCGTCTCCTTCGCCGAGAACCCTTTTCAACAGAGTACTCGTCTGAAACAGCTGTGGTTACCCAATCGTCGTTTCAGCACCAGAACCGCCAGGAACCGTCTGAAAGCAGCAGGACTGAGGGCTAACGAGTTATAAAGCGTCCCTTGTTGAGAGATCACCACAAAGCTGCTCGTTTAGCATGGTGTATTGCGCGACAGAACTGGAATCTGAGAACTTGGAGACGGATCCATTGGTCAGACGAAAGTAACTTTCTTCTCCACGTCACTAATGGACGAACGAGAGTTTGGGGGCACTGGAACACGGCCTACACCCCCAGGAACATAAAACCGACAGTTGCATACGGCGGGGGCTCGGTAATGGTTTGGGGGTGTATCTCTCATAATTTCAGGCTGGCTTTGTCGCCATAAGAGGCAACTTAACAGGGGCTCAGTACATCCGGGACGTTTTGAGGCCAGTCGTCGTTTCTGATTTTGACAACCACCCTCTTGCTACTCGACCTCAGTACATGGATGACAATACCAGGCCTCATCGTTCGCATGCAGTCGTGGATTACATGAGGGTCAATGCAATAACGACTCTAACCTCGCCAGCAATGAGCCCAGATTTGCCCCCCCTTGAACATGTTTAGGATATTCTGGGGCGGCGCATACAGGGACGAGATCCTCCTGTACAAGACTTACGCCAATTGGAAGCAGCATTGGACTAGGAGTGGTTGTTGTTGACGACACATCAACAAATCCAACGTCTGACTGGAGGCATGAGACGTAGGGTGGAATTCGTCATCCGGGCACGTGGCGGTTATACCCGCTACTGATCTGTTTCACATGTCATGTCAAGTAGAGACTTTAAGGAACATTTTCACATGAAACATCATACGTAGCTCGTTTACTTAATCCTGCAGCTCTATACTTTGTTAGGTATTGTCTAAGGTCAAAAACAGTACCTGTGTTACCGTGATATTTTGTCAGTATATTTCAGTCACAACTCACCAATATCCTCTTTATTTGTTATCAAATGTTTGTTCTATCCGATGACATTGGTATCGCCCAGCTCCTGTGGTCAGTCATCCCATGCCATGATTTTTACCATTTGTCATGGTTCAGAAATAGGGGTGTGCTTAACTTTTTTCTTTGTGTATATAATGATAAGAAAGGATAAATGTTTCATTTATTATATATATTCTCACTTATCTCATAGGTCTTACGATCGCCTCCGTGGTCTAATGGTAGAGCGTCCGCCCGGAGAGCGGAAGGTCCGGGGTTCGATCCCCGGGCGCGTCATACCCAAAGACGTTAAAAGATGGTACTTGTTGTTGCCCTGTCTGGCGCTCGGCATTAAAGGGGCTAAAACAAGGTCTGGTCGGTTCGGAGTCAGTACACTGTGTCTGATTGGGGTATCCATGTTAAACTGCGGCATGGTATCTCAGTAGGCTAGCACTGTAAATCGGCATCAGTCCGGACAAGTACAAGCAACCACACACACACACACAGACAGACACACGTGCATGAATAAGTGCAATAATCTTGGACGCGAAGTTAAACCCCATTTCACCTCACCTCACCTTGTACACTCATGTAATTATTTACATACCGTCGTCATATAGCTAGAATATTAAACGCGTTAAACAACAAACAACAAACAGGCGACTTTATTTACCCCTCAAATCATTAATGTTTTAGTTGTCCGTTTTTAACTGATTTTTTAATTTGATTTTTTATAATTTTCTAATCCACCAAATGAGATGATCGGCAAATCAAATATATATATGGTGTATACTGATAGTTATGACGCTTTTGTCGTGTGCAAAACGGAATTCCATTGTGACGTTTCTAGGTCGCGTGTAACTTAAGGGTTTCAAGGCTGCAAGTATCGCTAGATGGCTTCCTTTAAATGCTTGGGCTCTGGATGATATTCTATAAAATTGTGATAGTTTACCTCCTACGGTGGCCCATAAGGGACATGGAGTGGAAATGTTATCACCGCGATGGAAATAGTTTTCTGTATTTTCGTTTTAGTTTTTGACATTTTCGCTTTTGTTTTTGACATTTTCGTTTTTGTTTTTGACCTTTTCATATTAGTTTTGACCTTTTCGTTTTTGTTTTTGACATTTTCATTTTAGTTTTTGACATTTTCGCTTCACTTTTCAGCAATTCAATATCTACTTTATACATGATTTATCACATATTTGTATGACAAATCATGTTAATTTGCAAAGGGTTATGATAACAGTAAGTGAAATATCAAAATATTGAAAAACAGACTCCATGTCCCTCATGGGCCACCGTAACATCGTGTCAATGTACCCCACAATAACCCACCAGGAGCTGCCTAAAGGATGGAACGATTCTGAGACCGGATTTCCCCGTTGTGGCAGTTGACGCCCAGCTCATGCAGGTGGGAATACGAGGGATGGGGTTAAACTGTTTTCAAATGGATTTAATGGATTTATCGAATATATATATATTATCCAATATATCCAATGTTATTTCCATCTATAATTGAAACTGTAACGTCTTGTCCATGGAACATTTACATATCGTAACATTTACATTGATTGATATCACAAAACCTAAATATTTTTTCGAACTGTTAGACTTATCCCTTAAACCTGCTTACCAACATCATTATGAATGTATGCAACGTTCTCCCATTGTAGAGGGCGTTCCAAGATGGCAGCGGCCCAGTTGGTGAAGTGTGGGCGACGCTCTCCACCGTCACAAGGATGGGGGATGGCCCTGAGCTTAAGTTTGGAATTATCTTTGCTTCCAATCTCCAAGGATCATACGCCATCACACCCTCCATCGCCGGCTTCACGTTTGAGGTAGATCAAAGAAATACATGAGTATACAAATTAATTGGTAAAGCGTGTTTCTTGTTTGACGCAGCACTCGGCACTATTCCACAGCGGTCTGTAAATTATCGAGTCCGTACCAGACAAACTGTTGCCTGTTGCCTGAAAAACAACATCGTTTGGTGACGTATGAATCCAATTTACTGGCGTATTACGACTAGCTCATCACTTGATTGCCTGGTCCAGACCAAATTTTGTACTGACAGTTGTCATAAAACTGGGACATTGCTGATCGCGGCGTTAAACAACATCGTTAACAACAACAAAAAACAAAACAAAAAAAAGCATGCTGAGGGATGAATGCTGACTTGAGTTTCCACTGTGTGTATTTATTAAAACACATTCTCCTTTCACAGAAACAAATGGCGTGTTTTGAAGCAGCAGCATTCCACATGTTTATTGAGAGGCTTGGGCGGATAGCTCATTGGTCTATAGCGCTGCCATACGCTGTGTAGATGAGTGAGTGAGTGAGTTCGGTTTAACGCCGCCTTTAACAGTTTTCCAGTTATATCGCGGCGTGTCAGCTTAATGTGGGAGGAAAGCCCGAAGTGATGCAGGTCCCAGACGTTTACCACTTCGGTGAAACCTACGAGCACGGGTATGGTGCTGACAAACCTAGAAACATAATCGGGGCGAACCGGGATTCGAGCCCACAATCATAGGTTTCTGGCGTGCCCATGGGACGTAATTCTGCACAGCGAATCGCGGCGCCTTAGACGACTGGGCCACCCGTGACCCCGTTGTGTAGATGAAGTTCCGCTGTCGTCGGTTCGAATCCTCGAAACACTGGTGTCCATCCATATATATATATCACATTTCTTAACATTTACGCAGGGACGGTGGGGTAGCCTAGTAGTTAAAGCGTTTGCTCGTCACGCCGATGACCCGGGTTCGATTCCTGACGGGGCTTCAGTGATTGCAGCCCATTTCTGGTGTCCCCCGCCGGAATATTGCTTAAAGTGGCGTAAAACAATATTTGCTCGCTGACTAACATTTACGTAAGTTCGGGGGTCATTCTACATCACGTTAATATGCATGACTATTGTTATCACTGGAATACTGTTCAACGCAGCGTTAAACACATTTACTAACTCACTAAGTTATTGCGTTAATGACACTGTGAGTTATGCTGGATCTCTCTGTATTAGCCCACCTCCACTAAAATAAAACTCTGTCTTTCAGTTTCCAAAAAGTAAGATCTTCAACGCCAAGGATCCCCGAGAGCAGCACGACTTCTCCGAAGACAAACCCTTCACGCTGACCGGCTGCACCGCCGACACCTTCTGCCTCTACTACACGTCTCCTGTCATCAGCCTCAAGTGAGTATTACGACTGACTGAATATGTCTGTTTAGGTGCACATTGAGTGAGTGAGTGAGTTGGGTTTAACGCCGGTTTTGACGTTATTCCAGTTATATCGCGGCGTGTCAGCTTAATGTGGGAGGAAAGCCCGAAGTGATGCTGGTCTTTGACGTTTACCACTTCGGAACCGGGATTCGAACCAACAATGATAGGTTTCTGGCGTGCCCAAGGGACACAACTCTGTACAGCGAATCGCGGCGCCTTAGACGACTGGGCCACCCGTGGCCCCAGGTGCGCATTGACGACTCCACAGAAAAGACATATATAAATCCCTAAATTTTAAATCCCCGGGAACAATTATATAACGGCTTCCACTCAGTGATTAAACCCATGGATCACATATAGTACGCCTCGTTAAATATCTCCAATGTAAATTGTGCTGCACGTGCTGCACCGCATGAGACTATAAACACTTACTTGCTTATGAAAACTGTGTGAATGGCGGCTGCTACCGGTTGGGCAGGACATGAGTACCCTTTTAACGAACACCTGGTGTCATCACTGATTGTCGTGGTCCATTCATATCGTTTTTACAGGTATTTTGCCTTTTCGCCAGTTTGAATCTGTTTTGGTAGATAGTCTAGACTGGTTATTCTCATGCGCTGACAATATATATTTCCATGCAAAACGTGAATATTGGCTTTGCGTCGAACGTAAGTCAGAACATTAAAGATACCACCATATAAAAGTACCCTGTCCGAATCTAGACAATCGGCCTCTCATCGCTGCACTTTGTGATAAAAGCATGAAACTTGGCACTGCAGTATGTTGTGATATCCTATTTTTTTTAATTCCACATAAATACTCTATTCCAAGATTTTTTTGGGGGGCACGGGTGGCCTAGTCGTCTGAGGCGCAGAGTTGCGTCCCTTGGGCACGCCAGAAACCTATGATTGTGGGTTCGAATCCCGGTTCACCCCGATTATGTTTCTAGGTTTGTCAGCACCATACCCGTGCTCGTGGGATTCACCGAAGTGGTTAACGTCTGAGACCTGCATCACTTCGGGCTTTCCTCCCACATTAAGCTGACACGCCGCGATATAACTGGAATACTGTTAAAAGCGGCGTTAAACCAAACTCAATCACTCACTCCAAGATTTTGGAATGTATTTACCCAACACTACATATATAAAGTAAAGTAAATAATTATATTATAATAGACTATTTATCTTAGTTTATAATATGTAATCTAAAGTGTGACAAAATATGATTTCTCTCTTCAAAGCGAAAGCCAATTACTACAGCTATTTAATATATCAAAATATTGTGTAATAATATGGACAATAACAGGACGTGCAGAACATGCATGGATGTTTTGGTTGGCTCGTGACAATAAAATACGGCCACAGCAGCGATCACATCTACAAAGTGATGTACAAATCAACATATATGCACTTGCTCTGTACCCATCTTACATCTACATCTCAGGATCTCCAGGCATAACTTAGTATTGGTGTTAGTGTTAGTGTTAGTGTAGTATACAAAGGCTCATAGCCAGGTGCTACTGATCTCCCCATCCTCTCACAGCTGGTGTGGAAAGGTCTGTTTCAGCCTCCAGACTTCGTCCCCAACAGTGGCCAGCTTGAAATGTAGCTCTTTTGACATGTTGGTACGAAGCAGCTGATATGGGAGGAATGGAATAATTGCTCTATCTTTCCTTGTGATTAATTCTTTGTGTGCCCCGTCCACTTCTGTACAGATACTGGCCTAATTGTACGTTAAGATCACACACCGCTCAATGACTGACAGACACGTGTCGATCCGGGGTAGAAAAGGTCTTCAGCAACCCATGCTTGCTGTACAAGGCGACTATGTTTGTCGTAAGAGGCGACAAACGGGATCGGGTGGTCAGGCTCGCTGACTTGGTTGATGCATGTCATCGTATCCCAATTGCGTGGATAGCATTGATCCCAATTGCGCGGATCGATGCTCATGACATTAGTCACTGCATTGCCTGGTCCAGACGCGATTATTTACACAGACCGTCGTCATATAGCTGGAATATTGCTGAGTGCGGCGTTAAACAACAAACCAACCAACCAACAACAATGTATTATTTTGATCAACTGATTCGAGAGATATATTTCAAATCTTTTTGCACTATGACCAGTAGTTTCACAAAATGCACGTTCAGAATGGGCAGTAAATTCATGGCTTCGAATCAACTGCAACAACAATTGCGTGACGTCATCATAATGTTTTAACTTTGGGTATTTTCATTTTGGCAGTGATGTTTGGTTGGTTGGTTGGTGTTTTGTTTAACGCCGCACACAGCAATATTCCAGCTATATGATGGCGCTCTGTAAATAATCGAGTCTGGACCACTCGATCCCGTTCGTTGCCTTTTACGACAACCATAGTCACCTTTTACGGCAAGCATGGGTTGCTGAAGACCTATTCTACCCCGGAATCTTCACGGGTCGGCAGTGATGTTTGTGGGGATTTATGTGAACTAACCAGACTTCTGTCTGCGCAGTAACAAGGAAGTGCTGATCATGGGCGAACTGGACAAATGGATACCAATGTCAAGACAACGTGTTATCAACGTCACCCTCAGCAACGTCATCACCATCGACTTGGTAGGGGCCAAACAGGAGAAGGTGGAGATGTGGTTTTCTGTGAATGGAAATATGGGGGCCCTCGCCATCGATGTGAATAACAACGGAGCGGCGTCACTGGTATTCGAGGACAAGTTAATCAACTCCGGAGGACGTGGTCAGCCTCTATCCGTCGTCGTTGCTGCCGTCGTGGCGTTAGTTGTCACCTTTTTCTGTAAACAGTTATAGTTATAAATGTAACTTGGATCATTAAGGCTGAGTTGTTATGTATATGTATAACAGTATAAGTTGCCAACCGGTCTCGACTGGTACATGATGTCCCATTGCGATCTACAAATTAGGATAGTAAATTCATTTGTCACTATCCTGGTCGAAATTACTGATTAAGTTAGTAGAATTCAAAGTAATTGTTTTTTTGTCAGTGGAGGGGTATATGATGTGATGTACCTTGTGTGAGACGCTTTGTACCCCGAACCGGTACGCGAGGGTTACACTTTAAGATGTAGCAGGATCACGAGGGGTACCATTCGTGACCAACTCGTGTTGGACAAGCCGAATAGCGACTCGTGCCCCTCTCGTGGCCATTTTTGCGACCGAGTTCCGTCTTAGCGCAAACAATTGTCAGCTCGTTGCGTAATCGTTCACATATTGTACCAATATATTATATATATTTCAGATGCAATTTAAAGCACATCGGGACGTGCGGAATTATACAGTATGATTGAACACATTTATGTGTGTCTTTGGTATATTTTTAGATGCAAGACATATGTAAATTCAAAAATTATTTCTGAGGGATTCTTTGACGAAGAATTTGAAATCATACGCGCATTCTGATTGGTTTGTCGTATTTTCGCACATAACATTCATCGATAGGGGGACGAGTCTTCTTGCGGGTTACGGAAAGGGGCGAGTGGTGACGAATGGAGGGGTACATGGGGTTTTATGCGTCCCGCGTGAGTTTTATACCACGAGCTGGAGGCGAGTGGTATAAAACCTTACGAGGGATGCATAAAACTCCATGTACCCCGAGTGATCCTGCTACAATGAATATATCTTACCGACATGTTTTAATACGAAATTGTAAAAGAATTAAAACAAATTCAAAATTGATAGTAAACAGCTGTTCAATTAAGCGAATTTCAGCTTGTGTTATGTCACGTGACTTTTGTTTCCTCGTAAAATGCGTGAGGCTTTCATGATTTATTCTGCTTCTCAGAAATCCACGTGCAGCATGTCTTGCTCGTGGCGGATTTATTCACCCGCTGAGAAATCTATTTCCCGCAAATGCGGGGAACATGGTATTTTATCAAGATCACGTGGCCAAATCAGATCTCATTATTAGACATGGGGTATGATGAAGTATCGTACACAGATACACTATAACATGTACCTTGAGGGACCAGTTGACAACGAATTGATCTCACCGGCACATTTTCGCCGTTTCATGTCAAATGTCCAGCGAGCCGTTTCTCTGACATCATGACAACTGGTAAACGATAAACACATCCAGAGTTGTCGCCCTTGCATTACACTCAGCGATGCTTGGCATTTACACTTTACTGTTAGCGGGATACTGGAACCCCACTGACCAGTCAGTACCCGCTCACAAACTACAACCTTATATAATACAAGGTGAGATAAGTTTATCATCACTGGCCTGCGACATGGATGCATGCCTGTTTCACAATTCAACGTTACAAATTACCAAAATGAAGTGAGTGAGTGAGTATGGTTTTAAGCCGCTTTTAGCAATATTCCAGCAATATCACGGCGGGGGACACCAGAAATGGGCTTTACACATTGTACCCATGTCGGGAATCGAACCCGGGTCTTCGGCGTGACGAGCGAACGCTTTAACCACTAGGCTACCCGAACGCCCCACCAAAATCAAGACATTTAGTGACATTGGTTTTGTGAAATATCTGTTTCAATGACATTTTATATAGTGAATCTGTGAAATGTTTATGGTGTGTTTGTTGTTTAACGCCGCACTCATCAATATGCCAGCTATATGACGGCGGTGTTTAAATAATCGAGTCTGGGCCAGACAATCCAGTGATTGTCATCATGAGCATTGAATTGTTCATGGTAAATATATTAAGGTATTAAAGGTAAAAATATTTGAGATGGTTCCTTGCTTCCTCTGCGTGGTTCTGCTAGTATGGTTTTTTTTCCCTACATTGATGCAATGTGCGAAACCCTGATGGCTGTTCCCATTCATAATATGGCTGGAATATTGTTGAAAGTCGCGTACAACTCACTAACTCGGTTACCAGAAAGGAAACGAAACCTTTGCTGCTTGTTCCAAGTGTAGCAACGTTAAGGGCTTCTGACCATCTAAATGCATCTTCCCGAGGACTTTTATAGTCCGTTAACTCCCTTGCCTCGGGAAAATGATCTAAATGGTGCTTTGAAATTGAACAAGAGAATAATTCATAAGAATTTCTTCCGAATCACTGTACACAGAAGCCATTTTATATTTGTCAGGATTACTGAAGCAAATCCTGTGAATAAACATTTTTAATAACTGGTTTTGATGGTGCCATTCATGTATGAGTTTAAGTACACACCGTTTGCTAAACTGGGACGATAACTAAAAAAAGATGATCGGATTTACTTGACAGCTTCAGTTTATTGCTAACACTCAAAACCTCATCGTTTTTGTCTTCAGCAACCCATGCTTACCGTGAGAGGCGATTATGCTTGTCGTAAGAGGCGACTAACGGGATCGGGTGGTCAGGCTCGCTGACTTGGTTGATGCATGTCATGGAATCCAAATTACGCAGATCAATGCTGATGATGCCAACCAATGGATTGTCTGGTCTAGACTCGATCTGGTCCAGGCCGCCGTCATATACCTGGAATGTTGCTGAGTGCGACGTTAAACAAATAAACAAACAAAAGGCTGCCTGTCCTCGCCACTTGAAATAGAATCACGAAATATAGCGATAATTAATGAACGAAGATAGCTGCATGTCTGCCAATACTTGAACAGTGAAAAGAAGCCATTCCGCCGATAAGGAATATTACTTTTTGGTTTGGTTTGGTTTGGTTTGTTGTTTAACGCCGCACTCAGCGTATATGACGGCGGTCTGTAAAATAATCGAGTCTGGACCAGACAATCCAGTGATTGACATCATGACCATTGATCCACGCAATTGGGATCGATGACATGTATCAACCAAGTCAGGAAGCCTGACCACCCGATCCCGTTAGTCGCCTTTTACGACAAGCACAGTTACCTGAATATTACTTACAACAATGACAAACATTGCAAAGTGCTTTTCAAGAAATGTCAGTTTTCTTAGCGATAAACAACAAAACTGAGATACCTTGCCACAGTTTAACATGGTTATCCCATTCGGACACAGTGTGCTGTTTCCGAACCGACCAATCCTATCTCCTCATAACAGAGCGCAAGGCAAGTCCCGAAACGGGGTAGTTAAAAGTGAACGAACATCCCATTATCATACTTTACAAACATTCACATTCATGTGGCTGTGGTGTTTTTTTATTGTTGCAGCTTGAGTCTTGTCAGCTTCCCGAGGCAGGAGACCGCCTCCGTGGTATAATGGTAGAGCGTCCGACCGGAGAGCGGAAGGTCCAGTTTCGATCCTCGACCGCGTCATACCAAAAGACGTAAAAAGATGGTACTTGTTGTTACCCTGTCTGGCGCTCGGCATTAAGGGGCTAATACAAGGACTGGTCGGCTCGGAGTCAGTATACTGTGTCTGAGTGGGGTATTCATGTTAAACTGCGGCATGGTATCTCAGTGGGCTAGCACTATAAATCGGCATCAGTCAGGACTAGTACAAGCAGCCACAAACATACATACACGTGCATGCACGTCGCTATATAAGTGCAATAATCTTGGACGCGACGTTAAACCCCATTTCACCTTACCTCACCTCACCTCACCTCCAGCGCAAGCAGCTACAAGTAAAGGCACATCAGTTCACTTTAGTCCAGAGAGTGCAAATTTTAAGGCTCGAGATGGTACAACGTTTGACATCCACCAGCATGGGAAGCTGTACTTCTTGCACAATACTGCTCCATCCAAGTGTGTTGTGCATTCAGCCAACAACTGGCACAGAATCCTTGGACACTGTAGCATGAAAGATGTGATGTGATGAACCTTGAGAATATTGGAAAGGGAATGAAGTTAGCAGGTAAAGATACTGAGCTATGTGACACCTGTATCCAAGGGAAGATGTCACAGTGGAGAAAAAGAGATCCAGACAGAATGGCGACAACTCCACTTGAAGTTATTCATTGTGACGTGGAGGGACCTATTGACCCAGCAGCACGAGGTTACATTCGATATGCGTTGTCGCTTTCATCAAGTTAGATGGACTGGATCATTCTTCAAAGTAATAGTTTATCAAAAGATCAGGATTAATATCAGTCAATGCCCCGCTAAAACAAAACTCGTGGTTTTAGCAGAAATGAGTACATCTTATGTGAATATGTTTGTCATCACAGATCACCAACTAACTGTTTAATTTGAAGAAACACATCATATATGATTAATCAGAAATAATAATTGTCCTGCTCAGACTTGCATTTCTGCTTTTTTCTTGGAGGGGATAAACATATTTTCGCCTCAGATCATTCATCACCACTTGTGATTTCTGATTTTACATATGTTTTGCGTCTAAAAATATACCTAATATACAAGTTTAATGTGATCAATGTTACTGTATAATACCGTAAGGCATAAATAGTAACTGGCTTACATAGATATATGGGGGACATATACGCTAATCATTACGCAATGACAATTCAGTATGACAATTCTTTAAGCTATGTCCGTTTGCGCTTAGACGGAACCCAGTCACCCGTATGTTTCTGCAATATATTATGCAAGTAACGGAATAAGCAGAGCTGACCCAAATGACTCACGTAAATGTACGAAAACGTCCCGCCATGTACAGTAAACATCCCTTTTCACCACATACGTTCCATATTTAAAATGAACCAATCCACAGAGTCCCTAATTATCATATCGGATAATGGCGGCTTGATAACAACCGCTTTGAGTATGGGTCAAGTGATTACTGGACTGAAGAACGACACGATTTGTAGCCATTAAGTGCACTTTGGTCAAACGAAATGAAATTCCCGGGTCACTGAGGTGAACGCGAGATAACGCCTACCCCACAACAGTGGTCAGCAACTAAAGCATGGCGCGCTTCTGGTCTGGGGTAATACTGTGTTTCACCTGCTTCCTAATTACAGGTACGTTACGTCTGTTTCGTGTAACAGATAATATTATCAATATATTAACGCGTGTTTATAAATAGGTAGAGTTTCCTGTTATCTCACTGACATGTCCCTACCGCGAACTGTGGCCTAGATAATGAGTCGCCTACATGGGACAGTAACTATTTATTGCTGGCGATTGTGATATTCATTTAGGGAGCCTTGACGCGAATTATGAAGTTTTACAACTGAAAAGTTTTATGTCAATAAATATAACGTTACATAGACATGAATAATTGATTACAGATGAATGAAATTTAACTTAACATTTGTGTTAATTGGAAATATGATCCTAAACCCGTGAAGATCCGGGGTAGAACAGGTCTTCAGCAACCCATGCCTGCCGTAATAGGCGACTATGCTTGTCGCAAGAGGCGACTAACGGGATCGGGTGATCATGCTCGCTGACTTGATGCATTTCATCGATCCCAATTGCGTGGATCGATGCTCATGATATCAATCGCTGGATTGTCTGGTCCAGACTTGAATATTTACAGACCGCCGTCATATAGCTGGAATATTGCTGAGTGCGGCGTTAAACAACAAACAAACAAACAACATGATTCTAAAGCTACCTACAATGTGAGTTTCGGAAGAGGCATGGGTTGTATCGTCCAAAGTGTCGGCGATTGTGGTCCTGCAGATACCCTGATTAGACACCTTAGAGTAGAGTTACGCCTGTCCGCCTACCACCGGGATATTGCTCTTGATTAAAATACAGTCAGTCTCAGTATGCTTTAATGTTCACATTACAATTTGGTTGGTTGGGTTGTTTGTTTAACGCCGCACTCAGCAATATGACGGCGGTCTGTAAAAAAATCGAGTCTGGACCAGACAATCCAGTGATTGATATCATGAGCATCGATCCACGCAATTGAGATACGTTGACATGCATCAACCAAGTCAGCGAGCCTGACCACCCGATCCCGAAAGTCGCCTCTTACGACAAGCATAGTCGCTTTTTACGGCAAGCATGGGTTGCTGAAGACCCTTCTACCCCGGATCTTCATCACATTATGAGTAACATACGCTTGATTAGTGGAAACATACTTCTTTCTACATTTACCTCTGCCATGACGGTTCCATAGTCTATACAGAAAACTTTCCCTTCCTGTCTGTTTCGGCATTAACGGAAGGTGCATGTGGATAGTGAGGGAGGTAAACAAAGGAGGTCAGATTGATTCATAAGCATTTTCATTTTCCATCGTATCCTGAAATAACGGACTCTCTCTGGTTGACTTAATGTACGTCTCTGTTCCGTGACCGAACCCCCTAATTCCATACATCCGTGCTCTGGACGATCCTGTTGGTAACGCCCACTTATGTCCCCAGGAATGTCACTCCGACCGTAGCTTGTGATAGCGTGTGATATCACAGCTTTCTACATTTCACCCGCCCCCTCCTCCCCTTCCGAACCATCACTAACCGACACACACACAGTCACACACTCATCACTCCCACCAACCCGTCCCCTCCCCACCCACACCTACACCCACACCTACACCCACAGTGACACACAAACCCAAGCCCGTACCAAATGGACACGTCACCCATGTAAGTGTCTTATCGACCTTTAAGTAGAAAATAAGACATTATACCCTTAAGAAGAAAATATAACGATTTTCCCTTTAACATAAACTAATACATTGCCATCAGTCTCGAGACGATTAATGTTGTTATTGCGAAATCTGGCGCGAATCGTTCTTAGGGCTGACATTTGACACTTGTTCAACGGTGAAATACCAACGTCACCTAGGTACAGTATCAGTTGTTGCTTTGATTTCGCAGGTCAATGCGGGTCGTATCTGATAAGAGTGCATTATACCTTTGACCCGGTGTCGGTGACGGGAGTGTTTGTCTGTCCGTGGCTACATCTAATCTTATCACGATGTTCACACACGATCACTGGCCTCACTGCAACAATGCGGCGAGAGTGAGATGCAAATGAATTTTAAAGAATTTCCACCTGTCTTGATTAAACCTAAATACAGCGTTTCCTCGTCGTATAATTGCATTCTCTCGTGTTCCCTGACAATAATCTTCGCGTTCCCTCACTGTACTAAAAAGTTCGCTTGCAACCGTCACCACACGCTCCTCTCCGTAACCTGCGGGAAGACTCTTCCCCCAGTCGACGAATGCTATGAACGAAACTATGACGAACCAATCAGAATGCGCGTATGATTTCAAGTACTTCGGGCAAAGAATCCCTTGGGAATACATTTTGATTTTACATATATGTTTGGCTTTAAACATATACCCAAGATACAGTTAACGTGTTCAATCGTACTATATAATATCCTAAGTCCGGCCGGTTTTACTTACATCTGGAATATAAAAGCAATATTTGGAAAATGTACGGGAATGATTACGCAACGAGTTGACAATTCTTTTTGCTATGCCCGTTTGCGCTAAGACGGAACCTAGTCGCAACAATGGCCGGGAGAGCGGGTCTTGTTCCGGAATAACACGGGTTGGTCACGAATGCGCTCGCTTGCGGTACCATAGGGTTCCATTATTACACTAAAACCCTCGCAACAGAATGATGTTTTCTCGCTAGGGTGTCGCTTTCCCTGGCTATATACTCTCCCCAAAACGTAAGGGATATTCGAACATAACAGATGGTTACAGCAATTCAAAGAGGTATGGAGTGATGGTGATGGATGGATCAGACACAGGAAGAACAAACTGTAACATAACAATCAACAGCACACGTAGGAACCCGTGAAGATCCGGGGTAGAATAGGTCTTCAGCAACCCATGCGTGCCATAAAAGGCGACTATGCTTGTCGTAAAAGGCGACTAACAGGATCGGGTGGTCAGGCTCGCTGACTTGGTTGATGCATGTCATCGATCCCAATTGCGTGGATCGGTGCTCATGATGTCAATCACTGGATTGTCTGGTCCAGACTCGATTATTTACAGACCGCCGTCATATAGGTGGAATATTGCTGAGTGCGGCGTTACACAACAAACCAACCAACTTTCAAACCGCCCGTTAACAGCCTTTACCTCAGAACAATTGGCATACGTTTAATAGAGAGATAAGTGTATTGGCTCTTGGTTACGAACCATACGATTGCATATGGATGATTAATGAGTGGTGGAATTTTGCTGAGTGCGGCGTTAACCAACAAACCAACCAAAAGCACACATAGGACGCGTATTGTAATGGTGAAATCAACAGGGCCATACAGTAAAAGACTGAACTTTTGCGATGACATTCCTTTATACGAAGTTTGCTTGTTTGTATGTTTGTTTTTGTCTTACGCCGCACTCCGCTATATGACGGCGGTCTGTAAATAATCGATTCTGAACCAGACAATCCAGTGACTGACTTCAGGAGTATCAATCCACTCCATTGAGATAGTTACGTTGACATGCATCAACCAAGTCAGCGAGCCTAACCACCGGATCCCGTTAGTCGCCCCTTACGACAAGCATAGTCACCTTTTAGAGCAATCATGGGTTGCTGAAGACCTAACGGGATCAGGTGGTCAGGCTAACTGCATGTCATCGTATTCCAATATGCGTGGATCGATGCTACTGATGTCAATCACTTGATTGTCTGGTCCAGACTCGATTATTTACAGACCGCCGTCATAATGCTGGAATGAGTGCGGCGTTAAACAACAAACAAACAAACAGACAATATTATAACTGAACATTTATTTATAGCTGAGGCCGACGTCTTCAATGTAGTTCACTTCCCCGATGGACGTTACGCGATTCAGATCAATGGTGTCACATGGTTAAACAGCGCCCCTACGTTCTTCGTCGTCAACGACACGCGCTTCTCCACCGAAGATGGCAGCCTCCTTCTCGACAGCATCAACACTACGATGTCTGGGTGGGGACCATTCGGAGTTTGGGTCGCCACCAACTTCCATTACCGAGCTGGTGACGTACCCATCGTCGCGAGTATCTCCATGTCTGGGGTTTCAGTCATTACATTTATAGTGGTGAGCAGTATTTAAAACGTCTCAACGTTAATATCAGTTTGCCTTACAAAAACAGCCTTTTTTGAGGCGAATGTTGACTTGCAAAATTGTAAACATCAAACATTTTTTGTTTGTTTCTCATGTACTGGGTAAAGTAACCGATTCTCTCAATATTCTCTTTTGAATATACATTTCACTCAAAACTCTGCGCTCTTTTAGTAATGATGTCATCTGATAATTTGGGGTTGTGTTCGCGTCCGTGCTTCATTCGTCACCACTCGGTCCTTTCTGTAACCTGCAAGAAGACTCGTCCCCCTATTGATGAATGTTATGTGCGAAAATACGACAAACCAATCAGATTGCGTGTATGACTTAGAGTTCTTTGTCAAATAGATTTTTGATTTTACGTATGTCTTGCGTCTAAAAATATACCCAAGACACAGTTAAATGTGCTTTAAATTGCATCTGAAATATATATCATATATGAGGAAATATATGTGAACCATTCCGCAACGGGTTGACAATTGTTTTCTGTATGCCCGTTTGCGCTAAGACGGAACCCAGTCGCATAAATGTCGCAAATAAGATTATGCAGGGGGGGGGGGGGGGGGGGGGGGGGGCGGCTGGCTCCCCGGCTGCCCCCCGGCTCCTTTGTGACCCCTCCACGCTGCCCCCCGGCACTGAATCTTGGCTGGAAATTGGCCGGAGTGTGCCTTCACTTGGGACGGTTGGATGGCTCTGTGGTTGTAGCGTTGTTCAGAATCGGTTACTTTCAGACGGGATTTATGGTTTCGGCGTAAAACAACTTTCACTCACAGAACACGCCATAACCTAAAAATCAAACACGTACATGTAGATCATTTGGTTTTCGCTTATGTCACAAAATAGATATCATATATAACATTTTAATTGGTTCTTTTCATTAATGAAGCGATTCCCCGACGGAGTTTCAAACATCAATCAAACCAACTCAGACGGTGTTATGTGTGGATTCCCGGGATTCCAACTGGACACCACGCAAAAACTTGGATACATGTCTTTCGGGGGAGCTGACATTACAGAACAGTCCGTCGGAAGGTAAGCTTTATGCTCATTATTATACTGCAAGGAACAAGGCTTTGGCTAATCGACAGTCCCACAAATTTGGATTCAAGACCGTTCTACCATTTATATCGTTATAGTAGTATATAGTTACCCGACATACACGCAGAAATTACAAATGGCAAAATTAAATGTTAAGACCCATACAGCAAACTGACAATTGGCATTGCAGAACTGGACCCATCGACAAAGTGATCTGATTGGCTGGTTGGTTGGTTGGTTTGTTGTTTAACGTCGCACTCAGCAATATTCCAGCTATATGACGGCGGTCTGTAAATAATCGAGTCTGGACCAGACAATCCAGTGATTAATATCATGAGCGTCGAGGCACGCAATTCGGATCGATGACATGCATCAACCAAGTCAGCGAGCCTGACCACCCGACCCCGTTAGTCGCCTCTTACGACAAGCCTAGTCGCCTTTTACGACAAGCATGAGTTGCTTAAGACCTATTCTACCCCGGATCTTCACGGTTCTAATACAATGTCCTAATCCCTTGTTCGGTTTAGGGATTCCGGGTTTGAATAGGACGCCGTCAAGCTATGTTTGTAAAAGGCGGCTATATGCATCAGGTGGTCAGGCTCGGAGACTGGGTTGATTGCGTGTCATCGTATCCTGACGGCTTGGATTGTTGCGAACGATATTCATCACTGGATTTTCTGGTTCAAAGTGATCTGAACGCTGTGGCGATTGGTACTTGCATCCTTTAACATAGACTTACGACAGCATTAGCACGAAGATCGCTTTGTTGAACCAGACCCTGTAAAACATGTTTCTGTTTTATATTCACGCACACATCTGAAGAAATGCTTCTTTAAATTACGTTCAGTGAATGGCTATATACGTACATGTAATGGCTTGTATTAATAATGCAGTTGCCATTGACTACAAACAGTAGTTGCGATTTTTCCTGGTCAATTGAACGATGTGGGGCAATAAATATAGGTTGTGTTCAACATCCAATTGAATGACACGACCTTGAACTCAATACTTTGACAGTACTTCTGCGTTTCAAGCTGACCATATCGACCAAATTTGATTTATCTTTGTCTCAAAGTATGTGCCCTTTGGGAATTCCGGGTTGGAATTGGCCGTAAGAAACCAATGCTTGTCGAACGAGACGAAGTAATGGATCGGGTGTCCTGTTTGATCACATGTGATCGTACCTACTGCGTTGTTAAGTTGCCCTTTCTACCAAGATTTCAAAGAGCGCCATACGACTCTTGCTCAGAAGTTGTTTGATTAAGGCTACAACATTCAAGGCCTCAGTAAAACTTTCAAAAAATTATATGGTAGACATGTGGAGGACATTCCCAAATTTGACGCATCAGTGACAAAAATGATGTCGGATGCAGTTCCCTATTTTGAATTGTACCATTTGTTACCGTGTTTTTTTTTTCAGGTGAACAATTGAATTGCCTGTGCATGTGTTTGTGAGTGCCACCGATGGGGCAGGATACGCTTACCTTTTCTCCGCCACCTGGTATCATCACTATTGGATATTGATTCATTAACACATGCTTATGATATAGTCGGAATCGTACAATTGTACAAAGATTTATATTGAATATGGAAAGGGTTTTGTCGCTTTTATTTATCACGATATACTGGGTTACCCGGTAAGGACTCGATTGTTTAGGGGCACTTGTCATGTAGCTCGTAATATGCACATCATAAGTACATTTACGTTCATTTATGTCATCTGACCATAAAATGAGACAAAGCTAACGTCAGCAAATGGTAGGCAGGGTTTAGGTATGGTATGGGAGTCTTCCTTCCTTACTGGGGTCACGTGTGGCCCAGTCGTCTAAAGCGCCGTAATTCCCTGTGCAGAGTTGCGTCACTTGGGCACCCCAGAAACCTATGATTGTGGGTTCGAGTCCCGGTTCGCCCCGATTATGTTTCTAGGTTTGTCAGCACCATACCCGCGCTCGTGGTTACACCGAAGTGGTAAACGTCTGAGACATGCATCACTTCGGGCTTTCCTCCCACATTAAGCCGTGACAGGCTGTGATATGACTGGAAAACTGTTAAAAACGTCGTTTAACCCAACTCACACACTCGCTCCTTCCCTGCTGCAGCGGTTCTGTCAGGCGACCTAGGCGGGAGTCGATCTATCTGAATTATCTCTTACTTGCTGATGGAGCTGATCCATGGTGGAGTTGGGCTCTCTTTTCCGGTCTCTATCGTCCGGTCTCTCTCTTCTATTGTCTTAAGGAGGCACGGGTGGCCCAGTCGTCTAAGGCGCCGCGATTCGCTTTGCAGAGTTGCGTTCCTTGGGCACGCCAGGAACCTATGATTGTGCGTTCGAATCCCGGTTCGACCCGATTATGATTCTAGGTTTGTCAGCACCATACCAGTGCTCGTGGGTTTCACCGAAGTGGTAAACGTCTGAGACCTGCATCACTTCGGGCTTTCCTCCCACATTAAGCTGACACGCCGCGATATAACTGTAATACTGTTAAAAGCGTCGTTAAACCCAACTCACTCACTCACTATTGTAACTTGTTAATGAGTTCAAACACATTGGGATTTGCTTTTGACAGAGATCTGTTTAGCTTGGAATGCCATTCATCAAGATGGTTATTGGTTCGTGGTCCAAAGTCTGGTTTCACACCATAGCCTTGAAGGATGGCTCATCATCAACCCATGCGGATGTCACATCAGTAAACTCAGTTACCCTCGGCCACTAACATTTCTAGCCATACATCTAGCTCTTGGTTAAGAGGCAGAGATGTTGATCGTCTCACAAGAGTATTAGTTTTTTCGTCAGTACTTTCGAAGGGTGATATGTTGTCACAGGAAGCCAGTTCTGACCATGCTTCTACAGCAGCTTATCTTATATCATATCAGTAGATGAGACCTGCATCACTTCGGGCTTTCCTCCCACATTAAGCTGACACGCCGCGATATAACTGGAATACTGTTAAAAGCGGCGTTAAACCCAACTCACTCACTCACTCACTCATATCAGTAGATAGGGTAATATGTGTTTACTTGAGGCCACTTCTCACAAGATGCTATAAAACAATATAGACACATATCTTTATATACTGGTCTCTATAATTTGTGTTAAAAGGATAGGTCTATGATTGGAAGAGGAGACCTGTATTCAGTAAGCATTCAGTCATGTGGAACTAATCCCCTAATAAACCTTACGTGTATTATACTGTAAGTAATCTGTTTATTGTATCTCGTGACCTGCACAAGTCACTTTTCTATAAACCTTATGTGTATTATACTGTAGGTAATCTGTTTATTGTCACTTTTCGTTTGTGGACAAAACATTGCAATATCTCCTTTGCTGTCTAGAAGATAATATCTCCACATTAGTGGATTCCTCTTGATTCCCCAGGGTCAAACACAAACAGATGACCACATCAAACATTTCGGACTCTCAAATATTACTTATCCGTTGAGTCTTCTGCTTCAGATTGGGTCCGTCCGCTTCTTTTCAGGACGGTCTGGAAGGTTCCAGCCCCTTCGCGGTGTTTGACCCGAGTGGAAATTCAGTGGCATTTGGACAGTTGGATAATGTCATGACAACACCAATATGGCAGAACAAAACCAACAACTTCCTGTACTATGGAATTATGGGAGGAATCGATCAGATCCCGACAAATTTCTCCTACCAAGTTGCCGCATTATATACCTCGGGAGGGGGGCCTGAAAATGTAAGTATAGATTCAACAATCTTGATCAGCTCTATGAATTATTTAAATGATCATTATCGATAATTGTATTTGATACATTGCTAGTGTAACGGCCATAAAATTACTGAGTCCCGTGATGGGATTCGATTCACGGACCTTCTGATCCGAGGTCGGACGCCTTGTCCACATGACCAAAGAGGTTAACCCCGTCAGCAAGCTGACAAGGTAAGGATGTAATCTGTAGGATGACTCCACGCCCTGCTACACTAGATAAACAAGACAAAGTACGACCTGACAACTGAATCCGCGGATGTTCATAATCATTGAAGTCAATATCAATATCAGGGGTGGAAGGTGGGCTACAGTACATGTGTCCAGTCGTCGTAGCGCATTGACGAATGGACGAACAGCATCTAGTCTACGTGCAACGGATCAAACTACACCGCAGTCCCCCCTTCAATGGGAATGGATTCTTCCAATACACCAGGAACTTCTACTGTCCTACACGCATTGTTCATGCAGATTACGGATGTTATTACTGGGCACCGTGCTATTGGTGTATTTCATTCGGACACATGAAAGTCAGTTACCTGCTGCTATGAATATCCTCCTCGATATTCGAGGGTATATTTGCTATGTTGTCCCAATATCAAAGTTTGGGTTCGAATCATTGTCAGTATGGATACATCATTTTTTGAATACATAGCGTTTATTTGGACGTGAATATAGGGCTGCTATCGTAAAACAAATAAAAAAGATCCCTTCAAAACCAAAATACATACGAAGCAATCAAAGGTTGGATCAACGGTGATGAAATACATAATACCATCAATAGAGTACCAAACATTCACTGATTTTTAGCCGTCAATTCATATATTTTTTCACAGCTTTTTTCACATTATCGCCAAATTTATTCTGTTTCGGCGGATAATCAAGACTGCATTCACCAGAAATATATTCATAATAAAGGATAACCAGTACAATATGATACGCTTGCCACACTTGCCACACAAAATGTCATCAACAAAATATTGGATGTAAACAATTTGTTTCACAGTCACATATGTCTGCTTCTGAGACTAGCTGTGTATGGTTTGTTGTTTTATGCAGCACTTTGCAAAATTCCAGATATATGACGCCTGCATACGTGACGCCACGGAATCTCTGTCCCAAAGACCTGAGGAATTGATGCTTCTGTTTTCCTATTTTCAGAGTCTTTCGACGTGGGGTTTCGTAATCAGAAGCATGATCTACAAGCATGACAAAACCGAGGATCACACCGCAAAATCACTCGGATACTGGACAGATGAAGGTGAGAGCAAGTCATTTTATAGATGGTTTAGACCTTATTTGTAACCCTTTGTCGTCAAGTGATTACAGTCCACGGGGTTGTGAGAATATCAGTTCATTCAGCAAAGGCATAAGGAAGACACTCCTGAAACAATTTAAAATCACAATTTATCACTTGTTTCAGAATAAATGTACAATAACACATTAAATGTCAAGTATCGATCTGCTTCTTAATAATTCATTACATCATTACAGCAGATACACAAATTAGTTCTGACTTGATATCTAATCGGTGCAAATGTACCTTCATATACAAATACAATATAATTACACATTATTAAACGCATAACTGAGGAAATCATTAAATCAACAGATAATCATAATATGCATAATGAATCCACGACATGAACATATTATATAGATAAACTATATACAAAACATACCCTGTGTGTGACACGAGAGTGTAACATGCCTTCTGCCAGTCGTCTCATTCGACAGTCACATGACCCTAAATACAGATAAAATATTAATTATAACATTGTAAATAGCATATAAATATTTGAGACATATACGTGCATCACTAAAATACAACTTCAGTCATTCATACCACTACCAATAAATACATGCATACATCTGTTGAAATAGAACCCGCTGTGAAATAGAAAAACCATGATACCTTATCTACACTAAAAATACTTACATATTTACAAGATGCAGAATTAACAACTACTACATAAATATGCCCTAAAAGACCTTGGATTTGAACGAGCAGTTGTGAGCATCATGTTCTGTTTCAACGACAATGAATCAGCTGTTGTAATTACCAGACACCTATGATCGTGGGTTACAAGCTAGCATCACCCTGAATGTGTTCCTTTCTTTGTCAGCACCATACCCATGTTCGTTCCAGGGGCCTACTATTCCCATGGCAATGTCCCAGGGGCCTACTATATCGATGTTACTGTTTCAGGGGCCTACTATTTCGATCTCAATGTTTCAGGGGCCTATTATTCCCATATCAATGTTCCAGGTGCCTACTATATCGATCTCAATGTCCCAGGAGCCTACTATATCGATCTAAATGTTCCAGGAGCCTACTATATCGATCTCAATGTCCCAGGAGCGTACTATATCGATCTAAATGTTCCAGGAGCCTACTATATCGATCTCAATGTCCCAGGAGCGTACTATATCGATCTAAATGTTCCAGGGGCCTACTTTATCGATCTCAATGTTTCAGGGGCCTACTATATTGATCTCAATGTCTTAGGGGCCTACTATATCGATCTCAATGTTCCAGGGGCCTACTATATCGATTTCAATGTTTCCGGGGCCTACTATATCGATTGCAATGTTTCCGGGGCCTACTATATCGATTGCAATGTTTCATGGGCCTCCTGTTACGATCTCAATGTTTCAAGGGCCTACTATTCCCATGTCAATGTCCAAGGGGCCTACCATATCGATCTCAATGTTCCAGGGGCCTACAATATCGATTCCAATGTTTCAGGGGCCTACTATATCGATCTCAATATTTCAGGGGCCTACTGTTTCGATCTCAATGTTTCAGGGGCCTACTATATCGATCTCAATGTTTCAGGGCCCTACCATTCCCATGTCAATGTCCCAGGGGCCTACTATATCGATCTAAATGTTTCAGGGGCCTACTTTTCCCATGTCAATGTCCAAGGGGCTTATTATATCGATCTCAATGTCCCAGGGGCCTACTATATCGATCTCAATTTTCCAGGGGCCTACTATATCGATTTCAATGTTTCCGGGGCCTACTATATCGATTGCAATGTTTCAGGGGCCTACTATATCGATCTCAATGTCCCAGGGGCCTACTATATCGATCTCAATGTTTCAGGGGCCTACTATTCCCATGTCAATGTTCAACAGGCCTACTATATCGATGTCAATGTCCCAGGGGCCTACTATATCGATTTCAATGTTTCCGGAGCCTACTATATCGATTGCAATGTTTCAGGGGCCTACTTTTTCGATCTCAATGTTTTAGGGGCCTACTATTCCCATGTCAATGTCCCAGGGGCCTACTATATCGATCTAAATGTTTCAGGGGCCTACTTTTCCCATGTCAATGTTCCAGGGGCTTATTATATCGATCTCAATGTCCCAGGGGCCTACTATATCGATCTCAATTTTCCAGGGGCCTACTATATCGATTTCAATGTTTCCGGGGCCAACTATATCGATTGCAATGTTTCAGGGGCCTACTATATCGATCTCAATGTCCCAGGGGCCTACTATATCGATCTCAATGTTTCAGGGGCCTACTATATCGATTGCAATGTTTCAGGGGCCTACTTTTTCGATCTCAATGTTTTAGGGGCCTACTATTCCGGTCTCAATGTCCCAGGGGCCTACTATATCGATATCAATGTCCCAGGGGCCTACTATATCGATTTCAATGTTCCCGGAGCCTACTATATCGATATCAATGTCCCAGGGGCCTACTATATCGATTTCAATGTTCCCGGAGCCTACTATATCGATTGCAATGTTTCAGGGGCCTACTTTTTCTATCTCAATGTTTTAGGGGCCTACTATTCCGGTCTCAATGTATCAGGGGCCTACTGTTTCGATCTCAATGTTTCAGGGACCTACTATTTTCATGTCAATGTTTCAGGGGCCTACTATTCCGATCTCAATGTTTCAGGGGCCTACTGTTTCGATATCAATGTTTCAGGGGCCTACTATTTCGATCTCAATGTTTCAGGGAACTAGTATTCCGATCTCAATGTTTCAGGGACCTATTATTCCCATGTCAATGTTTCAGGGGCCTGCTATTCCGATCTCAATGTTTCAGGAGCCTACTGTTTCGAACTCAATGTTTCATGGACCTACTATTTTCATGTCAATGTTTCTGGGACCTAGAATTCCGATCTCAATGTTTCAGGGACCTACTATTCTCATGTCAATGTTTCAGGGGCCTGCTATTCGGATCTCAATGTTTCAGGGGCCTACTATTCCGATCTCAATGTTTCAGGAGCCTACTGTTTCGATCTCAATGTTTCAGGGACCTACTATTTTCATGTCAATGTTTCAGGGGCCTACAGTTCCGATCTCAATGTTACAGAGGCCTACTATTCCCATATCAATGTTTCAGGGACCTACTATTTTCATGTCAATGTTTCAGGGGCCTACAGTTCCGATCTCAATGTTACAGAGGCCTACTATTCCCATATCAATGTTTCAGGGACCTACTATTTTCATGTCAATGTTTCAGGGGCCTACTATTTCGATAAGACCGATGGCACATCAACGTATGAAGATACATTGATCAATGTGTTTTCTGATGCACGAAATAGAAGTATACCTTACAGGTACGTTTGTAGTTTGATAGAATAAAACATCATTGATAAGGTAAACGGTTCGCGTTTGGGAGACGATGTTGTATGTTAATATACTGATAACTGAATCCTGCGGGTGACCCAGAAATTCACAGTGCAGATGTGTAAACTTAGAATAACTGAATTGTTTAGATTAGATCAAATCTTCTGAATTAGCTTTAGTGGCGCGTTATATCAGTACAAGAACAATACAAGAACAAACTGATATACCAGCATGATCCCCCTACGCAGTGATGTAGCATTATTCCTTGATATCCTCTTGTGCAGCAGAAACATATTTTTTATCCTTGCACTCTTCTAGATGTATCCTTACTCCTTGCACTCCTCTAGTGAAACATACATCCTTATTTTTTGCACGCCTCTTGTGAAACACACATCCTTACTTTTTGCACGCCTCTTGTGAAACAGACACCTCCATACTACTTGTACTCCTGTGAAACAGACACACCCTTACTCCTTGTACTTCTCTTGTTAAAGACACATCCTTATTCCCTGAACCCTTTTTTAACACACACACCCTTACTCCTTGAACGCCTCTTGTGAAACAGACATATCCATATTCTTTTCTCTCTTCTTGTGAAACAAATACAGCCATATTCCTTTCTCTCCAATGTTAAACAGACTAATCCTTACTCCCTGCACTTCTCTTGTGAAACAGATACATTATATATTCCTTGCTCTCCTCTCTCTTGTTAAACAGACATATCAGACTCATCCTTACTCCCTGCACTTCTCTTGTGAAACAGATACATTATATATTCCTTGCTCTCCTCTCTCTTGTGAAACAGACATATCCATATTCTTTTCTCTCTTCTTGTGGAACAAAAACATCCATATTCCTTTCTCTCCAATTGTTAAACAGACTCACCCTTACTCCCTGCACTTCTCTTGTGAAACAGATACGTTATATATTCCTTGCTCTCCTCTTGTGAAACAGACACATCCTTACTACTTTTACTCCTCTTGTGAAACAGATACATGATATACACCTTTCTCTTCTCTTGTGAAACAGACACATCCATATTCCTTACTCTTCTCTTGTGAAACAGATACATCCATATTCCTTGCTCTCCTCTTGTATAAGACATCGTTCGCAGCTGACCTATCCTTATTCCTAAAGCTTGCTCTCCTGTTGTTCTGCATGTATATCCATATTCCTGTTTCTAATCTTGTCCTGCAGGTACGTGGAACTGGACACCTGGTGGTTCACAAAAGGTCAAGGCGGAGGGGTCAAGGAGTGGACAGCACCCACGGACATCTTCCCCAAGGGAATTGAGTACGTCTTCAGTAATGTAACATTACTCGTGATAAATCAGTGGCGATGATACACGTATTTATGGTGTATTATCAACGATTTGCAGTGTAGTTCTAAATATAAGCATCCTGATCGTAGACAATTGTGTGCGATTTACATCTTTGTAGAGGATAATGCATGGTCGTCCATACGTTCTTCAAATGAAATTTATACGCTTGATGAATCAAGGACGTCTCCAGCACCAACCATGTTTTCTCCTGGCTGTACTGATTTTGGCTTCTTGTCAATGTCACACAAAGAATAATGAAACGCTTCGATCCGACAAAAGCGTTTGGTCGAAAGGTAGTTGTCTCGCCATGTCCCATCTAAAGACATGACATTACAACAGGACGTTCAGTCTAAGGTAAATAACATGGATACTATTGCAACTGAAGTGTATTATACAAGTTGCTACCTCGGGGATCACCATCAGCACGATCTGAGACAACAAGAATACAGATGCTTGAGAATTCTTTCTGGTTCGGTTTCAGATATGTATACAGAAGTTTGAACGTACCCATCGTTGCGAAAAATAATTTCTGGTGAGTTGTGAGAGCGAGTATCGCTTTAAGCAATGAAGTAATATTTGTTATTAATATTAACAGCTCCCTAAACAACTTCTGTTATTAAGTGTTTGACGGTGTGGTCGAAACAAGAAGATGAAGGTGTTCTTTGTGAGAGGTGTGTGTGGGGTGTGTGTGTGTGTGTGTGTGGAGGGGGGTGGGGGGCTGGGGGTGGGGGTGCGCATGCAGGACATAGTTTCCTGGTACATGTATATTGATATTAGGACTATGATTTCTAGGCGGAAATGTGTTCTGTTGCATTGATGTCGTGCGACTGTGACATCTACAACATCGAATCCGAGTAAACTGGAGTGGACTAAAATACACCAACACCGTTTAGTTGTCCGTCAGTCCCACCCCTTAGCCTACGAAACCCGCTATTAGCCTATTACTGATTTGAAGGTCTTTTTCAAAGAACCATTACGAAAAATCTGGAATCAGTTAATCAAGATCTCACTGTGGATGACTTGGGAATATTCAATCACAGGAAGCCGATTCCACATCCTTTATCTATTGCAGGTCAAGTGACAACATATACGCAACACAAAATGGTGGAACCTTTAATTTTGAAATCGAAGGTGACATGGCAATACCGACAGATGAGGTATGAACAATTAACAATAGATTATATACATTTATTTATAACATTGCAAGTTGAACAGTTTCACTTTTATGTCTGGAATTGGTTTTGAGTCTTAGATGATTAATTGAGCCATTTTGTCAGTCAAGAGGCTAAGTCATGTAGAAGGCTTAAGGTTTCTTCTACACCTACTACATAAAAAGTCTTACTATACAGTTTGTTCCAGGAGAGCCATGTGAACACTTCTAGGTACTATGCAATCCCAAATAATAGGGTAGGTAAAAAGCTAGAGGCAGTCTAATGCCAGGTACCAGTTGTAAAAGTTAGGTTCATTATACATATTTTACATATCTGCACGGTACAGAGGTACTTCAGTGGCCAACAAAGCTTTCTAGTTGTAGATTTGAAAAAAAATAAGCCAGTACCTGTCATGACAGCCATTTTTTAAAGATGGCCGACGTTTGTCAAAATGACCATTCTAAAAACAGTATGGTACATACCTATTATTAATACGTTTCATTCACACACTAAACTAAATATATTAGGTTATTAGCGTCTCATAATAATTCCCTGATGTAAATCCAGTTACGATTATCTCATTACATTAATTGCACTACGCATTATATGCAAATCTGCTCCTATTTTCAATGGAGACTTCCGTACAATAACAGGGAGGCGAAGTACAACATAAACCGTTAAAACCGGCTCTATGCAGCCCGCGTGAAAGCAAAGTGTTATGTGATGGAGGGCGTGACCCTTACAGCATACCATAGTAGGCAACGATTGCGGTGCGCTAGACAACGCCAGGGACGAGCTGTGCGCCAATGGCATTACACCATGTTTACAGACGAATCAAGGTGCCGCCGATTTACAGATGGCAGAAAACATTGTTGGCGACGTATCGGTGAGCGGTATGCCAAAACAACACTTAAGCTTCTTGACAGTGATTTGGTATGGGGGCAGTAGTATCATGGTTAGGGGCGGTATTACACATGACAGGCGAACTGATTTGGGTATGGACATTTGCGCCTTGTCATTGTTCCATTCGCAAGAATTACTTTGAACTGCAAGATGGCAATGCCAGACCACATCTAGCCCAGGTAGTCATTGTTTTTACCTCCGAAGAGAAAGTATACGGAGATTGGACAGGCCCGCTAAGTCACCTGACATGTCCTCAATAGAGCGTCTGTGGATGTTCTCGGTCGGAGAGTGTACACCAGAGACCCAGCGCCCGCCAAGGTGGCCAAGCGTGGGGACGCTCTTCAGGCGGAATGGTGGGCAATACCAAGGGATGCCCACAGTATGTCATCAAGGTGTTGTGCATGTATCGCCCAACATGGTGGACACACAAGTATTCATCAACACGCCCGAAATAGATTTTACATTTCATCGTCATTACACCTTCATTACCATTTCACCAATTCCCTTATTGTTGTCGTCAGTACGTTTAACATGGATACATTTACCTTCACCCATGTAGACACAAGCACCAGTGGAAGGTAGTTCATTTGGCACTGCGTGCATATGTTCTTGTACGACATGCTGACCGTTTGCATTTGCCAGATTCTATTCTAACAGTCTCTTTTGGCGCTGATTCTTTTTTGGTCCCTAACACAGGCTGAATTACACCGTCTTTTATCTTCCAACCATGCCCATCAACAGATGGAAGGTTGTGCATGGCTTACAATGCCCTTCTCCAAACATGGTCTTGGTAGATTGCTCGTTTTATGTGCTGAATAAGACTGTTTGAAGTCAGAGGTAACCTTTCGTTGTTGAGCTGCTTCTTACAGCATAGGCAGTACTTGCCTTCTTGCCCTGTCACCAGCGAGGCAGAGGGGTGCATGCTAAAACGGCACCTCAGTAAAACGTCACCGATTTCTCTGGCGACTTCTCTGTAGAGTCCGCAAAATCCCCATATAGCCTTGCTAATTCTTCATCTAACTCCAGGGATTCACCAAAATGTGCTAACTAAAAGTTAGTTTGGTGAACTTAGCTGTCCTGTAGCGAAGTCAATGTTTTTCTCTACCCTATTCCTCATAGTCAACTGTTTGAGTCGCATCCGGTGAGTGCCTGCAGTGCTAGTGGGGTTTTACATATATGTGGTCCCAACTCTTGAGCAACAGAATGCACAGGCATGAACCTCACACTGACAGAAGAACTAACTTATATTGTGAACTTCACTGTCCGTTCAGACACTGACATGTTAGTGGACTTTACTAATCAGTTAGCAATTTGTTTACTTGGTGGTCTATCGTCACTAAGTAAAAATGGCGAAGGAGTAATCAAATATACTTTCAATGTCAGTTTCCTGTATGAGAGAAAGCTTGTGTGGGTGTCATCTCTTTGGCCTCTCACACCTGGTCTCATTGCAACCCCGTTTGTACTTATCCCACAGCCGTGAAATTACACTTTTTGATTTGCCAAACATTCGGACAATTTGGGATATTGATACCGTCTAAAATATCACTCCACGGTACAAACTTGCTAAAATGTTATACATTTCAGTTACACATATTGATACAGTACAAGTGCAGATACCTTATCAAATGTTTCGCCATTCCATGTATTCTAGCATTAAGAGGAGAACCTCCTGGCCGTACACCTTTGCATTACAAAATGCCTATTGATATTGTTGAAAAGTGTGCATTATTGACTGTCAATACCAAGTCAAATATTTCGTTACTAAAAACTAGGCTTGGAATAGCAGCCATTTAGTCAAATGTCTATCATGGCCGATCGGTATTGGAACTTGACTGGATTTACATCAAGGAATAACTAGGCACTTACACACTAAATATGCTCAGTTTTATGTGTGAATGAAACGTATTAACTTGAAATCTTTGTTGGTCACTTAAGTACGTCTGAGGTATGTTTCATAAATTTAGGACTCATGTTACAGTATATTGCCTTTATACCACCATGCAAATATATTTATGAAATGAACCTAATTTTTACTTACCCTACAATTTGGGATTTCGTAGTACCAAGCAAAGTTTAGTAGACTCTCCTCGACCAACTGTAATGGGTGAGTGAGAGAGTTGGGTTTAATACCGCTTTTAACAGTATTACAGCTATATCGCGGCGTTTCAGCTTAAGGTGGGAGGAAAAGCCGAAGTGATGCAGGTGTCAGATGTTTACCATTTCGGTGAAACCCACGAGCACGGGTAAGGTGCTGACAAACCTAGAAACATAATCGGGGCGAACCGGGATTCGAACCCACAATCATAAGTTTTTTGCGTGCCTAAGGGACGCAACTCTGCACAGCGCCTCAGACGACTGGGCCACCCGTGCCTCCTTATGTACCAAAGAAAACAGAAATGAACAACGCGACGTCAGTGCATGATTTGCTTGTTGTCAGACGTTCTGGGACAAAATCTTCAGTGAGTCGAAGCAGTGGGGACTGGCCACCTACATACAGGTAGGTCATGCCACCAAACACGCTCAAGTTTATTGTGAAATTATATCCATCGATATTTCTGTGAAGGGGGGCATATTTTGTAATTGTTGAATGACGTTATCGTCACCTCATTTAATGGTTATGACGTCACTAATCAATCAGAAGTTTCTGAATCATTCACGATGTAAGGAGGCAGTGAAATGTTTCATTGAAAATCTTGAACAGAGCAGGGTATTTAGCAGAACTTTTTTGTTAAATATGTCACAGTGCTTATCATTATATACATGCAATATTGTTTTATGTCCACACGTTTTGACACAATCCGTTATATAATAATATAAAAAATCTCTGTTATAAGTCCTACTTTAACATAAGCACGTGTTTGTTAATCACAGAGCATGTGTTTGTGATTATACCAGGTGAACGTTTCCTGCTCCACCGATGGCGACATGGACTGAGACAGTACTGCAGCTCCAAAATCAAAATATAAAACGTCAAAGCTCACGATATCGGTGATGACACCAGGTGTTTGCGAAAAGCGTAGACAATACACTTACTCTTCAGTGCCTCACTGATCCTCCAGTGCTTGTCTGACTGATCCTCCAGTGCTTGTCTGACTGATCCTCCAGTGCTTGTCTGACTGATCCTCCAGTGTTTGGCTGACTGATCCTCCAGTGCTTGGCTGACTAATCCTCCAGTGCTTGGCTGGCTGATCCTCTAGTGCTAGCCTGACTGATCCTCCAGTGCTTGGCTGACTGATTCCCCAGTGCTTGGCTGACTGATCCTCCAGTGCTTGGCTGACTGATCCTCCAGTGCTTGGTTGACTGATTCCCCAGTGCTTGGCTGACTGATCCTCCAGTGCTTGGCTGACTGATCCTCCAGTGCTAGCCTGACTGATCCTCCAGTGCTTGGCTGACTGATCCTCCAGTGCTTGGCTGGCTGATCCTCCAGTGCTAGCCTGACTGATCCTCCAGTGCTTGGCTGACTGATTCTCCAGTGCTTGGCTGACTGATCCTCCAGTGCTTGGCTGACTGATCCTCCAGTGCTTGGCTGACTGATCCTCCAGGGCTTGCCTACTGCCTACTAGTGCTTCAGTGCTTGATTGTCCAAAGTTGCCCTGTTGTTGCTTGCTGTGTAAAATGGTTACAATACTGCCAATGTCGAAATCATGTGCATCCCTCAACAGGATATTTTTCTTCCGCAGGACAACATGACGGAAATATTCCGTACTTTCCCACGGATGCAGACGGACCTTAACTTTGGGCGAGACTGGCTGGTTAAAATGGCGGATTCTGCTTTGAGACACAACATCACCATCCAGTATAGTGGCGCCACGCCTATGATGGCACTCATGGCTCTCCAACTACCGGCTGTAACCCAGGTGAGAAACAGTCGTTGCTGTTGATATCGGTACATTCAGTATATTCTCAGTATCTGGAGTTGTCATACGCTTATTATGGTTCCCGTTCAGGACAATGCATCAAATGTGTTATAAGAACAAGAAAGGTTGTTAACACGTCCAGTCCAGTCCTTAAAATCCGATGTTTCCTTCTAATACGATACCTCTCTGCGTAAGGGATGGTGGTTTAGCCTAGTGGTTAAAGCGTTGGCTCATCACGCCGAAGACCCGGTTTCGATTCCCCACATGGGTAAAATGTGTGAAGCCCTTTTTCCGGTGTCCCCCGCCGTGATATTGCTGGAATATTGCTAAAAGCGGCGTAAAACCATACTCACCCACTCACCCCTCTGCGTAAAGATTTGAGAACACGCGACAGGTGAAATGTTTTGATGGTTTATGATGTAGAAGCCATTGCGTATGAAACGACAGAGCGGATGAAATAAACACAGCAATGAAATTGCGCCTTGTATTGTTTGCTTTCGGAACTGGCCCATTAACTTCATTTGGAGATTCAGAAATCAAATATTCTGGTCTGAGTTCTTTTCACTCGTGCCGGAAATTTCGACCTGATTGTAAGCATATTTCTTTCAGGTGCGCGTCCAAAGAGGCTATGGCACAGGGTCGGACCTCTCTAGTATTCCTGTTTCTTCCGTATTTTCCCAACTTTTAGGGATATCGGCCTTTAAAGACGTGTTTCTTACTGAAGACAAGAAGGGAGGTGGGAACATTATTTCATCATTGTTGTCGTTGTTATTGTTATTATATGGTGTTGTTATTAGTGTTGTTACGATAATTATTGTTACTCTTATTGTTATTTATCAGCAGTGGTTTTGCCCAGTGGTGTAATCAGGCCGAGAACATGGTTGCCATCCCGACGTGAATGAAATGCAGAATCCATTTCAGGGAATCCGAAATATGGAACCGGTTATGATCATTTGTTCACACAGACCTGACTGACTAACCCACAAAATTAGATAGCAATTCATTTTATTGAAATATACTGAATCGCAAAAGAAACGTCACCATGGATAGATATATGGGCAACCTTATTTGTCCAAACACTGTAAATATACTTCGAGACATATTAAAAAGATGAAACTGATCATCAAGGTTGTAATGCCTTGGTCGGACTTCATTCGGCCGTTTTTGAATCTCGTCCTACAGGTACTCAATGGGATTTAAATAGGGTCTGAGGGCAGGCTACTGCATAATTTTGATGCCAGTCTGCTTGAGGAAGGCTCTTGTTGCTCTCGCAGTGTGGGCACGGGCGTTATCATGCTGAAACTCGTGGTAGCGGTGACGTGCCAAAAGAGGTGTGGCGTGTGGTATCAAGACTTGATGAATGTACCGAGCTGCTGTGACACCATTGCCTCTCCCTGGGCCGATGTTCTGGAAGACTACAGGGCCGACCCTCTGTGCAAGACCAAATCCACCCCACACCATGATGCTCGGACCACCCCATGAGACTCTCTCAACAACACAAGTATCCGAATAACGTTCCCCATGGCGTCGCCAGATTCTCTCTCTGCCATCTGCTGTTGAGATACAGTAACGGCTCTTGTCTGAGAAGAGGACACTTCTCCACTGCTGGTGGCGTCAATGCTGGTGCTACGTTGTCCACTGAAGAAGGTCCCGGTGATGACGTGGTGTCAGAATGGGTCCTCGGCGTGGCCTGTGACAGTTGAGGTGTCTACTCGTCAATCGTCGACGCACGGTGTCCGCACTAATGTGTCGCTGGTGTGCCCCCCATGGTCTGTCGAGCAGTTTCCGCAGCAGTAACAAAGCGATCTTGCAGATTCTGTTGCACAATCTGACGATCCTGACATCGGGGAGTGACCCTTGGTTTTCCACTACGTGGTCGGTCATCTGTAGTGTTGGTGGTCTGGTAACGTTGCTGGAGCCTGTATATGGTCCTTTCGTGGACTTGTGGCATGTGCATTTCAATCGGGTTACCATGGCCGTTACCGTGATACGTTTGGGCGATCGGTTTTATTTTCATCTGCTTTGTTTTGTTATCATCAAATTTCATTTTTCCAGACAAGGTAATGTTACATTTTAGAAACTTTGAAAAAAATACCCAGATATTTAAATGGCAACTTTTTACGCAATGTTACTTGGGGTGGCGTTTCTTTTGCGGTTCAGTATATATACAAATATGACATGGCTATCCTTAAACGAAGCGAAGTTCGAAATCTAACGAATGACGACGACCTGATTACATTACTCATGTTCGACACATCAACTGGAAATGATTCTGCTTGCGTAGTACATTTAATACCAATATGGCTGAAGATATCCGATGTGGTGCAGTTGAGTGTTGGAAGGCAGTGCTTTCTGTTACCCAGACACTGGAGGAATATCTGCGTCCAGGAGAAGTGTGGAGGCTGTCCTGTCCAACGGCCCTGTGGGGATTGGTGACCAGATCGGACATACAAATACTTCCATCGTCAATCGGTAGTTACCTTATCTCCTAGTGTCCCAGTTCAGTTTCAGTTGTCTATACGCATCATCTTCTCAGCTCTAGTATCCTATACTCATCCTCCTCTCGGCTCTAGTAGCCTATACTTATCTTCTCAGCTCTAGTAGCCTATGCTTATCTTCTTCTCAGCTGTAGTAGCCTATACTTATCTTCTCAGCTCTAGTAGCCTATACTTTTCTTATCAGCTCTAGTAGCCTATACTTATCTTATCAGCTCTAGTAGCCTATACTTATCTTCTCAGCTCTAGTAGCCTATGCTCATCCTCTTCTCAGCTCTAGTAGCCTTTACTCATCCCCTTCTCAGCTCTAGTAGCCTATACTCATCCCCTTCTCAGTTGTAGTTGCCTATACTCATCCTCCTCTCAGTTCTAGTAGCCTATACTCATCCCCTTCTCAGTTGTAGTAGCCTATACTCATCCTCCTCTCAGTTCTAGTAGCCTATACTCATCCCCTTCTCAGTTGTAGTAGCCTATACTCATCCCCTTCTCAGTTGTAGCTGCCTATACTCATCCCCTTCTCAGTTGTAGCTGCCTATACTCATCCTCCTCTCAGTTCTAGTAGCCTATACTCATCCCCTTCTCAGTTGTAGTAGCCTATACTCATCCCCTTCTCATTTGTAGCTGCCTATACTCATCCCCTTCTCAGTTGTAGCTGCCTATACTCATCCCCTTCTCAGTTGTAGTAGCCTATACTCATCCCCTTCTCAGTTATAGTAGCCTATACTCACCCTCTTCTCAGTTGTAGCTGCCTATACTCATCCCCTTCTCAGTTATAGTAGCCTTTACTAACCCCCTTCTCAGTTCTAGTAGCCTATATCGTCCCCTCCTCAGTTCTAGTAGCGTGTACTCACTCCCTGCTTTGTTGTAGTAGCCTATACTACACCTCCTTCCCAACACTAGTAGCCCTTTGATCATCCCAAACTCAGTTCTAGTAGCCTATACTCATCCGATTCTCAGCTCCGGAAATTAAGAGAAATTAATGAGGTTTCCTTATTACTTTCGTTCCCTTATAAAATTGTTTTGTTTAACCTTATACATAACTTTATTTCCGGTACTATATTTTTAGTCTGATGGCCGTATGGATATGACACATGTTGCATTCGTTGTCAAGCGAGACATATTGTCATTTGTGCGATGTTACCTGAACGAGCATTGGTCTGAGCGCTTGCTAGAATCAGGCGACTTCGCCGCTGGTCGATCGTCCTCATGTTGTCACGGGTGATGGAGGAATATAGTGTGTACACAGCCCGGGAAGTATTGTTGATGACAGAAATTAATCCCTGACAAATGTCTCCACAGGATGTGTCGGGCTGATGGAACTGTTCTCAAGCCAAATAATGCAGCGCTCGCAATAGATGCTCAGGTTATGCAGGTGAGAAGCAGTGAGTGGCCTTAACGTCACTTTTTAAACAATATTTCAGGAACCTAAAACGAGAAGCAACAGAAACTCTACCTCTCAGTTGATTTTATCATTATATCCAAAGATAAATTGTAATCGCCCTTAGTCAGACATCACAGGATACTTCTGCATGATTGGTTTTTTTTCGATATTGACTTTAAACTGTTTTCAATTTCAAGTTTTTCGCTTAATACACAACTGCTCATGGATATCTTAGACATATTATCTTTGAAGACCAATAAATAGGCTTGTATCGGCACCAATTTAAACCATATGAAACATGGTAGGGGTCACGTGGTTGCAATTCATTTCTTACCACAGTCTTCGTTAAACCAACTTATTTCTACAAAAAATTACCTAGCCACAGATGTTTTACAATCTGTTGCAGGAATGAGTGATGGTTAAATAGAGGCAATCAAACTTTACAACAGTTCTTTTAATTTTCAATGTACATAAAAAAACCTCGATAATCTACCCCTCGTTAACGTTAACATCTTAGTGAAACAAACGATTGAAGGTATGGCGCAGACCAAGGATCATAATCTGGGTGAACCTGGATCCATGAGTAGCGAATCCTACCATGGCTAAGGGACACAACTCATAAAAAATGGATTGACATTCCTTATTTGCTTAAGGGTGCAGCTCACGGCTCTGTTAGGCTTAACGTTAAAATTTGTGACATCAGCTGTCATATTTTGAAGATAATGCGGTCGGGTCATTAGCGATAACATACTAATATACGCGCTAGATTGATAGTGCCAAAGTCGTGTTTGTAGGTGCAGACAAAGGAGATGAGTCCTCAATACGTGTTTATCAAGACATGCCCTTTCCTATTAAAGGCCATAAAATTGCAAATGCCGTTCACTATTTACTAGATGGCATTTCAAGATGGCAGCGGCCCTAACGCCGAGATATGGGCGACAGTCTCAGGTGTCTATGAGGGTGGATCCGCGCCGAAACAGGTGTATGGGATTATCTTCGTTTCCGGTTTGAAGAATAATTTTGACATCACCCCGACAAAAGCCGGTATCGGGTATGAGGTTAGTATGACATATGCATTGAAAGAAGCAAATCGACAGTCCTAGTTTATGTCGAAACTGCATGATCAGTGATTTGTATTGTAAGTCAGGGAACAAAATAGTTGTTCGTAATACAGTGTGTATTGTTGCTATAAAAAGTGCGTTTAGTTTCGAATGGGGGTCTTGCACTTTTAATGAGCTCCCTTCTCGTACCACCGATTTTGCATTTCGCTAGTTTACTGCCAACTCCAACTGTTTTATATGTGTATCTCAATGTTTAGTTAAGGACCGCCTCCGTAGTCTAGTGGTAGAGCGGAAGGTCCGGGGTTCGATCCCCGACCGCGTCATACCAAAATACGTTAAAAGATGGTACTTGTTGTTACCCTGTCTGGCGATCGGCATTAAGGGGCTAAAAGAAGGACTGGTCGGCTCGGAGTCAGTATACTGTGTCTGAGTGTGGTATTCATGTTAAACTGCGGCATGGTTTCTCAGTGAGCTAGCACTATAAATCGGCATCAGTCCGGACTAGTACAAGCACAAACACAAACACAAACACAAACACACACACACACACATACACACACACACACACGTACATACACGTCGCTGTATAAGTGCAATAATCTTGGACGCGACGTTTAACCCCATTTCACCTCACCGCACCTGTTTAGTTAATGATTACCTACCCTGATACAAATTTTATGTCGAAGAATAACACGTGGCATTTCTTCGTACAGTCGACTCCACCCCATTCCCCAACCCCGCCCCCACCATTATGGCGGTGCACAAGAATGAGGAGTGAAAACCCGAAGTGTGAGACAGGTCTCAAACGTATACCATCCTGGTGAAACCCATGAGCACGGGCATGGCGCTGACAGGCCTAGAACCATAATCAGGTCAAACCGAGTTTCGAATACATGATCATAGGTTTCTGGTGTGCCCAAAAGTCACACGTTATCTGCTTTCATTTTTCACAAAACAAATCCTGAAGCATGGAACATGGAAATTCAAGTGTTTCGATGGTCACCATTCGCTGCTCCAGTAGCCTACTTTCATCCCACTCTCGGTTCAAGCAGCCTACATGTACATTCATCTCACTCTCGGTTCAAGCAGCCTCTATTCATCCCACCCTCAAATCCAGTAACCTGTACTTATCCCACCATCAGCTCTAGCAGCCTATATTCATCCCACCCTAGAATCCAGTAACCTGTACTCATCCCACTATCAGCTCTAGCAGCAATTACCCATCTATTTCTCAGTTCTAGTTACCTGTACAGTCCGATTCCCATCCGTTTCTCAGCGCTAGCAGCATATATTCTATAGAGCTATAATCAGGGCAAGCTTTGATTCGAATGCCCAAACGTCTGATATGATTTACTTTCATTTTTGACAAACAATTCCTGAAGCTTGGAACTTGGAGATGTAAGTGTATAGATGGTCACCACCTTCAGTGGTACATGCCCAATGGATCAAGGAATGAAGGAAAAAACCCGAAACAATTATTAATGGCGGTATCTGAGACAACGGGGCCACCCCGTCTTCATTTAATCGTAAGCATCCTAACATTAATTTTCCTGTTCCAGTACCCAGTCAGCAAGATCTTCTCTGCAGCGGATCCTACAAAGCAGTACGACTTCAGCGACAGCAAGGCCTTCACCATCCCGCCATGCCAGCAGGATTTCTGCATGTACTATGCGTCACCAGTTCTAAAGTACAAGTAAGAATCATCTATCATCAGCTTCAGATTTAGATCGATTCGAGATTGCTTATCGTCCATGCATTCTTTTTAGCAAAAGGTGTATGTTCCATAGGGCGATAAAAACAAGGAATTAAACTTTTCGTTCAACTGTTGTAGTTAAGAGGCTGCCAACCCTTCTTTCGTACGCGGAATTCAGGGGTCTATTTAGAGGTTATTCGGGCCGCAGGACGCATATATAATCGTATTTGTTACGCAGATTCAAAATTAAATGGAAACGGCTAAGGGTGTACGTACAAAACATAGTTTTCGATATTATTTCAGTAATTTAACTTCATATGGGACCATTTTATAACCTAGGAACGTGGTCTATGAGTTTTCGTTCTGCCTTTGTTGAGTGCATCCTGATATGTGCTTTTGAGTTTTGTGATAAGTAGTATTCGGCAGTGAAGAATTAGATGTCATTCGGGATTCAAGGGAGGGTGGATTTTCACCCTCAATTAAACTGACTGGTGTTATTTGGCAACGCGTAAGGCATCAACATTGATATCATTGTTACCTCTCGCCTTTTTCGTGGATGTTCCGAACAACTACAATAATTTTGTCAATGTATGGTTTGTTAGAATCCTAAGCCATCCTAGGGCGGTACTGCAGAAATATAAAAACACTCCAGAAAACGTTGTGTTGTGTTAGGCAGCAAGCAAAACTACTTTTTTTATGCAAGTTGAGTGGCAGGTGCTACCGGTAGAGCAGAACATGCACACCCTTTTCGAGCACATCTGGTGTCATCATTGACATTCAGTGATCCAGTCATAGAATCGAGACAAATTTTTCTCTGGCGTTGACCTTTTATATTTACTGCAAATACTTTATTTTCTTAAAATCCTGGCACTGACATGACCTTAAATTGATTACTTGGAGAAGCATCAAAAACTTAAACTGACAAACATGAGTCACCTTCTCAATCAGCAGGAGAGCTCCCCCTATTAATATACAAATGCTGTTGAATGTCTTTCAGAGTGCGTTAAGTCAGTGCGCGATGTTGTCATTGGTAGAATGCACAAGCTGAAAAAGAGAAAACGGAATTGGAATTAACCCATTCTGTCCCAGCCAGCTGTCATCCAAATCCTGGCTGCCCTACATGAAAAGTTTGTTGTTGTTCCCACTGACGAGGCCTCACATAACATAACCATTATATGTCAGCATCACTACATTAATTGTTTGATCAAATAACTTGGTATAAATAAAGAAATCTGCTGAAACAAGATACTGTCAACTTTGACTTGACTCTAAAGCCTGAAGACATGTCCATTCCTCTTTTGTACTGGATTCCAAAGCTCCAGATAAATCTGTACAAAGAGATATATATTGCTGGGTCCCACAAATCCCTCTCTCAAAGACTAACCATAATCCTTCATACAAATCAAGGAAGGACCTTTTTTATATTCACAGAAAGTATTTGAGACAACTGGAATTAATGCCATGTGGATTCTCAAAAACGATTTGCTTGTCTTTTTGCAATCTAAGAAAGGAACCAAGTTCCACTCTGTCAAAACTTTTGATTTCTTAACTTTGTACATCTCTATCCCACATGACGAACTTAAGGAAAAAGTTCATTCCTTAATCCATGAGCCTTTTGTTACAAAACGTGGTGAACACAGATACAGTTACGTATCTATATTCAGAGGGGCATTGTTAATACAGTTCCTAATTCTTTAGGACATTACAACATGAACAAATTTAAATTTAGTTTGTATTGTTAAATTTGCATTGCTAAATCTAAATTTTTGGAATGGTTACAGAGATTTGATAAAGTGATATGCTTACAAATACATTTTTTTAATGAATCTTAGAATAGTGTGTCGTGTGCTAGCCTAGCTAGAGTCATCTCGTAACAATTAATCGCGAGCTGACAATCACCCACAGTAGAATGCCCTCCTGCCGAGTTCAAAGAAAACCACCCTGCTCACTTTTGAGCAATATGTTTACCCTGTTCCCCAAAGTGTATAGGCCGCATATTGCTGAAGGATGTTTGAAAATGCAGTGACACGCCAGACTGGCATCTCACATTGTGCGTGTGGTTGTTGTGGAAAGCATTTATATTGACTGAGTTAACTTAAATTGACGGGACACCGCTCTGAGCAGTAGTCCAGTTCTACACAGGCGAGAGAGCAGAACACCAGAGACGTTTACCACAGGTATTTGGCAGCATGTAGGACCAAGTTGTAGGGACCAGGGTTAGGATGAAACCTGAAGTGGTAAATGCCTCAAACAGCAGTATACTGTGCAATGCATCTCCGGGGTTTCCAAAGTCCTTTACGTACGCTTCGATACATCACCCATGGCGCGTTTGCAAGTGTTATGTCCAATACCATACTTTCCTGTATTAAAGGTACGGTAATAAATTGTATTGAACCTGCTGTCATTCTGTGAGGTTGAGTCGGCTCAAATACCACATTCGCGTTATAGTTTTAGGTTTGTCAGTCCCATATTCTCTTCCACGTGGATTTCACCATTTAAGTGGTAAACGTTAAAGACCTGCATCTTTTGAATTACGGAAATACTGTTTAAAGCTGCGTAAATACTCACCTACACTCTTAAATTTGTTGCAGAGAGAGAGAAGTTCTGATCCTTGGTGAGCTCAACAAATGGGTACCAATGTCCGTCAACAGGGTCGTCAATGTCACCCTCGGTGACGTCATCACAGTCTACGTCACGGGTCAGTCAGGGGAGACTGTTGAGATTTGGTTTGCTGACGGTGTAAGGTTCGGGGCATTAAAAACTATTCTAGGGAAGGATGGCCAGGGTAGCATCATCTATGAAATCAAATCTCATGTTCACAATTCCGACCTCAGAACAGCTTCAACAGTTTCTGTTGTGATGGGTATCCTAGCAACCATCATGGTAAGGATGTAAGAAGAAACTGATTGCGTTGCTGCTTATGTTGGCACCAGATGGCTAAATCACCACCTCTTCTCATTGTGTTAATATAGTTTCACTTTTTTATTATATATTTAATCTCATTTCATGTGACAGACATGCGACTGGAGACTCCAGCATCTGATCGATTGTTCTTTTTAATTTCGCTGCGGTTAACCGATACATATTAACCTCCCAAGAAGACGGAGAAGAAATGTTTGTTATTTTAACATAAATGAAAGGCGTCTCTTATACAGATATAAATATCCCAAAATCCCAAGCAAGTCTGTGACCTGCTGTACTGGTCTGAAGGCGAGGTCACTGTGACCTGCTGTACTGGTCTGAAAGCGAGGTCACTGTGACCTGCTGTACTGGTCTGAAGGCGAGGTCACTGTGACCTGCTGTACTGGTCTGAAGACGAGGTCACAGTGACCTGCTGTACTGGTCTGATGGCGAGGTCACTGTGACCTGCTGTACTGGTCTGATGGCGAGGTCACTGTGACCTGCTGTACTGGTCTGATGGCGAGGTCACAGTGACCTGCTGTACTGGTCTGATGGCGAGGTCACAGTGACCTGCTGTACTGGTCTGATGGCGAGGTCACTGTAACCTGCTGTACTGGTCTGATGGCGAGGTCACTGTAACCTGCAGTACTGGTCTGAAGGCGAGGTCACTGTGACCTACTGTACTGGTCTGATGGCGAGGTCACTGTAACCTGCTGTACTGGTCTGATGGCGAGATCATTGTTGTCGCCATTGGCCCATTATTGAATTTTGTTAAGACAGAGCTATAGCTGTCTTTCTGTTGTATGCGTATTCTTTCCACGACAAGAAATGTTGAAATCGTCCACAAACAGTGTACCATCAATACTATTGTTAAATACTTTAGTGAGAATATTAATTTTATGCTGACTGACAGTATGCTGCCTTGGGGGACGCCCTGGTCTTGATCGAAATGATCAGACAGGGTAGAGCCTACAATTTTCTGTTGTTTAAAAAATGAGATATAGACTGTGGTAATTTGTTCCTCAATCCAAATTCATGCAAATCTTTTAAAATACCATGTTTCCACGTTGTATCATGTGCCTTATCTAGGTCGAGAAGAATGATGTAGTATGTTGTTTGTTGACAATGGAATTTTTAATAAATGATTCTAAATGCACCAAATGGTCAATAGTACTTCTGTTTTTTCGGAAGCCGCACTGGATGTCACTCAGGACGTAATTGGTTTCCAAGTGCCAGATTAATCGATTGTTGACCATGTGCTCTATGGTTTTACAAGTTAATGATATTGGACGGTAATTTGATGGATCTGTATTATCCCGTCCAGGCGTTGGTATAGGAATAATAATAACATTGTGCCTAGAAGGAGATAGATTGCCGGTTTCCATATTTCATGAAATATATCAAGTAAAGTTTCCAAACATTGATCTGGCAAGTGTTTCAGGAGTTGATAGTGTATGTAGTCGGCTCCTGCTCCAGAGTCATGGGCTTGCCCGAGGGCAGTATGCAAATCATGGAGTGAAAATGTTTCATTGTAATCCCCACCATTATCAGAGTTAAAATTTACTTTTTTCTTTTTCTGATTTTTTTTAAACCTCTGACATTGAGGATTATAATTGGATGATGAGGGATGATTTGCCACAGTTTCACCAAGCTTGTTGGCAATTTCGGATTTAGTGTTTAATAGTGTATTATCATCTTTGAGATGGTAAACCAGATTTTGATCCTTTGCCCTTAATCTTTTGAATCGTGTTGAACGCCTTGTACATGGGTGTGCGGGATTTGAATTCAGATACATAGTTCCTCCAGGATTGACGTTTGTTTTGTTTGAAGGTACGTCTAGCTTTGGCGCCCGTGATTTTAACATTATTCAAGTTGTGGACAATGGGATGTCAGCGGAAATATTTCTCCGCTTTTTTCCTATTTTTTCTAGCTTGTTTACCATTATTATCGAACATGGTTTACCTATATGAGGGTTTGCAGAGGTCTTAGGAATGCTTTCGTCTCCCATAGCATTTAATATATCTTTAAAAAGTTGCATAAGATCAGGACCATTCCTGAAACTGTCCGGTTTTAGTTGTCCTGTACATAGTGTTTGGAATAAAGACCAATTGGCCTTTGTAAAGTTCCACCTTGTTGCAAGTGGTATGTCAGCGGGATTGAAAGTTGTAAGTCCTGTTGGAAAATTGCCACTTCCACAAAGATCACCATGGACCAACCATTCAAATTCGTTTAAAATATTTGAATCTGTCAGTGAAAGGTCAAGGGCAGAGTATGTACCAGTGGCAGGATGCAGATATGTACTAGATCCATCACTGAAGCAGTATAAATCTTTGTTTGAGATAACATCTTAAAGGACTTTTCCCTTATTATTTGTATCAGTACTCCCCAGTATGGGATTATGACCGTTTAAATCGCAATGGTGATAAAGGGCTTCGGGAGGTGATCCTACTGAAGATCTGATTGACACCTCACATCATTTCTGCAGTCAGTGGCCTCGTGCTTGTCACCGCAGCGGTAACAGCAGAGGGATGGCAGGACTTGGATCCATGTCCAAACGCTTGGCAGGTGTATAACCGGAGTGGATTGGGGATGTACACCGCTTCAATTTGACAATTTGTTCTCCGGTCATGTCAGACAGACCGTATGCTCTGTCGTGGACAATGTCCTTACATGAGTTAAGAGTTTTGTGCTAAGAAACAGAAACCTTAATGTTGACAAACTCTTTCAATTTGAATAGCTTGACGGATTGCTGTTTCTTTGAACCCTCTACAAGGAGAGAACCTGAATGAAGTTTAGTGACATTGAAAACCTCTCCGCAGATACCAGCGATACCTTCGGAGATTACAAAATGATTTAGCTTGATTGGTTCTTTGTCACATGCTTCAATTACCAAAAGAGACGTGGCCAATAGTCAGATCGAATGGATGTATTCTCGTCAGAATCTATTAGTCATCGTTTTTAACCCAGGTGCTTGGAAGCCATGTCGAATTAAAAGGATTCAGCACCCCTTTTCCCCACCCACCACGGAGTGTTAACACCACATAGTGTCTTATGCTGCAGCGGATTTCTAAGCTGAAAAAACGGAGGATGAAGGGGTGGTATGCTCCAGCAAGTTTTACACGAAAAGCTGTTGCTATCTACCAAATTAAAGGTCAATTGGAGACGTACAGAATTCTGAGGTCAGCATCACCAGGTTGATGAGCCACATCCTTCTAGGCACAGGGCTCCAAGAAACATTTCGAATAGATTTATTTTTAAGTACCAAACGGTTGTGCGAAATAGTGTATGCACAGGACAGGACATGACATGACCAGCCGACAGATATTTGTTAGATCTATGTGATTTCAATGACTACCCCTGCCGTGCGGTTTGATCTGGCATCCATACTGACTGTGCTGAGAAGTTCTTTTGATGCCATTGTATGCAAGTTGCACTGTAGACAATATGTCAATACATCGATCAAGGGATTAAAGTGTGGCAGCCGTAATCCCTGGACCCTGAAGTCGTTTGATTAGCACCGTAGGCAATAAGAAAAGACGCCCCAAAAAGTTGCCTTGAATTATTATACATGTCCCCATCTTTTCATTATGTTGCATCATTATTCATAATTAATGCCATGTTCACAAGGTTATATATGTGCATCCACACCAATGTGGTACTTGACACCCTTAACTCGGAATCTCAGAGTAGACCATGTCGCTTGTTTGTTGTTTCCACTCTCCAGTCACCAACGTTCAAGCTGTATCACAGCGACCTGTACATCGAATCTTGGCCATGTACGTCAAACCAGCAATGTCCATTGTTTCTTCCAGACTCGATTATTTACAGGCCACCGTCATATAGCTGGATTATTGCTGAGCGTGGCGTTCAACAAACAACCAAAACTAAAGGACAGGGACAAAATACACAACACAAGCAGACAAGCTTAATTCACAGTTTATTTGGCTTAACAAACGTGTTGACAAAAGCCACAATGTGGAATGGGATATGAAATGAAAATCTACATTATGTATGTGTTAAAACATTGAAGACGGTGATAAATATAACGCAAAAAGTTTACAGAGTGATTTGGTAAAACTTGAAAGCAATGAGGCATACCCTTTATCGTAACTATGGTCTTCAAAAAAAATGATATGCAAAGCCAGATTTGTGTAGGGTAGGTAGATACATTTATACGAGGAACCGTACAAGGTATTGAGCCAAAATATTGTGGAGAGAACATTTGGTGAGTGTAGTTATCTCAGTTATCGGTACATAGGAAAAGTTCCAGGTAAAGGTCAGCTACCATCAATAACGCGCATGTCCCCCGTTGGAATCGAAAGACATCTCCTGTCCATTGAAGAGACGAGTATGCGAATCATATCCTGGGAAATGGTGGCCCACTCGGCCTGCGACGCAAACGCCAACTGCTGCAACGTCTGGGGTTGTGGTTGACGTCGCCGTAGCCGTCTATCAAATTCATCCCACAGGTGCTCTATCGCCTTGGATATGGACCAAACCTGCCCTGCCATGATGAGAGATACCTGCCCACATCATAACACTACCCTCACCAAACCTGTCCACTTCCTGTACGCAGTTTTCGGCGTAACGTTCTCCCCGACGTCTGAAGACCCGTACTCTTCCATCCCCTCGACGGAGGAGAAATCTTTATTCGTCACTGAACCAGATGTCTCAGACAGGCGTTCTTGACGATGTTGTCGACTCAATATGACGCGTCGAAGAGGACGTCTTGCTCGTAGACCTGCTGCTGTTAAACGGTTTCCTACGGTCTGGTCGGAGATTCTGCGTAGTCCAGGTATTTGGGATGCGGCTGAAGTGGCTGTGGTCGTCCTTCCACGTAGGTGGCGCAGTCGGATATTGCGATCTTGAGCGGGGTCGGTTACTCTTGGTCGTCCCGACCTTGGGCGATCCCATAGCCTTGTGATGGTGCTGGGCGCTACATTGGCTACAGCTGATTGGGATTCCCCTGCCAGCAAGCGGCCTATGACGTTGTTTCGTCGCACTTCTGTTACTCTTGGCATGTTGTTAAACTGTCACTGTTCGATTGACGCAGATGCCAGGCAAACCCTCTACTTTAATACCGTTCATAGTGCTGCTGCACGTCTTAATCCACCGTGTTAATCCACTTGGTGCGTTTTTCCGAGTCGTACGTGTTTCACGACTAATGGTTTGCATGTCTTTGTTGTGATCATTTTGATGCGGGAAATTTGTCACTGACACTATAACACATTAAACCTCTTGGGTCGCTAATTTTGCTTTTATGGCCAAAGATATCCGTATTGCGTTTTTTTAAAGAGTATATTTAAATTTAAAATGGCAATGACAAATGTTTGAGATGATAAAGGATGGGAAATTATAATAATGACACAACTTCAAGCTTAATGCTTTTAGAACATAGACATTACGTTAACTAGCCGAAGTGACATTACAGGAAATAAGAAATGATTCGTTACTTTGAAGCATAAATGCAGCCGGGGTAACTAACATACCATGGAAATATCAATTTGGGGTGGATGAGGGGGAACTGTTGAACCCACATGGGCTGAAAAGGGACTGCACTGACGATAAAGGGTGCAAATCTTATATAAGGCAGGGAATACTGGAGAAGGGTTGGGAATAAAGTTGCAACTCGCGGATGTGCGAGATGCGCTATATATGAGGTAAGGTGAGGTAAAGTAGCGTTTTCACGTTCAATACATACACTATATGAATAGATAACATAACATACATGTATGTCAATTTGTTTAGGAGAAAGGAAAGTGAAATCATCAATCTCCAACACTGCCCAATCAGGATGTTCTGCATTTCAATAACTTTTTCAAAGAAAAAAATGTGTAACTTCATTCATCAAAATATCAGTGAGTCTTCATCAGGTGATCATATATATTCGCAAGAGGAGGCACATTAATGATCTAGCATAACACAATAGCCACGTAACCGGACATAGGAAATGTGCGAGGCTTGAACTAAGGACATTCCCAGCAAGAAGGTAACAATAGTATGCACTTATGGTGGCGGGTTCATTAGGGGCAGCAGTTGCTTACACGGATGATGTCAGTGTCCAAGCTAGAACGGACATCAATTACATCAGCATCGCCTAAACCGACGAAAGGCATGCTTGGGGACGATTCTCCGTTGTAGTAAAGCTGAAAAAGGAACATAATACATATTTTACTGAATCGGATTACAGTTATACTACACACAACTATGCCCAATTTCGTTGTATCAGATTACAGTTGTTCTACACAAATTTATGCCCCATTTCACTGTATCAGATAACAGTTAAACTACACACCACTATGCCCAATTTCGTTGTATCAGATTACAGTTGTTCTACACAAATCTATGCCCCATTTCACTGTATCAGATAACAGTTATACTACACACAACTATGCCCCATTTCGTTGTATCAAATTACAGTTGTTCTACACAAATCTATGCCCGATTTCGTTTTATCAGATGACAGTTATACTACACACAAATATGCCCCATTTCGTTGTATCAGATGAAAGTTATAACACACACAACTATGCCCCATTTCGGTGTATCAGATTACAGTTATTCTACACAAATCTATGCCCCATTTCGTTGTATCAGATAACAGTTATACTACACACAACTATGCCCCATTTCGTTGTATCAGATAACAGTTATACTGCACACAACTATGCCCCATTTCGTTTTATCAGATTACAATTGTTCTACACACAACTATGCCCCATTTCGTTTTATCAGATTACAATTGTTCTACACACAACTTTGTCCCATTTCGTTGTATCAGATTACAGTTTCCTACACACAACTATGCCCCATTTCGTTGTATCAGATTACAGTTGTTTTACACAAATCAGTGCCCCATTTCACTGATTCAGATAACAGTTATACTACACACAAGTATGCCCCATTTCACTGAATCAGATAACAGTTATACTACACACAACTATGCCCCATTTCACTGATTCAGATAACAGTTATACTACACACAAGTATGCCCCATTTCACTGAATCAGATAACAGTTATACTACACACAACTATGCCCCATTTCACTGAATCAGATAACAGTTATACTACACACAAATATGCCCCATTTCAGTGTATCAGATTACAGTTATTCTACACAAATCTATGCCCCATTTCGTTTTATCAGATTACAATTGTTCTACACAATCTATGCCCCATGTCGTTTTATCAGATGACAGTTATACTACACACAACTATGCCTCATTTCATTGTATCAGATAACAGTTATTCTACACAAATCTATGCCCAAATCTATTTCGTTGCAGCAGATGCGATTAGTCGCTTCGCTTTTCCCTAAGATGAATGTTTTGATATTTACCCAAATCAGGTCCGAGGACCACATGATGATTAAGGAGATCTCCGAAGCTCCGTCTGAGGTGATAGCGTGTTTGTCATGATCAGTCCATTTCCCTTGCGTTAATCCTGACCATTGTATGGTCCCCTCAGTGAAGCTCATGTGTAATCGAGCAAGGATTTGTGCGGTAGCGTGATTGGAAATTTCTATGGTGATACTCTGAAACAATGGAAATTATGTGTGCATGTTATAAACTGGTATGGTTTCTATCTACCGTGTTCGCCGTGAATAGCTGCAAGATTGCTGCTGTGACGTTAAGCCACAATTACTCACTCCTTCCAGATACGTCTGCCATTATATACCCACTGCCAAAAGAAACGCCAACTACAGAAACATATAGAGAAGTATCTACGTTGAGAAGAGATGTTTCAAATGTGAATCAATTAATGACAAAACTAGCCACCAGACAAGTGTTACCATAAAGTGACTTTATTCTTATCACGATATACTGCAAGTGATTTCCAAACTGTACACGCTATCCTGCAAGAGACAAATGGTGCATCTCGTGTCATGGATCTATGACGTCGCATGCGATGCGTTCGTGAGCATCGGTTCACACAACATACCAGTATGTTCGTTTGTGCATCGAACCAATCTAATACCATTGAATATCAAGTCTCATATATTACACCCCTGTATTCGCGTTTCGGTTGGCGGTGAGTATATAGTTAAAGGGCAAGTTCACACGGAAATGAACCTATTTTTCTTGTACTTTTTCCACATTAAAAGTGTTAACATAGAAGTGTCATAGACAAAAATATAAAAACATCATATTTAATTAACATATTTTTTGCATTAAAACGATTTATATTTTTCACATTAACCAAGTGTTCTATTTCCATAACAAAAACACCATGGCTTATGCCCCTTGCAATATGACGTCATTGGTGCCAATTGATAAACATTATGACGTCATCATGCTTTGTTAGAGCCGCTTCACGTGGTGTAGGTACAGTTTTGTGATTCTAGCGTCTCAGATGCCAGCCATAATTGTGTTATGCTGACTCATCACAGCGCCGGAGTGTGTCGTAGACCATGTTGTTTTACCGCAAACTGGTCCTTGATATCTTTTGCGTTGAGAATAGACAGGGACCCAGTTGAATTGGCACCAATTACGTCATAATCTAAGGGGGATAACTCAGGCCTATTTCGCTCGTAAAACGAAGGCCTCATAACGGCATATTATTTTAACACTATTGTGAGCTTCCTACTTTCACTGTGAAAAAAAATGAGTGTATATTTTCAAACACAGATACTAACTAATTCTAAAATTGCGTTTTGTTTAGAAAAAGAAAGAAAGTGATTTTTGCGTGTACACTTCCCCTTTAACACTGTTGTAAATACTGCTGTGTGGACCAGGCAAGCCAATGCAGTGGCATGATCAGCAATCACCTTCGTCGGTTGACATTGTCACCTTATCCCTATTTTGTATTATGGGGTGGGGTAGTCGGTTAGGAATTTTTCAATAGATACAACTGTACTGTGAAAGAGGCTCAACGGATAATTTTAATACAACCTCAAGCAAATGTATTTTGTTCCAGTGTGTTCTTGAACAAAGAATGGACGGTGATGACGGTGAAGTTGAAAATGAGGCTGACGGTATGGTGATGGTGATGCTATATGATGTTAAAGATGATTACCCAGTAGCACTCACCAGCATCGAAGTAGCCAATCTTGTCACTATAAAGTTGGATTCCGTAGTCAAAGGGCAGGATAAGGCTCTCCTTTCGGCCTGCGGTGGAACAAGAATAGATTTTTCGTAATAACCATTATTATCCAATGCAGACTGAAGGTGGTGTAGTCCTGTGGGTCAAGTGTTTGCTCATCGCACCAATCGGGTTAGATTCGCCAAATATGCACATTTGTGGGTGTACCCGATGGTTTGTTTGTTTGTTGTTTAACGCCGCACTCAGCAATATTCCAGCTATATGACGGCGGTCTGTAAATAATCGAGTCTGGACCAGACAATCCAGTGATTGACATTATGAGCATCGATCCACGCAATTGGGATCGATGACATGCATCAACCAAGTCAGCGAGCCTGACCACCCGATCCCGTTAGTCGCCTTTTACGACAAGCATAGTCACCTTTTACGGTAAGCAGGGGTTGCTGAAAACCTATTCTACCCCGGAATCTTCACGGGTCTCCACGCAATTGGGATCGATGACATCCATCAACCAAGTCAGCGAGCCTGACTACCCGATCCCGTTAGTCGCCTCCTCCGGCAAGTATTGCTGAAGACCTATTCTACCCCAGATCTTCACGGGTCGTCCCCGTTGGTGAATGGCTGCAATATTGTCACAAGAGTAGTACTACAACTAGCACTACCACACCCATCTGGACCGAACATTTTCTTCAAGTTTCTGTTCAGGTTCTTATTGGATGATTATCTTTACATGGCATTACTTTGTATTAGTTGTACTCGATATTTACTCACTCACTCACTCACGCATTAAAATGCCGCTATGTGCATCAGAAATACGTGAATCCAGTGAGTGAAATGGGGTAACAGGGGAACAGCGAGCGAGAGTGTGAACACGTTTTTCACCATATGTTTCATATTCCGGCTATATATCTCAGGAATGGAAGACAGGTCTCGACGAGTAAACATTCGGCTATCCTACCACTCACATAATGAGTAAGGGATGGGCTTCGCGCCTGTCATCACCGTCACCGTTATGCTTTGTCCGTAAGGTCCCTTGGAGCGGTGGGGTAGCCTAGTGGTTCAAGTGTGTGAAGCCCATTTTGTAGGCCAATTTCTGGTGTCCCACCCCGTGATATTGCTGGAATATTGCTAAAAGCGGCGTAACACAATATCCACTCACTCACTCTTTAGTCCCACGAGCCAACAATATAGGGCATTATATGTGGTCCAACAGTTACTCTGGAAGTCAAGCTTGAGATGCTGGGGATTTGTTCTCACATCTGACAAACAAATATCCAAATGACCAAACTAGACCATGCAGTGTTATCATAGTAACCTTGGCCAAATCGTCACAACTCGACAGTTTCCGTAAGCTCTAAGACACCCCTAAAGCAAGTGGGTGAGTCGGGTTCAACGCCGCCTTGAACAAAATTCCAGTTATAACACGGCGTGACAGCTTGATGTGAGAGGAAAGCCCCAAGTGATGCAGGTCTCAGACGTTTACCGCCTTGGTGAAACCCACCAGCACAACAAACCTGGAAACATCGGGGCGACACTCCTTTACCTAGCTCTAGTAATAAACGTTCTGTGAGAAAATATGACAGTGATATCAGAATTCGCGTGTGACTATTAGTATTCTGTCAAGAAATTCCTAGACTAACATCTAGTCTCTGAAATGAACACATCGTACAGAAAAAACAGTTGTTCAGTTATCTTAATAAAAATATAGTAAAAGGGAGCCCAGTGACTCTCTTCATTTTCAGATACCTGATACTGCAGTTATCTAGACTTGCCAAATATTATAGACTTGCATGGGCTGTATTTGATATACATTTGTATCAGGGTCTGTAAGACAGACTAAGAAATTCCCTATGAACCATTTTTGTAGACATTTCAGATATTTTTGTTATAAAACACTTATTTAAATAATGATATATGACGCGGTTGATTTTTAATTTTTAACTTGATTTAATGTTTTTATACTGGCAGATTAAGACACGTCAGTAAGATAAATCCGGTGTCGCAGTACCACGAGTGGTATGTGTGGTGTGATACTCCTAATGGCGCGGTCTTAAAGTTTTAGGTTTCTTTTGTACAAAAGTACAATATGTGTGGCCTGTGACACTAAAAATGAGTTTTCATGTCGCGAAATAAAAACAATATGATGCAGTCTGTGAATGGATAAATAGAATATGGCGCATTCAATGAAAAGATAAATAAAATATGGCAGGGGTCTGTACCAACAAAACAACAAATAGTGCATTCTCAAACTGCGTTGTTAAAGCCTTTTCCCGAACTTTTGGTTTCCATGGGATAATAATAATTCTGCTATTTTATCAACCCCAATTCTTACCACGGTCACAAAGTCAGGCATGCACTGGAACTCCGAACTCGCCCATTCTCCTGTTGGCTCACATACAACTGTTCCAGTTCCACACATTATGTGGTTCGGGTTACAGACGTAGACTGCTTTGTCACCCACGTCGTATCCCGTCACAGTCGCCTTGGCGTTTTCCTCTTTTCGAGGCGAGCCACATTTCGGAGCCACCGTGGTAGTAGGTGCTGTTGTCCATGATGTAGCGGTGGATGATTCAGAGGATGACCAAGTCGATTCTGAAGGATGTTGTTAAACAAAACACAAAATGTTTGGGTGCAATATGTGAAGCCAATCTTGTTGTGCTCAATGCATTGGTATTGTCACTCACATACATATGTAAATATCCATTCATCCTCACTCACTTACTACCAGTGTGTGTGTGTCTCCCTGTTATACATCAGTCTATCAGTGTATGTGTGTCACCCTGTTATACATCAGTCTATCAGTGTATGTGTGTCACCCTGATATAAATCAGTCTATCAGTGCATGTGTGTCACCCTGTTATACAACAGTCTATCAGTGTATGTGTGTCTCCCTGTTATACATCAGTCTATCAGTGTATGTGTGTCACCCTGTTATACATCAGTCTATCAGTGTATGTGTGTCACCCTGTTATACAACAGTCTATCAGTGTATGTGTGTCTCCCTGTTATACATCAGTCTCTCAGTGTGTGTGTGTCTCCCTGTTATACATCAGTCTATCAGTCTATGTGTGTCACCCTGTTATACATCAGTCTATCAGTGTATGTGTGTCACCCTGTTATACATCAGTCTCTCAGTGTATGTGTGTCTCCCTGTTATAAATCAGTCTCTCAGTGTATGTGTGTCTCCCTGTTATACATCAGTCTCTCAGTGTATGTGTGTCTCCCTGTTATACATCAGTCTATCAGTGTATGTGTGTCACCCTGTTATACATCAGTCTCTCAGTGTATGTGTGTCTCCCTGTTATACATCAGTCTCTCAGTGTATGTGTGTCTCCCTGTTATACATCAGTCTCTCAGTGTATGTGTGTCTCCCTGTTATACATCAGTCTCTCAGTGTATGTGTGTCTCCCTGTTATACATCAGTCTCTCAGTGTATGTGTGTCTCCCTGTTATACATCAGTCTATCAGTGTATGTGTGTCACCCTGTTATACATCAGTCTCTCAGTGTATGTGTGTCTCCCTGTTATACATCAGTCTCTCAGTGTATGTGTGTCTCCCTGTTATACATCTGTCTCTCAGTGTATGTGTGTCTCCCTGTTATACATCAGTCTATCAGTGTATGTGTGTCACCCTGTTATACATCAGTCTATCAGTGTATGTGTGTCTCCCTGTTATACATCAGTCTCTCAGTGTATGTGTGTCTCCCTGTTATACATCAGTCTCTCAGTGTATGTGTGTCTCCCTGTTATACATCAGTCTATCAGTGTATGTGTGTCACCCTGTTATACATCAGTCTATCAGTGTATGTGTGTCTCCCTGTTATACATCAGTCTCTCAGTGTATGTGTGTCACCCTGTTATACATCAGTCTCTCAGTGTATGTGTGTCTCCCTGTTATACATCAGTCTCTCAGTGTATGTGTGTCACCCTGTTATACATCAGTCTCTCAGTGTATGTGTGTCACCCTGTTATACATCAGTCTATCAGTGTATGTGTGTCACCCTGTTATACATCAGTCTCTCAGTGTATGTGTGTCACCCTGTTATACATCAGTCTCTCAGTGTATGTGTGTCTCCCTGTTATACATCAGTCTCTCAGTGTATGTGTGTCACCCTGTTATACATCAGTCTCTCAGTGTATGTGTGTCACCCTGTTATACATCAGTCTCTCAGTGTATGTGTGTCACCCTGTTATACATCAGTCTCTCAGTGTATGTGTGTCACCCTGTTATACATCAGTCTATCAGTGTATGTGTGTCACCCTGTTATACATCAGTCTATCAGTGTATGTGTGTCTCCCTGTTATACATCAGTCTCTCAGTGTATGTGTGTCACCCTGTTATACATCAGTCTCTCAGTGTATGTGTGTCTCCCTGTTATACATCAGTCTCTCAGTGTATGTGTGTCACCCTGTTATACATCAGTCTCTCAGTGTATGTGTGTCACCCTGTTATACATCAGTCTATCAGTGTATGTGTGTCACCCTGTTATACATCAGTCTCTCAGTGTATGTGTGTCTCCCTGTTATACATCAGTCTCTCAGTGTATGTGTGTCTCCCTGTTATACATCAGTCTATCAGTGTATGTGTGTCACCCTGTTATACATCAGTCTCTCAGTGTATGTGTGTCTCCCTGTTATACATCAGTCTCTCAGTGTATGTGTGTCACCCTGTTATACATCAGTCTATCAGTGTATGTGTGTCTCCCTGTTATACATCAGTCTATCAGTGTATGTGTGTCTCCCTGTTATACATCAGTCTATCAGTGTATGTGTGTCTCCCTGTTATACATCAGTCTCTCAGTGTATGTGTGCCACCCTGTTATACATCAGTCTCTCAGTGTGTGTGTGTCACCCTGTTATACATCAGTCTCTCAGTATATGTGTGTCACCCTGTTATACATCAGTCTATCAGTGTATGTGTGTCACCCTGTTATACATCAGTCTCTCAGTGTGTGTGTGTCTCCCTGTTACACATCAGTCTATCAGTGTATGTGTGCCACCCTGTTATACATCAGTCTATCAGTGTATGTGTGCCACCCTGTTATACATCAGTCTCTCAGTGTATGTGTGTCTCCCTGTTATACATCAGTCTCTCAGTGTATGTGTGCCACCCTGTTATACATCAGTCTATCAGTGTATGTGTGTCACCCTGTTATACATCAGTCTATCAGTGTATGTGTGCCACCCTGTTATACATCAGTCTATCAGTGTATGTGTGTCACCCTGTTATACATCAGTCTCTCAGTGTATGTGTGTCTCCCTGTTATACATCAGTCTATCAGTGTATGTGTGTCACCCTGTTATACATCAGTCTATCAGTCTATGTGTGCCACCCTGTTATACATCGGTCTATCAGTGTATGTGTGCCACCCTGATATAAATTAGTCTATCAGTGTATGTGTGCCACCCTGTTATACATCAGTCTCTCAGTGTATGTGTGCCACCCTGTTATACATCAGTCTCTCAGTGTATGTGTGTCTCCCTGTTATACATCAGTCTATCAGTGTATGTGTGCCACCCTGTTATACATCAGTCTATCAGTGTATGTGTGTCACCCTGTTATACATCAGTCTATCAGTGTATGTGTGTCTCCCTGTTATACATCAGTCTATCAGTGTATGTGTGCCACCCTGTTATACATCAGTCTATCAGTGTATGTGTGTCACCCTGTTATACATCAGTCTATCAGTGTATGTGTGCCACCCTGTTATACATCAGTCTATCAGTGTATGTGTGTCACCCTGTTATACATCAGTCTATCAGTGTATGTGTGCCTCCCTGTTATACATCAGTCTATCAGTCTATGTGTGCCACCCTGTTATACATCAGTCTATCAGTCTATGTGTGCCTCCCTGTTATACATCAGTCTATCAGTCTATGTGTGCCACCCTGTTATACATCAGTCTATCAGTCTATGTGTGCCACCCTGTTATACATCGGTCTATCAGTGTATGTGTGCCACCCTGTTATACATCAGTCTATCAGTCTATGTGTGCCACCCTGTTATACATCGGTTTATCAGTGTATGTGTGCCACCCTGTTATACATCAGTCTATCAGTGTATGTGTGTCACCCTGTTATACATCAGTCTCTCAGTGTATGTGTGTCTCCCTGTTATACATCAGTCTATCAGTGTATGTGTGCCACCCTGTTATACATCAGTCTATCAGTGTATGTGTGTCTCCCTGTTATACATCAGTCTCTCAGTGTATGTGTGTCTCCCTGTTATACATCAGTCTCTCAGTGTATGTGTGTCACCCTGTTATACATCAGTCTATCAGTGTATGTGTGTCACCCTGTTATACATCAGCCTATCAGTGTGTGTGTGTCTCCCTGTTATACATCAGTCTATCAGTGTATGTGTGTCACCCTGTTATACATCAGTCTCTCAGTGTATGTGTGTCTCCCTGTTATACATCAGTCTCTCAGTGTATGTGTGCCACCCTGTTACACATCAGTCTATCAGTGAATGTGTGCCACCCTGTTATACATCAGTCTATCAGTGTATGTGTGTCACCCTGTTATACATCAGTCTATCAGTGTATGTGTGTCTCCCTGTTATACATCAGTCTCTCAGTGTATGTGTGTCACCCTGTTATACATCAGTCTCTCAGTGTATGTGTGTCTCCCTGTTATACATCAGTCTCTCAGTGTATGTGTGCCACCCTGTCATACATCAGTCTATCAGTGTATGTGTGTCACCCTGTTATACATCAGTCTATCAGTGTATGTGTGCCACCCTGTTATACATCAGTCTCTCAGTGTATGTGTGTCACCCTGTTATACATCAGTCTCTCAGTGTATGTGTGCCACCCTGTTATACATCAGTCTCTCAGTGTATGTGTGCCACCCTGTTATACATCAGTCTATCAGTGTATGTGTGTCTCCCTGTTATACATCAGTCTATCAGTCTATGTGTGCCACCCTGTTATACATCAGTCTATCAGTCTATGTGTGCCTCCCTGTTATACACCAGTCTATCAGTCTATGTGTGTCACCCTGTTATACATCAGTCTATCAGTCTATGTGTGTCACCCTGTTATACATCAGTCTATCAGTGTATGTGTGTCACCCTGTTATACATCAGTCTATCAGTGTATGTGTGCCTCCCTGTTATACATCAGTCTATCAGTCTATGTGTGCCTCCCTGTTATACACCAGTCTATCAGTGTATGTGTGCCACCCTGTTATACATCAGTCTATCAGTGTATGTGTGTCTCCCTGTTATACATCAGTCTCTCGGTGTATGTGTGCCACCCTGTTATACATCAGTCTATCAGTCTATGTGTGTCACCCTGTTATACATCAGTCTCTCGGTGTATGTGTGCCACCCTGTTATACATCAGTCTATCAGTGTATGTGTGTCACCCTGTTATACATCAGTCTCTCAGTGTATGTGTGCCTCCCTGTTATACATCAGTCTCTAAGTGTATGTGTGCCACCCTATTTTACATAAGTAACCGCACTACTGTGTGTGCGTGCGTGTGTGCCACACGTAAGTAGACGCACTATTGGTGTGTGTGTGTGTGTGTGTCACTATGTAATGCATAAGTAGACGCACTATTGGTGTGTGTGTGTGTGTCACTATGTAAT